GAGACCCACACACGCGTGTTTGACGCAACGCATCATGGGAGATCATCCACTGCGCAGAACCAGGAGGACCAGACGATGCCCAAATACAGGCGAGTTTCCCATAGTTCTTTGCGAGTTCCAGGGGACTTCCGCTAATCTTTTAGCACCCATGCCGCCACAAAGCGCCACTGAGCACAACCATTCATTTGAATAGGGTGCCATCTTGGATCGCCGGGGCTTGGGGTGGACCCGGAATAAGAATTAGCCAATGCTAACATATAGCATCTTCTTACCTCTCAAAAACGTCTTTACAGGATAGTCCAAAAGTTGGCTCTTGGCTCAAAGCTCTGTTCCACATGTGTGTCAATGCTGAGGGGGTTGAATTTTTTTGGACCACTCTGGTTTAGTTGCTGTGAATTTTTAAAGTCTCTCGTTCAAATGAATGGAGCTCGCGCAGCTTACGCATGCGCAGATACGTTTTTTCCAGTGGGTGCGGGTCCCAGCTCAAAAGTGGCCAAAATGACGTGCGCTGACATGCTGCAATACCACCCCGGGCCGATGGGGGTGGACCCAGAAGTAGAATTAGCCAATGCTAACATATAGCATTGGCAGACCTCTCAAAAACGTCTTTACAGGATGGACAAAAAGTTGGCTCTTGGCCCAAAGCTCTGTTCCACATGTGTGTCAATGCTGAGGGGGGTGGATTTTTTTGGACCACTCCAGTTTACTTGCTGTGAATTTTTGAAGTCTCTCGTGAATGAATGGAGTTGCACTGGCTGACGCATGCGCAGATGCGTTTTTTCACAATTTTCATGTGGGAGGGACCACTGGCGGCCATTTTGGATTGCTCCAGTAGAGCACATTTTTTGGCCCATTAGTTAGAACGGCAGAGATAGGCGTGACTCTGTCCATTAATATATACAGTCTATGGTTTTTTCACAATTTTCTTGTGGGCGGGACCACTCGCGGCCATTTTGGATAGCTCCAGTAGAGCACTGTTTTTGGCCCATTAGTTTGAACGGCGGAGATAGGCTTGACTACGCCGTCAATATTTACAGTCTATGCTACAGACGCTACCCAGGCAAATGCATTTCTGCCTTTTAGGCGGCTGCATATATAAAAAAAACGACCTAACCCCAAAAAAATTCTAACAAAAGGTTTCTCAGATGTTTTTTGTGGTATTAGGTGTCCTTAATAACTAGTTTGACCACTAGAAAAGAATAATTTTCAAGATGGCGTCCAAGATGGGCAGGAAGCCCTTAACTTATCCTAATTCGTTCATTATTTGACCTAGCCAGGTAATCTTGGTGTCTAACCACATGTTTTCTGGGTCTACATACTTACATACTTATGGAATACATGATTTTGTGGTTTTCTCTTTGGGGGAATTAATTGACATGCCCCATTTTAAACTATTTGCGTAAAAGGACGGCATCTTCCATGGACTAGCTCTGACTTAATTAATCTTTTTAAACGTTGAGACCAAGCTTGGACTAAATACGGAGAGTCTAAGGACCCTAACGACTGGGAGATCTATAGACAACTCAGGAATCAATCCAAAACCCAAACTAGGAATGCCAAGTCCAATTACTAGAAGGAAGCCCTTGGTCTGAACTACAATAATCCTAAACAATTTTGGAAACACCTGGACCAGCTTCTGGGTAGGTCCAAAAGAAATCCAACCAATCATGTTACTGTTAATACTACTACAATTGCTGATCTCTACTTAATCTCTGAATGCTTTTCTCCTCCTAAATACTAAGTAAGTTACTTACTTAGCTGTGTACTACACAGGTCATCCATACTTACCTAATCCACTAATCCACGTTGTTCCTGAGACATCATTTAAAAAAAAATCAGATTTCACATTTGGATGCAATACAAGCTATAAACGATCTTAAAACTAACAGTGCGGCTGGTCCAGACGGCTTAGAAGTATAATACCTTTTATTGGGATCCAGTGTGCTCATCTATCCACTAACCGACCTGTTTAAGCTGTCACTAAGTTCGTGTCCCTCTGTCCCTCTCATCTGGGAAACTGCAAGGGCTACTCCCATCTTTAAAGGCGGAGACCACTCTGATGTAAGTAACTATCGGCCCATCTCTATTATATGCACTGTCACCAAAATATTGGAAAAGATCATTTTCCGCCAACTGCACAACTATCTTAATAACTTTAACATCTTATCTCCCCATCAGTCAGGCTTCCAGTCTGGCTACTCAACTACTACTGCACTACTTAAATTTACAAATGATGTTTTCCAGTCCATCCATCCATTTTTGTCCGCTTCATCCGTTGCCGGGTCACGGGGGCAGCAGTCTAAGCAGAGACGTCCAGACTTCCCTATCCACACACACTTCCTCCTGCTCGTCAGGGGGGACACCAAGGCGTTCCCAGGCCAGCTGAGAGACATAGTCCCTCCAGCGTGTCCTGAATCTTCCCCGGGGCCTCCTCGTGTTGGGACGTGCCTGGAACACCTCCCCAGGGAGGCGTCCAGGAGGCATCCGGAACAGATGCCCGAGCCACCTTAACTGGTTTCTCTTGATGTGGAGAAGCAGCGGCTCCTCCCATGTGACTGAGCTCCTCATCCTATCTCTAAGGGAGCGCCCAGCCACTCTGCGGAGGAAGCTCATTTTGACCGCTTGTATCCGCGATCTCGTTCTTTCGGTCATTACCAAAAACTCATGACCAGAGGTGAGGGAGGGAATGGAGATTGACCGGTAAATTGAGAGCTTTGCCTTTCGGCTCAGCTCCCTCTTTACCACAACGGTCCGATACAGCGACCGCATCACTGCGCACGCTGCACCGATCCACCTGTCAATCTCACGCTCCATCCTTCCCTCACTCGTGAACAAGACCCCGAGATACCTGAACTCCTCCACTTGAGGAAGGACCCCTCCATCCACTTGGAGATTGCAAGGCACCTTTTTCCGGTCGAGCACCATGGCCTCGGATATGGAGGTGCTGATTCTCATCCCAGCCGCTTCACACTCGGCTGCAAACCGTCCCCCTCCGACCCCTGGCTGCGCCTAGAAATTCTGTCCATAAACACAGTGAACAGAACTGGTGACAAAGGGCAACCTTGGCGGAGGCCAACATGCACCGGGAACAGGTCTGACTTACTGCCGGCAATGCAAACACAGCTCTGGCTCTGGTCATACAGGGACCAGATGGCCCTCAGCAGAGGACCCCGGACCCCGTACTCCCGGACAACCCCCCAAAGGACACCCCGGGGAACACGGTCGAACGCCTTGTCCAAATCCACAAAGCAGAGTTGGACTGGTTGGGCGAACTCTGAACCCTCGAGTATCCGATGGAGAGTATAGAGCTGGTCAAGTGTTCCGCGGCGAAAACCACACTGCTCCTCCTGAATCCGAGATTCAACCATCGGTCGAAGTCTCCTCTCCAGTACCTTGGAGTAGACCTTACAGGGGAGGCTGATGAGTGTGATCCCACAATAATTGGAATACACCATCCAGTCCGGTCCCCCTTTTTGTAGAGAGGGACCACCACCCCTGTCGGCAACTCTATTGGTACCGCCCCCGAGCGCCACGCGATGTTGCAGAGAAGTGTCAGCCAAGACAGTCCTACAACATCCAGAGACTTTAGATCAGTGGTGTCAAACTTATTTTGGTTGAGGGCCGAAAAAAAAATTAAAGGGCCGTTCAGGGGCCAAAAGAAGAAGTGGGTTTCATTTTTTATACTTTTATAATATGAAGGCATCTATATAAATGACTTGTTTCACATTAGTTAGACTGGATATTCTTTTCTGATTAGATTTAGTTCAGTTCCTGTGGACTGGACCAAAACTGGACCAAATATTGAAGGTTAATGTGAAGATTTTCTACTTCCGGGTGGATCATCAGACTATTGGTCCTCCCAACTGTCAATCATTCTGGTGATTCGTGCTCGTCAAATAAGACCAGAGAGTTTTGTTCAAAAAGTGGAGAGGGCGTTTTTTTTACTAACAAATTGGGAAATCCTCCTTGAAATGTAAAAACATAGCATAACAACTAACTTCTAATTACATGTTGGCTTAACATTTCTTAAGGAATTAAATTTTATGGTATTCTTGAGAAAATTAGTAATGGATAACATGCCATTGTCGCCTAATACCGTCAATGCTGCTATTTAATATAATAATTTAAAATCATCTCAGGGGCCACTGGAAATGGTCTCGCGGGCCGGATCTGGCCCCCGGGCCTTGACTTTGACACCTGTGCTTTAGATAGTCAGGACGGATCTCATCCACTCCTGGAGCCTTGCCACCAAGGAGGCTGCCAACCACCTTTTTGACTTCAGCCAGGGAGATGGAAGTATCCAACCCAACATCTTCAGCCTCGGCCTCCGTTTTGGAGGCCGAGGATGTTGTCCCTTCCTTTTCCTTTTTTTTGATAAAAACCAGTACACAGGTGGCATTTTTCTTGATCTCTCCTAGGCTTTTGATCTAGTAGACCACTATTTACTTTTGGACAAACTTTACTCAATAGGTCTAAGTAGAAATGCTCTTGGTTCAATGCTTATCTTCACAATAGATGACAGTTTGTAGTTTTTAATGGTTTTCTCTAATGGTCTCTCTAGCATGGAAAAAGGAGTACCACAGGGCTCAACCCTTGGACCTCTTTTATTTTCTATCTTCATCAATGACCTACCCCAAGTGTGTAGTCATTGCCAGACTCATCTATATGCTGATGTTGTCTGTCAGGTGCGGACTTTGAGAGGACTTTTATTCAATTCTAAAGTGGCTCAACAAATATAAAACTAAACATGACAAAAATCTGCCCACATGCTCTTTGAATAAGAGGAAACAACGGAAGAAAATATGTATAAATGAGAAAATAATAAAGAAATTTAAAAAAACAAAAGGCAAAAAATAAATTACTTTAGGGAAATTGTACTTTTTCTTTCTTTTTCGCATGCATATGCTTATAACCACTTGCTTTAATATATAATTGTACTTGAAATCACTTATTTTTTATGCAAATATACTGATTAGAATATCATATGACCAAAACAGATATCAGACACCAATATTCCTGGTGTAGGAGAAATACAAAGGAGAAACGGTCATTTTAAGGACCTGATGGCTGCCATTTTGAAAATGAGGCCTTTTTTGGAGTCAAGCTTGGTAAACTTTTAATGTTTTTAAGTACATCTGATACTACTGTAAACCACTGAGAAACCTTTTGTTAGATTTTTTTTGGGGTCAAGCCATATTTGCAGCTGACTATTTCCTATTAAGACTGTTGACTGAAGACATCATCTTTGTGAAAAGATCTGAGAACTGGAGGTTTCCGGTTCTGAAGTGAACAGGACGGAGGTCAGGGCATAGGTGCAGAGTGCTTCTGCGCAGGATGGTGCTGGACAGGATGGTGCTGGACATGATGGTGCTGGACAGGATGGTGCTGGACAGGATGGTGCTGGACAGGATGGTGCTGGACAGGATGGTGCTGGACAGGATGGTGCTGGACAGGATGGTGCTGGACATGATGGTGCTGGACATGATGGTTCTGGACAGGATGGTGCTGGACAGGTTGGTGCTGGACAGGATGGTGCTGGACATGATGGTGCTGGACATGATGGTGCTGGACATAATGGTTCTGGACAGGATGGTGCTGGACAGGATGGTGCTGGACAGGATGGTGCTGGACATGATGGTGCTGGACATGATGGTGCTGGACATGATGATTCTGGACAGGATGGTGCTGGACAGGATGGTGCTGGACATGATGGTGCTGGACATAATGGTTCTGGACAGGATGGTGTTGGACAGGATGGTGCTGGACAGGATGGTGCTGGACAGGATGGTGATGGACATGATGGTGCTGGACATGATGGTGCTGGACATGATGGTTCTGGACAGGATGGTGCTGGACAGACTGGTGCTGGACATGATGGTGCTGGACATGATTGTGCTGGACATGATGGTGCTGGCAGCAGAAGACATCGGGGTGTGGAGGCGTGTCTACAGGCGTTACTGGACAATAGGCTTTTTGGTTTGTGTGGTGGTGAGATTAGAAAATGAAGTGACACAGTAGGATGAATGATATGTGTGGGTTAATACATTTCAAATGTTTAGTTTATACATTTTGATGCTGCATTAAATTACATGAATAAGTGGGAAAATGTTCAGTTATTGAGCCATAAATAATGTCTCAAAAGGGGGGATATTATGGTTTATGGGAGAGCAATACATATAAATATGAAATGATCTCTAAAAAATTTTCTGAGTTCTTTTGTGTGTGTTTTCTGTAACCAATGTGATTTTTATAAGACACAGGTCAAGAGGGGTGTCTAAGTTGAGTCGACACAACTTGGATTCAAATGTAATACTGTGACATTTATATCAATTTCATTGAGTTATTAAAGGAATAGTTCACCGTTTTTACATACTGACAAATGTTCTTACCTTACCTTAGACTAGTTAATACGTACCTGTCTGGTCTTAGTCCGTGCGCTCTGTCATGCAAACGGAGCAAAAACGGGAGCACAAACGCAGCCTCCTCTGTATATTTTGTAGCACCAAAAGGTAGCTCCCGCTAGAAGCTTAGTTAGTGCGCAGAGAAGTTAGGAGCGCTACGTCCGCGCACTAACTTCTCTCCGGAGACTTCTCTCTCGCTGCTACTGTGTGTATTACAAGTCACGCTGCTTCTATTGACGGAAGTGAGCGAGAGAGAAGTCTCCGGAGAGAAGTTAGTGCGCGGACGTAGCGCCCCTCAGATTACTACGCCTCACAATATAGTACCCGTTTTATCCGCTGAGAAAATCGACTGTTACATTTCTGTGTTACTATACTTTGCAGTGTAACACGTCACGTAACTATATACATTTAATAGGGAACACTTGGAAGAGTTTGGTAGCTTCTAGTGGGAGCTACCTTTTGGTGCTACAAAATATACAGAGGAGGTTGCGGTTGTGCTCCCGTTTTTGCTCCGTTTGCATGACAGAGCGCACGGACTAAGACCAGACAGGTACGTATTAACTAGTCTAAGGTAAGGTAAGAACATATGTCAGTATGTAAAAACGGTGAACTATTCCTTTAATGTTCCATCATTGAGTTGGTTTACTAGACATAGAATATGGTTGATTCATTAAATGACAATCAGGAGGGAAATGTTAGTGGATTTGTAAGGTGATCATTTAAATGAATGTGAATATATTCAGTCTAGACATATTTTGGGTTGACCTACATTGGATTGTGGAAATCTACAACTGAGGTGTTGAAACCAAGCTAATAATTATCCACAGTGTCCACAACTGGAGTGTTTTGTGAAAACTATGTTGAAAGATCCAACAAGTGGTTAATGTTTTTATCTTGTGGGACCATTCTGTGTGAGGGTGTGGGTTTTCTGTTCTGAAATAAATAAGCTGCCTTCAGAGCATCAAGCAGGACTTGGCTTTTGGCTGCATTAGTACGCGCAGGCCTCCTTCGCAGCTGAAAGGCATCTCCTCCATGTTACATACAAGTAAAAAAACGAATCCCTTGTCTGTTGTGTGCGTTTGTCCAGATAACTGTAGTAGAACCGATTGTTCACACTACATTAGATCCTCGTTTTCAAACAACTACCCTGCATGAATAGGAAGCTCGAGACATGGTTTTTGCTCATCTTCTTAGATTGGAAATAAGAAAAACTCTTGATGTAAGTGTCACTCCCACACACTGTTTTGTTATGTCCAATTGTGTGAATACTAATACATAAAACCTTTATGGCGCGTTCAGACCGCACGCTTTTCGGGTGTCAAAAAACGCGCAGACTCTCACTATACGCTTGGGTCTACCAGGTCTGACCGGCATCCTCAGGTTAGACTACCACTCAGTCCTACATTAACAAATTTTTCTGTCCCCAGAGAGAGACCGTCTTGCCCCAAGACAGAGATCATCCTGCCCTGAGAGAAAGACCATACTGCCCCAGGAGAGACAGGCACCAAAAGAAGGGAGCACATAACTAGTATGGAGAAGTATCTTGAGCACTATCCTCTTCTCCTTCCTACTTTATCTGTCTGCATTATTAGGATTTTGACTGTAGTCTGTTCATTGCTATTCACCCGTTGTCCCATTGTCTGTTCCATGGTACGATGACGGGACCTCTGAACCTGGCCTCCTCCATCTACACCTGCGGACTGCCCTGCCCGACCCGCCTGGGAGTTCTTCAGTCCTGCACCGGACCTGTCCACGTTCAACGGCCACTGGTCCACGTTCTGTAGCTAGCTTAGGTCCTGGATCTACAGCCCGTCCGTCTGTTCCACATGTGTGTCAATGCTGAGGGGGGTGAATTGTTTTGGACCACTCTAGTTTACTTGCTGTGAATTTTTGAAGTCTCTTGTTCAAATGAATGGAGCTTGCCCCGGCTGACACATGCGCAGATGCGTTTTTTCACAATTTTCTTGTAGGCGGGACCACTCGCGGCCATTTTGGATAGCTCCAGTAGAGCACAAATGTTTGGCCCATTAGTTAGAACGGCGGAGAGATAGGCGTGACTCTGTCCGTTAATATATACAGTCTATGGTTTGGACACCCCTGCTTTATAGTCTGGTGTCCCGTCTCCCACGATCAGAGCAGGAGTGTCCTGGACATAAACCTCTGACACACATCAGTATGTGCACTGAGTCTCTGAATGCAATGCTTCTCAAAGTGGGAGCCGCGCCCATTGAAAGCACGTTGTGATGTTGAAATAATGTCCGATTGTGATGGAGCCGGTTTGGTATTTTATGTTCTAATTACACTTTCTGGTAATCGCTGCACAAACCAGTTTCCTTTCAAAGAAATGATTCACTGGTGTCACCTTCTCCTGTTAGCGTAGCATTGGCAGAGCATTAGCATCACAGCTGTAGGTGAGTCAGCTTCTCCTCTTAGCTTAGCACAACTGACCTACAGAGAGAGACCAGAAGGAGAGACCAGAAGGAGAGACCAAAGAGGGACGACCAGAGAGGAAGAGACTAGAGAGAGAAATGACTCTGTTGTTAGAGAGGGGGTTTTGGGCACCCCAGTGGTTTGAGCTTGTATTCACTGCAAGAATGTTGTGGGCTTTCACAGTTTGCATGTTCTCCTATTGGAAACCCCTGTCTCCCTCACTGTGTGTAAAGTCAGAGTAAAAAGGCCATAACAATTGTAAAGTGGAGATTTCAGTGTCCCACGTCTTGTGAAAAATATTTCTTAATGAAATGACTCACTTTTCTTTATATTTACTTTAATCTGCTCTGAACACTGTTATTGTCGGGGTTCCATGACCCTGTCAATGTTTTTTGTGGAGAAGGACACAATTATAAGAAACAAAGAAGAACGCAGACGGATCCTCTAGTATTAGATATGATCAATAACTCAGTCTCAAAGGGGTCTTTCAGTGATGGTAGCAACGTGGCCATTATTTCATTGTTACATAAAGCCAATAAGCCACCCGCTGATTGCTCCTCCTACTGGCCACTCAGCCTTCTCAATACAGAACTCAAAATCTTCGCCAAAATTTTAGCTACTAGATTAGAACATCATATGACTGAGTTGATCCACAGCGAACAGGATTCATTAAATCTAGACTAGCTTCTGACAATATCCGACGGTTACTGCAGATTATTAATTCATCCACAACATCTGATAATAAAAATGCAATTCTTTCATTAGACGCTGAGAAGGCGTTTGACCGGCTGGAGTGGGCTGTGCTTCAGCATATGGGTTTCCCAGTAGATTATATAAAAATGGTTAAAACGTTGTATGCTAACCCTTTTGTGTTAACGGGTAATGTGTGCTCGCCCAGGTTTGCTATATCTCACTCAACGCGACAGGGCTGCCCCTTATCTTATTCTGTCTATCTCTGGAGCCTATTGCAGAATTAATCAGACAATCAGAAGTAAGTAATCTTTATTTTATTAGTAAGTAATCTTTATTTATATACCGCCTTTTCACTGCAGCTCTGAGTCTCAAAGCGGTTTACAATTGTTAATTTTGGGCATTTGTCTCTCACTCCACACAGAGATGGGAGCAGGGTCGCCTGTACAGGAGGCGCATGCCTGAACTATTGGGCATATTTTTAGTGGTAGGGGAAACCGGAGTACCCGGAGGAAACCTACGCAGACACGGGGAGAACATGCAAACTCCACTCAGAAAGGCCCTGGTCCGACCGGGATTCGAACCCAGGACCTTCTTGCTGAGAGGCGAGAGTGCTATCCACTCAGCCACCGTGCCGCCCGGTGAGAAGAAATTGCACCAATTAAGGTTCATAACACTTCTCATTATATCTCTTTGAATGCCGATGATATTTTAATATATACTAGCAACCCTTCAGAATCAATACCTTATATCCTAAAAACGTTTAAATCTTTTGATAAATCTGCTTTTATGTCCTTGGGTGTAACAAACATGTCCGGATCCCTGTGTAACATCCCAACTGTCTCAAGCATGAAATATCTAGGGGTTCTTATCAATCCTTCTCTCAACAGGCTGGTTGAAAACAACTACAAATGCTTGCCATAGAAAGTGATCTTAAAAAGTGGGGTTCTCTCCCAACATCTTTCCAGGCACGTTTATCAGTTATTAAAATGAATGTATTGCCTCGTGTTAATTTTATCAGTTCAATGCTACCTTTAGCACCACCTCAAGGCTTCTTTAAAAAACTAAATTCGTTCATTAACAAATATTTATGGAACCAGAAAAAACCAAGGATTAAAGCTTCTACTTCATATAGATTTAAATCATCAGGGGGCGTAGGCCTTCCTTTGAGTGGTTCTCTTGGTGTTTTGTATTAAGACCCCTCTTTTCATGGTTCAAAACCGCTAAGTCGACAGCATGGATGCCTATTGAAGCAGAATTAATAAAACCCTATGCCTTGCCCAATCTTTTACATTCCAAAATGCCTTTAAAAATAATTACAAATCGATATGGACCCATTGTTGTACACCTTGTGTCTGTTTGGAATAAGTCAACAAATATATGGGCAAAGACAAAGATTTTTTCCTTCAAACAGCAATATTCCACAATTACTCTCTACAGATTGATAAGAAACCCATTCTTTTCCCCTCATGGGAACGCAAAGGAGTTAACAATTTAAGGGATATTATAGGACAGCATGGTTTAAGGGAGTTTTATGACTTACTAAAGTGTTACAATTTACCTGGTTCGTCTTTCTTCTTTTACTTACAGTTGTGAAGTTCTGTGTGTTCTCATACGGTCCGTGGGGATGCATGCTAAAAAATCATCCTCTCCACACCTTGAGCAAAGAAAGAACCACTGGCACCGCTTCGGACATGTACACACTATTAGTTTGTTCTTCACAAAAGATATTGCCTATTGAACAGCTTTGGAAACAGAACTGAGGGACCACTTAGATTGGGATTGGAATCACATTTGGTCGAATATTTCACTTTCATCCAGAAATCCCAATCACCAAATGATCCAGTATAAAATGATTCTCCGAGGAGACTACACCTAATGAAATTAAAAGACAATCAATCCTGTGATTTCTGTCCAGATGGAACAATTGGTACTTTTCTGCATATGGCATGGCAATGTCCAGAGGAAAATGTTACGAATATGTTTTCAGACATCATGGAAGGAGTCGTACCCTGCACTCCAGGGTATGACTCCTGCTTCTTTTGTTAAGTGATACTTCCAAATTAAATTTTATAATTAATTAACGCCAAATATTGTTAGCTGGCCTCACAGCTGCTCAAATGTTGGTAATCTGCCGATGGAAGACAGTGCAGCCTCTGACCACAAGGGAATGGCTCCTGTCCTTTATAGATATAATGCAGTTGGAACTTCTGCTTAAATTAATGGAGCAAAAACTGAAAATATCTCCTGCTGGTCCGATCTGGATTAGACCTGGATTTATAAATCACATTACATATCTTTGCCAATACTGTATGTGTGAACATGTGTTATATAATTATATGTATTGTGCGATATATATTATTGCTGAATCTTACATATAGTCGTTATACTTCTGTTTCTGTGGATGTCTCTGACGGAGGAAATCAGCACTTTGTATTTACCCAACCGTTTACTTTGCTTCACGTCTGTGAATATTAGTTACAGTCTTTATAAATGTCACGAGGTGGGAAGGAGGAGGACTCAAAATGCGAGAATGCCAAAATAAAGATTTAATAAAATAAAGTCCAAGGTAAAAACAAAACTCAAAATCTAAAATACGGAACCAGGAGCACAAAATCAGGAACATGACGAAACAGAAGTAGACAATACAATGGACCAGCAACAAGAGGAGAGGAGCACAGGGTAATTATAGACAGAGACACAGGTGAAACACATCAGGGCGGGGCAGACAATCAAGACAGGGGAAACAGGACGTCAAAGTCAAACTAAAAACAAAGCACAGAGAACAGATATCAAAATAAAGCTAAAGTCCAAAATAAAATCCACACCATGACAATAAACCTGGACAGGGTTATTGTTTATTGTATTTATGTATCTTTATGTTATTCTTCAATTAATTGCTTATTCTGTTTTAGATGTCTTGAACCTTTTTAATGTTTAATGTATTATTGTTATTATTTATTTATTTATTATTATTATTATTATTGCTAACTTATTTATTTATTTATTTTTGAGCTTCTCTGCCCATCACAAGGGGAAAGGGGATATGGGGAACAAAAGGGGCACAAAAAGTAAAGTGTGATGCTGCCAACCTGTGTGAAAATGTAAATACAATGTAACACTTGAATAAACAATTGATCACAAAAAAAGAACGCAGACGAATTTAATACTTTTTTAAAATGTACTTATGTCTGACCTAAATAAATAAAAATTCCAACAAACAGGAACCATTGAATGTATTAGTTGAAATAAACTGGTTCTCACTGATGAGAAGGAATGTGAATGTGAATGTGATTCATAAAAACAAGAACAGACTGTTCCAGATATTTTTGGATCAGTCTGTTTTCTTAGAATTTGTCACATATTTCTGTGAATTGTTTTTTTCCAACTCGTGACTTTTAAGATATTAAGAATAACACATCTCTATACTTCTATAAAAAGTCTTTGTCGAGCAAAATACAAGTATATCAAGCATAAAGCTGTATACTTTAGTGTGTGTTTAAATCTGTAGATCCATCTAAAACATTCACAGAGGAAAATAAACCAAGTCTGTATTTGGATTTGTATAGTTTCCTTCAATACCATTGACAACCTGTGAACAGAACCTGTGGAGTCCCTCAGGTGGAGTCCCTCAGGGGTCAACCCTGGGACCCACATTATTCATATTCTACATCAGGGAAAGATAAAGCATGTCAAACTTGAGTTCATCCTCTTTGCTGATGACTGATGTCATATGTGCAGGTGACGTCCTCTGTCATTGTATGTGAAAGCCAGATACCTTCATACATCTGAAACTAAGCAGGGCAGGACCTTATTACTGTGAAGGGAGACCTTTAAGAACACCAGGTGCCATAGTGGGATGACAGCGGATGTAAAGTGCACAACAGGGCAGCTGTGGCTACAGTGGTAACACCACTCTGTATAGACTGAATGAACAATGAGAGTGAAGCATCTTTGAGCTCCCAGAAAAGCACTGTATAAAAACCATGCATTATTGTTGTAGAAATTATTAAGCTAATAAACATGGTTTCATATAATCATCACTAAATCTAATAGAAATGTGAGTTTAGGACTGGTCTATGTAAAGTATGCAAAGGCGCTCACTAACACATGTATCAGACATGGTACGCATTTCTGATTTTTGTTGCGCATGTGTTTCTGTTTACTGGTCAAAAGGAGAAACCTGTTCAGTGGGCAGGGCCTCTTACCAAAAGTATTTATACCTGTCACAGACCAGGTCTGAACCAGGTCTGAACCAGGTCTAACCAAGGTCTGAAGCAGGTCTGAAGCAGGACTGAACCATGTCTGCAATCATCTCCCTCTGGGCTCCTCTGCTCCTGTTCATCTCAGGTAAATGTCTCTTCATCATCTTTACTGGTTGATCCAGACCAAGACCCAGACCAGACTCCTCTGATCTAACCTGTTGTTTGTGTTTCAGGGGCTGCAGCTATGGTGAATTTGGGTATGTGATTCTTCCCATGTTTAGAATGCAATTAAAGTTGAGAAACCTAACTTTAGGACCACAACAATCAAACTGTAATAAACCCATGTCTATTGTCGCTGGCACTAAAACAGTTTGCTTCTGTCACTAGTTTTTACATCATGTGTTTCTGGCCTCGGACACTGTATAAAACCCCCTGTGGTCAGTTTCACTTGAACTGCTCCACGGCCCCCCTGCTAATGGGACATTCCATTCTACCTGGGCATGTCTTAACTTGTTCAGTTCAGTGTTGCCGATGTTGTTGCTTAGAGCATGTGCCGTGCTTGTGTGCGTCAATTACGAGTAAGTAATACTGCAATTGGAATGTTAGAAGCTATATTTCTCATGCCTGGTATTGTATATATGTGTATTGCCCATATAAATGTGAAGTTCTGTTAGTAGTTTCAGCCACGAGGCACCTTACTGACACGTGGTCAGCTTAGTAAGACATTTCAAAGTGTTACATGTGTTAAATATTAGTTACATATTATTTGTGTGCCTTAAAATTCATATCGTGATGTTCACTTTGCACATTTTTAAGACCACCAGGTTGCGCCATTATCCCCAGATCATATCGTTCCTCCTGTATAATGACCACCCTGTAACTTGTTTGTATTTACTGTATGCCTGGGCCTAATTGTTTGTTCTGTTGTTTTACAGAAAACCACACACACACACACACACACACACACACACCTCCCCATGTACAATAAAGTGTTCAGTTTGAAATAAACTCGGAAACATAAAGGCTTGGACATTCCCTTCATCACCAGTCTCCAAAATTCCTTCTGACAGAGGAGAGGACGAGCTGCCAACCACCAGTATTTTAAGCACGCACATGTCCTAAATAAGTGGTCCTTCGAGCCGGACGGTTGGCAGTTTTCCCTAATGGAGACATCAAGGCAAGATGATGGAGAGCAAGCTGTTCGTCCCCGGAGGCTCCATCGCCTCCCCCAGGACATCTGGATGACTTTGTTCTCACCGATCCTTTCCATCAGCCTGATCCAGATATGAGCACTTTGAGGTGTAACGTTGTGACACCAGATCGAACATCGACTCCAATACAACAAGGAGCTGGAGCTGAGAGGTTTCCAGACATGGAGAGGATGATGAGGATGGAGCGGTGTGTCTCACAAGTTCAAGACCAGATGAGGGAGCTACAGAATACCCTCCAAGCATCTCTGAATCTTCACCGGTCACCAGTACGACTTACACTGTCCGGGGAGGCACGCTGTCCCAGTGTTCCCACAGACCAGCAAATGGGCAGCCCGGAGACCATCCTCCCTCTCATCCAAGTACTGTCCAATCCCGAGCAGCCCACTGTGCAGAGAGCCACATCCCCCGCAGTCCTGCCGGTTCCTACGCTCCCCCCCTCCTCTTTCCACAGAACCTGCTGTTCGTGACGTGGGGGACTCTACACAGCCTGTTTATGTCCTCTCTTCAGCTCGAAGCGCAGCTCGACCAGCACCAGTGGTATCCAGGCCTGCAGCATCAGACCATCCACATCCGCCCTGGCCGCAGCAGCAGCAAAGAGAAGTGAATTGGACGACATCTTATCCCACTTGGTCTACACAGCCCAACGAGGGACCATACAGTTACCTGGGAGCAATGCAGACTCAGCCCTCAGCATTTGCTCCATATGTTGTGCCTGTTTCTTCAGGCTCATTACCCTGGGCTCAAGGCCCTACTGTGAGTCATCCCCCCTATGCACAGGTGCTCCCCCCCCCTCTGAGCACACACTATATGCACAGGGACTCAGCATTCCTCCCTCAGCCTCCTGTCAGTTTACAGCCTAGTGCTCCTCAGGACAGGTCACATTACACTCCCCCTATGTTGGCAGCCCAAAGGCCTAACCTGATGGAGATGGCTATATCCCTCCTCTTATGGCATCCCTAAGCCAAGATTAGTAAGTTTTACCACAGGTAAAGAGAGCGACTTTCTATTATTGAAGAAGGGATTAGATGGTGTAATGGGCCCACATCTACATCTTTCTGAGGATTATAAATTCCAGGTACTTCTGGATCACCTCAAATTCCCAGCTGCATTTCAGATAGCAAAGAGATATGTGCATGACCCCATGCCATATACCAAAGCAATGCAGGCCCTGCAGCAACGCTATGGACAGCCACGTCAGTTAGTCCAAAGTGAGTTAAATGGCATTTTGAGAGCCCCCACAGTGAGAGCAGGAGATGCACAGGGTTTTGAGGACTTTGCTCTATCCGTTAGTAGTCTAGTGGGACTATTGACCTCCTTAGATGGAGCTGCTAAGAGTGAGCTAGAGTGTGGATCTCATGTAGACAGGCTGCTGAGTAAACTCCCCCATTCCTATCAGGACAGTTTTGCAGAATATTGTCTGTCACGGGGAATTTTACAGACTGACTCAGCTAATACATACACACTACCTGACTTTGCCAAATGGCTAGAGAGGAAATCACAAGCCATTCAGATCTCCAGAAGAGCTACTGAGAGCTATACGACAGATAAACCTCGCTCAGACCGCAAAGACAAACCTAGTCAGTTCAAGCAGCCAAAGTCTTCCTCATCCATTTACTATGGCACAGAGAAAGCACCCACTCCTGCTGCCATTAACGCAGAGAGCAAGGACACAGCTAGGGGTAAGAAACGAGAAAAGTTCAAGCCATATTGCCCATTTTGTAGTAGTACAGAACATTATTTGAGTTCCTGCCCAGATTTTATCAAGCTAAGTACTACACAGGTTGTCAGCTGGATAAATGAAAATAAGAGATGCTGGCGATGTGGTAGAGGACATCAGCCTGACGGTTGCACTCTTAAAAAGCCTTGTGCCACATGTGGAGAGCAGCACCTGCAGATCCTCCATGAGGCATCCTCCAGTACTAGGAGTGTTTTGACTCTAAGCACTACATCCAGTATGGTGTACCTGGACCAGGCTACTCACTCTGGCAGAGTCATGCTCAAGGTTGTCCCAGTCACACTCCACAGTAAGGGCAGATCATTATCTACACACGCCATTCTGGACGATGGCTCTGAACGGACTATTGTTTTATCCGCAGCCGTTCATTATCTTCGACTAGAAAGGACGGCAGAGTCCCTTAAGCTGAGGACTATCAGGCAGGAAGTGTCAGAGCTAAAGGGAGCGAGTGTCACTTTTGATATAAGTGCAACACAAGACCCTCAAGTTAAACTTAACATTAGCAACGCTTTCACTGCTGCTGAGCTCAATCTGGCCAAACAATCTTGCCCCATGAACACTCTGCGGCAGAAATATCCCCACCTGAGTGACGTCCCATTTAAGGCATTTAAAGATGTACAGCCAATGCTCCTTATTGGCTCAGATAATGCACATCTCATTACGCCTCTGTCACCAGTTAAGGCCGGCCCACTAGGTACACCTGTGGCTGTGAACACTCAGCTGGGCTGGGCCATACAGGGTCCCGCCACATTCCTGCATGCACCCACTGAGGCTGCATGTCTGCACACATCAGTGCTACCATCCCCGGCTCAGGTGTTGAGACACAATGTAGAGAGGTTATGGCAGTTAGATGTACTTCCCTTTCGTTCAGAGAAGGAAGCCAGCCGATCTAAACAAGACAAAGAGGCTCTTCAGTTATTACAGACTCAGACCGAGCGGGTGGAAGTAGATGGAGTGTTGCGTTATGCTACTCCTCTGCTCCGACGCAAAAATGCCCCTAAACTACAAGCTGGCCCTGAGTCAGTTATGGCACTGCTGAGGTCCACAGAAAGGCGCCTGAGTAAAGACCCTGATTTAGCAGCTGTTTACACTGCAGAAATACACAAACTAGAACAGTCAGGCTATGCTAGAAAGCTAACACCAAGTGAGGCAAGCAGCACTGACGAGTCCTGTTTATCCCTCATCATATTGTGCACCATAACAGCAAGCCCAGGGTAGTTTTTAACTGTTCATTCAACTACCGGCAGCACTGTCTTAACGACCAGCTGTTACCAGGCCCAACACTAGGTCCCACTCTGATAGGTGTGCTGTTAAGATTTAGGGAGTACCCTGTTGCAGTCAGTGGGGACATTCGTGGGATGTTCCACCAGGTGCGGCTCTTCCCAAAAGACATGCCACTCTTGAGATTCATCTGGAGAGACATGGAGAAGGAGCGCAGCCCGGACATTTATGAGTGGTGTGTGCTGCCCTTCGGGACTACCTGTAGCCCCTGCTGCGCCACATATGCCCTGCAGCGCCACGTGCAGGACCATAAAGAGGGAAATGAGCAGGTACTGGACTGTCTTTTGCGCTCATACTACGTCGATAATTGCCTGCGGTCCCTGCCCTTTCCATCTCAGGCACGACCCCTCATTGACAACACCAGAGCACTGTTAGCGACAGGTGGTTTTGAGGTCAGGCAGTGGGCTAGTAACTTTCCTGAAGCCATAGCACACCTTTCCACAGACGCGAGGTCACCCACTTGTGAGCTGTGGCTAACCGCTCACAAACCAGATCCACAAGAGCCAACCCTCGGGCTGGCCTGGCACTGCTCGTCCGACCACATCAGCTACAGATGCCGCCCAGTCACTCCTCATGAGCCAACAATGAGGAACATCTATAGCATCCTCGCCTCACAATACGACCCACTCGGCTTCATTGCCCCTTTCACCACGCGTGCCAAGCTCATCGTGCAGCTGCTGTGGCAGAAGGAGAGACACTGGGACGAGCCAATTGAGGGTGAACCGCTAAGACTATGGAATGATTGGGTGAGTGAGTTGCAGTATCTCCCAGACATTTGCATGCCCAGATGTTACACTACTCCAGAGACATGCAACGGGACTGTACAGCTGCATGTATTCTGCGACGCATCTGAGCGGGCCTATGGAGCAGTGGCCTACCTGAGATTCGAGTCAGCAGAACATGAAGTGCACACTGCTTTTGCCATGGCCCGGTCACGAGTGGCACCGAAAAGACAACTGTCAATCCCCCGCCTAGAGCTATGTGCAGCGCTGGCAGGGGCACAGTTATCCAAGCTCCTCCTCTGTGAGCTTACTCTCCCAGTCCACGACACCACTTTGTGGACAGACTCTACCACTGTTCTTAACTGGATCCAGTCGGAGTCCTGTCAATACAAAGTTTTTGTAGGCACCCGCGTTGCAGAACTCCAGGAGCTCACAGAGGGCGCCAGCTGGAGACATGTACCCTCTCCTCTGAACCCAGCAGACGACATCACCCGGGGGAAAACGCTGCTGGAACTGTCTACACCAGGCCAATGGAGGGACGGTCCATCCTTTCTCAGACAATCCCCTGTACACTGGCCCGACCAGCCGGCTGCGTGTAATGACTCTACCGATAATGGTGAACTAAAGAAATCTGCTCTCTGTGCCCATGTTTCAGTTTGCCTCACGCAGTCTGACCCTGCAGCGTATGACTCCTGGTCTGAGCTGGTTCAGACAACTTACCTGTCATCTCACGGGACGGCAGCCCCACCCATGTCTGCAGTCCAGCGTATAGAGACAGAGATCCAGCTGCTCAAACAGGCACAGCTGGACAGTTTCCCAGCAGAGGTAAACTCACTCACAGCTGGAAATGATGTGTGCTCGGACAGTAAACTCTGCAATCTGTCCCCTGAGTATGACACCCAGCTGGGCCTGATCAGAGTAGGGGGCCGCCTCCGCAGAGCAGAAAGTATTGATATTGACACATTGCATCCGATCGTCTTGTCACCAGGGCACCCCACAACTCAGCTCATTATTAAAGATTTTGACACTCGCCTCATGCATCCAGGCCCTGAGCGTGTTTTTGCCGAACTTAGGCGCACGTACTGGGTTTTAAAGGGCAGGCAAGCAGTGAGGAAACATCAACATCACTGTGCTGAGTGCAAAAGGTGGAGAGCTAACCCGGTCACTCCCAAAATGTCAGACCTCCCTGCCAGTAGGCTGCGCTTGCAGCAGCCTCCATTCTGGTCCACTGGGGTCGACTGTTTTGGGCCATTCACCATAAAGATAGGCAGGAGACAAGAAAAACGCTGGGGCATTATTTTTAAATGTCTTACTACCCGCTGCGTGCACCTGGATCTACTTAGTAGTATGGACACGGACTCTTTCCTCATGTCTCTGCGCCGTTTCATTGCGCGTAGGGGAAAGCCCTTTGAAATACTGAGCGACCAGGGCACAAACTTCAGAGGAGGCGACAGGGAGCTACAAGCGGCATTTAAAGCCATGGAACCACAACTGCAGGAGAAGCTGAGTGAGCAGAGCATCACTTTCCACTTCAACCCCCCACATGCTCCACATTTTGGGGGAGCCTGGGAGCGGAAGATCCGCTCTGTCAAATCTTCACTCCAGGTAGTTCTTCAGGGTCAAAGTGTTTCCGAGGACTTGTTGCACACTGTTCTCCTTGAAGTGGAGGGGATACTTAATTCTAAACCGCTTGGATATGTGTCCTCTGACATTGCAGACGTTGACCCCGTCACTCCAAACATGTTGCTCATGGGGCGGCGTGACGCTTCTCTGCCTCAAGCTGTGTACGGCACGAGAGAACAGCTAGGGAGACGGAAGTGGCGCCACAGCCAGGTGATTGCCGACCACTTCTGGACTCAGTTTACTCAGCGGTACCTACCTGCACTTCAGCACCGCCAGAAGTGGCAAAAGACTGTTTCACCCCTGACAATCGGACAAGTTGTCATGGTGGTGGACTTCCAGCTTCCGCGTGCACTCTGGCCTGTGGGTAAGGTCACACAGGTTTTCCCCAGTTCAGACGGACAGGTCAGAGTGGCTGAAGTAACTATAGGGGAGCACACTTACCGACGCCCAGTGGCTAAACTTATCGCACTACCAGCTATGCCTTTGGACGGCAATTAACTGTAACCACGTGGGTTTCAGGGTTTGCTAATGTGCTGCTCACATTAGGGGGCGGCTGTATAAAACCCCCTGTGGTCAGTTTCACTTGAACTGCTCCACGGCCCCCCTGCTAATGGGACATTCCATTCTACCTGGGCATGTCTTAACTTGTTCAGTTCAGTGTTGCCGATGTTGTTGCTTAGAGCATGTGCAGTGCTTGTGTGCGTCAATTACGAGTAAGTAATACTGCAATTGGAATGTTAGAAGCTATATTTCTCATGCCTGGTATTGTATATATGTGTATTGCCCATATAAATGTGAAGTTCTGTTAGTAGTTTCAGCCACGAGGCACCTTACTGACACGTGGTCAGCTTAGTAAGACATTTCAAAGTGTTACATGTGTTAAATATTAGTTACATATTATTTGTGTGCCTTAAAATGCATATCGTGATGTTCACTTTGCACATTTGCCTAGTTTGGCGTTGAGTAAAGTTTTCCCTTTGTTCCTAAGTGCAATTACCTTGCCGTGCGCTAGAGGCGCTGTTTGGCACAGCCATAGTCCTGCCCCTACTCATTAACATTCATATCACCTCCATTATAGACTTGTAGCTCTAAGCGTGCAGTACATTTTTAAGACCACCAGGTTGCGCCATTATCCCCAGATCATATCGTTCCTCCTGTATAATGACCACCCTGTAACTTGTTTGTATTTACTGTATGCCTGGGCCTAATTGTTTGTTCTGTTGTTTTACAGAAAACCACACACACACACACACACACACACACACACACACACACACACACACACCCACACACACACACACACCTCCCCATGTACAATAAAGTGTTCAGTTTGAAATAAACTCGGAAACATAAAGGCTTGGACATTCCCTTCATCACCAGTCTCCAAAATTCCTTCTGACAGAGGAGAGGACGAGCTGCCAACCACCAGTATTTTAAGCACGCACATGTCCTAAATAGACACATTTTTAGATTTAACAAATGAACTTGTTTTCTGATGAGAGGCAGGCAGCATGACGACAAAACTTACGCCCATAAGCTTTAAACACGTGTTATTTATGAAACTTAAGTTACATACCCCAACTTTAAGGATGCGTTTTTTCATTACGTATCTCAGCTTTACGTGAAAACCGTTTTGCACTTTTTTAATCCAGCACTAGTCCAGACTACGTGGATGTGCGGCCTTATTTTAAACCTTCTTGTTCCTCAGCTTTAAACATGTGGTATTCATGTAACTAAGCTTTGAACATGTGTCAATGATGAGACTAAAGTTACGTATCTCAGCTTTAAACATGTGTTATGTATAAGACTAAAGTTACTTCCCTGAGCTTTAACACTAAGTTCTCGTGCCTCAGAATGTGGCTCTGCTCCTCTCAACACCAGGACCAGGATTGTGGACGGAGAGGACGCCATCCCAGGTTCATGGCCCTGGCAGGTCTCTCTGTGAGTCTGACCTCTGACCTCTCTGACCTCTAACCCTGTGAGTCTAACCTCTGACCTCTGACCCTGTGAGTCTGACCTCTGACCTCTCTGACCCTGTGAGTCTGACCTCTGCAACAGCAGTGTTCCTCCTCAGTCACAGACCTGCAGCTGTGTTTAGATCCATCCATGCTCATATCAGGAACATGTTGCTCCGCCCCTTCTGTCCTGTCTCGTGCTGCGTTCATGTTATCTTACACACACCCACACACACACGCAGGCACAGAGGCACACACACAGACACACCCACATACAGAGAGACACACACATATACACACAAACCCTGAAAAAAGTATTATAGTTTTTTTGAGCAACAAAAGTGTGTTTCTTTCACATGAATGATCAGATATGGGACCCACAAGGGTCGGTCCTTGGTCCACTGCTCGTCTCACCTGATTCGACATGTTTCTGTGCAGAATCAGGTCCTCTGGTCCTTTTCACTTCTGTGGTGGAACTCTTATCAACGACAGATGGATCCTGACTGCAGCTCACTGCATGGACAGGTCAAAGTTCACACATTACACCTGATGCACTCTCTGAACATCAACCTCACAACCAAATGCAGACAGAGACCAGGGAAAGAGACCAGAGAGAGACCAAAGAGAAGGACCAGAAAGAGAGAGTCTCTCTCTCTGATCTCTCAATGGTCTCTCTCTCTTGTCTGTCTCTCTCTGGTCTTTCCTTAGCTCAGGTCTGACGAGGGCCCCTGACTCTGTTTTATCTGATCTCTCCTCAGTTTGAACATGTCAGACATCACTGTGTACCTGGGGCGCCAAACACAGCAGCAGACAAACCCAAACGAGGTGGCGCGAACCGTGACGCGGGTCATTAACCACGCAGAGTATAACAAAGACACGGTTCAGAACGACATCAGCCTCCTGCAGCTTAACGCCACTGTGTCCTTTAGTGACTACATCCAACCGGTGTGCCTCGCCGCACACGGCAACGAGCCTGACAGCAGTACCAAAGTGTGGGTCACGGGCTGGGGCAACATCGACAAGGAGGGTCAGCACTAAACACACAGCACCAGTGACTGCATACTAGCCTGGCTCTTCCAGACCCATGTAGTTCCGCCATGCTCCACCAGAGGTGTTTGGCTGAGCCACATTGGTCTGGTATCGAGGGTATACCAAACTCCTTCTGCAGATCAGAAAATAATCAACCAATCAGGATCGCCGGTGTTACGTCGGGTTTGCACTGCCTTCTCGTGCGTGTCTGACACAGCAGCGAAAGGAATCCAAGATGGTGGACCGCAAATCTTTTTAAAAGTTTCAGTACGAACAAATTAAGACACGGATGTCACTTTTAATGGAATTTGAGGCGAGATGTTGATGGTTCTATGTTGATAGTGTGTTTTAAGAGTCAAATGTCCGTGTAAAGTTTGGTTTAAAGTGGTTCTCACCCCCGCTCCTCGGAGCTTACGTCACTCACATTTCCTGTTCAAATCTTCCTCTAAATGGGCGTAGCCTGGAGGACTAAAGGGGCGTGAACGAGACTGGGCCGTTTACATTGCTCTGGGCGGGGGGCTGCTGACGTCAGGTCTTGCTTCAGACGTCAGGTCCAACTTCTGTGCCAGTGTTGGCGCCAGATTCAAAATTCAAATGTAGTAATACAGGTCGCCAGCAGATGGCGCCTCACAGACGGTTTTAGGCAGAAAGTCTAACTTTCAACTAATTTGCACCAAAGTGACAAGATTATGACCAGGATATGTAGACAACACTATTGGACACTCATTTATACCGTTTATCAGCAAAAAAAAGTGGATTTGAGGGTGAGTTGTCCTTTAAGCACTAGGGTGGGTGTTCCTGTTTACACACTATGCAGCAGGGTTGCCAGGTTGGGTGGTTTCCCGCATACTTTTTCCAAGAGACTTGTAGGTAATACATAAACAGAAAGACAATAAACAGAATCATGATAGCCCAAGTTGATTACATAACGTTTTTAGCCCAAAAATTTGTTTATTTTTTTGGGGCATTCTCGCGGATTTTGGGCTGGAAAATCTTGCCGGCATTTGGCAACCTGTGAGAGTCGTGTGCTTCGATGTGAGTGGTTGAAAGCAGACGTCATTCAAGCAAACAGACAAGTGGTTTATCCAATCACATACAAGGATTTTTTTCTGCAAGGCCCTGCCTTCTGAAATCCAACTCCTATGAGAGACCAATGTGGCTTAGCCAAACTCCTCTGGTGGAGCATGGCGGAACTACATGGGTTTGGCAGAGCCAGGCTAACTGCATACAGGAGGACAATGCTAACACAGACTATTTACTGGAGGACAATGCTAACACAAACTGCATACAGGAGGACAATGCTAACACAGAATAACACGACGCTAGCCTGGCCTTATCCATCCGTACACTCCGCTCAATCATCATTTCCCTGCATGCAACGTCTGGGTCTGGTCCCTGTGTTTGTGGTTGAATTCCATCCGACCAATCAGCGAGCGCGGGAGGCGGGTATTGTAGTTAGTTGTGGGTGACGTCAAGAGTTTGCACCAAACGGGCAGGTTGTGGTTTGGCAATGAAGAGAAGAAGAATGTGATAGTAAAGTAATCCGGTCAAGAAATTGAAGCCGGAGCCAGAGGAATGTTTAGCAAATGTAATTGCTGGCAAAGATTGTGGCGCTACTCCGGCACGGTGGCTGAGTGGATAGCACTCTCGCCTCTCAGCAAGAAGGTCCTGGGTTCGAATCCCGGTTGGACCAGGGCCTTTCTGAGTGGAGTTTGCATGTTCTCCCCGTGTCTGCGTAGGTTTCCTCCGGGTACTCCGGTTTCCCCTACCACTAAAAATATGTACAATAGGTCTGGCATGTGCCTCCTGTACTGGCGACCCTGCTCCCAAAAATAACAATTGTAAACCGCTTTGAGACTCCGATGTGCAGTGAAAAGGCGGTATATAAATAAAGATTACTACTACTTACTTACTCCCCACGGGCTCTGTTTGTGGCAATGGAGATGGCTAGGCTAACCACTCACCCGGGTGCATCACAAACGTCACGGTAAACTCAGATCCAAACGTTTCAATCTGCAAAAGGAGTTAACCCCTCCCACCTGTAAACGGAGCTCAATGGAGCACCTCCAGACCTTAGTATGAAATGTAATTGTACTATGGTGTGGTACGACCAGGCTAACACGACGCTAACAGAGGCTGTATACAGGGGGACAATAATAACAGATGCTGTAAACTGGTGGATGATGCTAACCCGCTAGCTCAGTGAAGCCTAATGATGAACTCTCTCTGGCTTCTTTTGTCTCAATTGTAAAATACATGGTTTTGGTTTACTGTACAGATTCCTTCAGTGTGACCTCCTCTCTACTCGCTCCTCTCCTTTCTCCTTTCCTCTCTCCTCAGTGGAGTCTTGTCCCTCAGTCTGGTCTTGTCTTCTGTCCCTCAGTGTCCCTGCCGTTCCCGGGCTCTCTGCAGGAGGTCCAGGTCCCCATTGTGTCTCGAACTCGTTGTCTCACCTTCTACTCCATCGCAATCACTGAGGACATGCTGTGTGCTGGCACCGACACCAAAGGCTCCTGTCAGGTCTGAGAACCAGGACTGAGACTGTAGAACCAGATCCTAGACTGTAGAACCAGGACTGAGACTGTAGAACCAGATCCTAGACTGTAGAACCAGGACTGAGACTGTAGAACCAGGTCCTAGACTATAGAACCAGGACAGAGACTATAGAACCAGGACTGAGGCTGTAGAACCAGAACTGAGGCTCTCCTCTCTCTTCTGTCTTTTCTCTCCCCTCCCCTTCTTTCTTCCCCCCTTCCTCTCTCTCCTCTCTTCTCCTCTTTCCTGTCTCTCTTCTCCCCTCTCTTACGTCCTTCTGTCGCCTGTCCCCAGGGAGACTCGGGTGGTCCTCTGGTCTTGAAGATCGGTAAGACCTGGGTTCAGTTTGGAGTGGTCAGTTTTGGTCGTGAGAGTGGCTGCACTGATGCACCCAATGTCTTCACCCGTGTGTCCCGGTACCAAACCTGGATCAAGGACCGGGTGTCCAACAACACCGGGTTTGTGGAGGAGGACGGGACCTTCTCCAGCGCAGAGAGCCCGGTCCACACCCTGAGCATTGTTCTGGTCCTGAGCTTGGCCCAAGTCCTGGCACCATAGCACCAGGATTTGTGAAGGAGGACACTGAGAGCCCGGTCTTGACCCGGGTCCAGGTCCTGATCCTGACCTTGGTCCTGGTCCTGATCCTGACCCATGCCCTTCTCTTGACCCTGGTCCTGACCCTGAAGTTTGTTCTGATCTTTTCCTAAATTAGTGTATACAGTTTGTCCTGAAGAATGACCCTTGTGGATAAAAGTGTATTATTTACTTTCAAATTTGACTTCTGTGGGACCCGTTTTCATGTTTTATTAAAAGATACAATTAATTAATTTTTCTAACTGAGATTCTCTGGCTTTGGCTGAATACATTTTGAATGACCACACACCATACATACACTAGGGATAGGGTTAAGCTTTAGTGTCTTAGGGTTAGTGTAAGGAGACTAAGGTTAGGGTTAGTGAGTGTAACTAGATTATGATTAGGTTAGGTTTAGTTGATTAGGGTTCAGATTTGCTTTGGTGTAATCAAGAATCAAGTTTGTCAACCAATTTTCAACCATAATTATAGACTAAGAGGAAACTTGACTGCCCTGTTACGGCACAAAGCTTACGCTGCGGAAGAAATGCCCGTGTTTATTGTTTATGTCTGGGTGTCATTATCGACAGTTCACTCTCCTTCCAATCTCACATCAATAACATCACTCGGTCCGCCTACTTCCACCTGCGCAATATCTCTCGTCTCCGCCCCTCTCTCACCCCCCACACCACCGCCATCCTCGTCCACAGCCTCGTCACCTCAAGGATTGACGACTGCAACTCTCTTCTTTTCGGCCTCCCCAACAAATCCCTCCAGAAACTGCAGCTCCTTCAAAACTCTGCAGCTCACATCCTCACCCGGACCCCCACAGCTGACCACATCACCCCCGTACTCCGACAACTCCACTGGCTTCCTATTAAACAGCGCATCAACTTCAAAATACTCCTCACCACTTTCAAAGCACTTCACAACCTGGCCCCTCCGTACCTATCTGACCTCCTCCACCCTGCCACTCCTGTCCGCACACTCCGCTCCTCCTCCACCCTCACACTCTCCGTTCCCCCAGCCAGACTCATCACCGTGGGACACAGCCTTCAGCCGTTCTGCCCCCCAGCTCTGGAACTCTCTCCCCCCTGACCTCCGTACCATAGACTCTCTCCCACTCTTCAAATCCAGACTCAAAACCCATCTGTTCAGACTGTCCTACCCCACCTAACACACACACACCCACCATTCCATAATGTACTTAACTGTTTTATTCTGTTGATCCTGTTTTAATGTTTTTATTATGCTCTGTACAGTGTCCTTGGGTGTTTAGAAAGGCGCTTTTAAATAAAATGTTTTATCATTATTATTATTATTATTATGCACTCTGTAATATACTTTCTATAGTCGACTAGTGAATGATAAGAGAGGGTACAGTGTGGATGAGATTCATATGGGCTGCTTTGAAAAAGGTGGTTCCTCCATCTCCATACACAAGATGGCCGACTGGGGCACACCATTGTTTCAGGTAAATTTAAGCATAATCAAAAGCAATACTGAAAATAAACCATGAAATGAGTAGTTTGGTTTGTAAATATGAAAAACAAGTGACAAAGTAAACTCACTTTGTCACGGTCCCCACAAGGAAATGTGTTTCAGGCTCCATCAGGCATCAGCAGTAAACTCACAGTTATACATAGACCAAAATCATCAGTAGAATATAGCAGGGGTTCCCAAAGTTTTTAGCCCGCGACCCCCATCATAAATGCCCTGCTAACCCGCGACCCCCCCCCCAACAGCCCTTCCGTCACATGAAATGAGCATGTATTTCCTTGATACGGAGTAACGCTTTCTAGAGACTCACGCCACTACCGAGCTGCACTGTCCAGCCCAAAAAAGGAGGCTTGCATATTTTTACTCATGTAGTGACACAGTGATGGGCTTGGTGGGCTTCCTCCTCAGCAGAAGTGGAGCGCATTTCTTGCGGCTCGCCCTCACTGTTCTCCTACCGCGGTAAAGTGGGCCGGCTTTCCGGAGTCAGCGGTAAAGAGGTCCGCACATTAAAAGCGGGCGGCCGCTTTCTGCTGTTACTTTATGCGGTTCATCCCCGCGGCTTCTCTTTCCAAAGTTACTGTCAGTAAAGGCATAAACCGGCCACCCGCTTTTAATGTGCGGACCTCTTTACCTTTGACTCCGAAAAGCCGGGCCTCTTTAACGCGCTGTTCTACCGCTGTCCTCCCTCCCTCCGCTGCCCTCTCTCCCTCCGCTGCCCTCTCTCCCTCCTCTGCCCTCTCTCCCTCCTCTGCCCTCTCTCCCTCCTCTGCCCTCTCTCCCTCCGCTGCCCTCTCTCCCTCCGCTGCCCTCTCTCCCTCCTTTGCCCTCTCTCCCTCCTTTGCCCTCTCTCCCTCCGCTGCCCTCTCTCCGTCTCTTCGCACCATCAGCCTGACCCCTGATACAAGTGACTTTTCTCCCCCTCCGGGTTTTTCTGTTGTGGATATTAACCACGGTTCATTTTAAAGCAGGTATTATTTATTTGTAGCCTCCAAACACCTTTAGTTTTAGCAAACAACAGCAGGACACGCTTTGTCGCTGCGCATGATGTGAGCTGCGTTACGTGATGATTTTGATTGACGCTGCAATGACTGGGACAAAATTACTAACGTTATTAAAATATATTATAGTCTCCAAACACAATTTAACAAGTAGTCCTTTTGAATCAGATCAAATGCTAAATAAATATTTAAGGGCTTTATATTTGCTCAAAAAAACAAAATCTTTTTTTTTTTTTTTTTGTAGAAATCATCATGCGACCCCCCCAGGGGTTCCCGCGACCCCCCGGGGGGTCGGGACCCCCACTTTGGGAACCACTGGAATATAGAATGGGCGACACAGCGGTGCAGGGGTGAGAGCTTGTGCAAGAAGGTCCTGGGTGCGATTCAACCTCCAGGCCTTTCTGTGGGGTGTTTGCATGTTCTCCCCGTGTCTGTGTAGGTTTACTCCGGGTGTAATGAATGAGTGAATGTATGTTGGAGGCTTCTATACGCAAGTGTATTCTGACCTTTTGTCTGCACAAAAAAAGTGAAGATTACTTACTGACTTACTAGATAGATGTAAAGTCAATGATCAAAATGTTAATTACAACACGAAAATAAAAGAGAGGAGTGAGCTACTATGCATTTCCTTATGGATATGTATGACAACAATACGTTTATATTATAAATGTAAGCCTTTGGAGGGTTAAATGAAATAACAGGAACCACGCTGCTTTAAGAGCAAAGTGGAACCTGAATTTCTGCTGCCGCTGCTGCGATGTTTGAAAATCAAATCCCAAAGTCAACATAATGTTGTGTGATTACATTTGTTGGCCACTTCCTTATGTACTGTAGGATAGCAGGTTAATTTACAAAGTTGGAGTAATAAGGGACAGTTACTTGATCGCAGCCTCAGGTCTGGAGCGGCTCCTCTGCAGGCTGCACAGAGGCGGGACTAAAACACATCAGACCTGTTTGAAAATGTGTAATCCCTCTCAATATGACATTCAGACCATGTGCCACACCTCATACTGTGTGTACTGTGTGTGCTGTGTATACTGTGTGTACTGTGTGTGCTGTGTGTACTGTGTGTACTGTGTGTGCTGTGTGTACTGGGTGTGCTGTGTGTGCTGTGTGTGCTGTGTGTACTGTGTATACTGTGTGTACTGTGTGTGCTGTGTATACTGTGTGTATACTGTGTGTGCTGTGTGTGCTGTGTATACTGTGTGTGTGTGTACTGTGTGTGTGTGTATACTGTGTGTACTGTGTGTGTGTGTACTGTGTACTGTGTGTGCTGTGTGTGTACTGTGTGTACTATGTGTATACTGTGTGTGTACTGTGTGTGCTGTGTGTACTGTGTATACTGTGTGTATACTGTGTGTGCTGTGTGTGCTGTGTGTGATGTGTATACTGTGTGTGTGTGTACTGTGTGTGTGTGTATACTGTGTGTACTGTGTGTGTGTGTGTGTGTGTGTACTGTGTGTGCTGTGTGTGTACTGTGTGTACTATGTGTATACTGTGTGTGTACTGTGTGTGCTGTGTGTACTGTGTATACTGTGTGTGCTGTGTGTACTGTGTATACTGTGTGTATACTGTGTGTGTACTGTGTGTACTATGTGTATACTGTGTGTATACTGTGTGTGTACTGTGTGTACTGTGAGAGGATAAAACACTGATAATGTAATAACCACACAGAGGCAGGGACTGCATTCTCTCTGGATTTTATTCTTTAGGAAGAGTCCTGTTGGGTTTACAAAATGCACTGGTAGAAATCGCTGTGACGGGTCAGTGAGAGAGTGTGGGTCTCCTGCCCTCTGCCCACACGGATACACACACCACCTCCAGCTCCACCTCCACCTCCAGCTCCACCTCCAGCAGAAAACAGTCTCTAACTCCAAACAGACCCTCACCAAGTCCACTTTTTTACTCTTTAGTGATTTTTTTGGTAATTTTTCACATTTTTTGTTTTCAAAAATAGAAGAAAAAAGCAAATAACTTTAAAAACGTCTATCTATTTATATATCTTTTATTCCTTTGAATTCATTTTCTTTTATGTCCTGAAGATGACTGTTAACCCACGGTGTGGCATGCACATAGCACATGCATTTCTGGAACTATATATTTTTTCCTTTAAAATCTTTTGTATTTAAAAAAACCTTTTTTGTCAGTTGCTTTACATTGCTTTTTAAAGACTTTTTGTGGTTAATCAGCGTGTTAGTGGATTCACTGCAGCATACACACAAAACACATGGATGTGGGGAACTTGTTGACATCAGGTGCACACTCGCCCATACAAAAGTCACACAACTTTTCAAATAGTGATTTTTCCAAAAACAATTCTATAGACAAAAATCAAAGAGTCAAAGCAAGCACAGTTGTTGATAAATTCACTCATTCATTCGTTCATTAAAACGCATTCAAAACGAGCAAACCAGGAGCTACATACCTGTGCTTTCTGATTAGTCAAAGTGAAATGAACAAAAGTACCGTGACATTCCACTGAGGTTGGAAAGACACATTTAGGCAGTTAGTCTTTTCTGGTGTGTTCTTTTTTTTTCATTATTTTTTCATACTTATTTATTCGGTGCATTCTCTGGTCAATGTGTGATAGGCCTCCAGGTCAATAACAGGTCAGTAAAAAACAGAAAAACAAATATTCTGAGCAGACAGTGGTGCGCATTAGTGACAAAAGTGTTAGTTTGAGGCACACAGAGAAACACGCAAAATAACATCAAATAAAGTACAAACGTGACATAGAAGATGAAGGCCGTGGCGCAGCCCGGACATCTTTTTTTTTAAAATTTCCCCTAAAAATGTAAAAAGTTCCTGCGTTTGTGTTGGAGCAAACGCAAGCCCCCTGGTCCACTATCCCAGGACAGGAGAGCTGGAATGGATTCTTATCGTGACAGGGCTGGGAAAAACGTGGGACATAACATGGAGAGATTGTTGTTGCACAGCGCCACCCTCTGGTCACTGGTGGCAGTACAGGAAACGAGTTTAAGCCGAGCAGTGGTTCTCAAAGGGTTCATGAGCAGATGCTTTTACAATTTGGGCAAAAATAACCATAACAAATCCTTTCGTTTGCTGCTTGTTCGGCGCTACGGAGGAAAAGCAAGGATTTACTTTTGTACCTTTGGTATTTATTGTTTATTAACTTAAATCTAGTTCAAGTTATGTTTTAAAAGGAAGTAAATTCATTCTATTCCATTTACAATAGTTGTGGGAATAATACATTCTGGAAAACTTAACCTGTGTAATATCCTCTGGGGAGCTACTTAGAAGGGGTGAGCTACTGTTAGATCTAAATTTAGAGCTACATCCTACATTTAACAGTTTATTTTAATGATTTTGTTTGTTTTAATTTCTTTTTCATTATTATTACTATAGAAATAGCCCTGTACTTTTTTTTTTTTTTCCTGGGGAAGGCCAACTAGTTATTTATGGACGTACTCAGGACCAACAATTCTTGCGTTTAACATTGGTACATTTCTTGGTACCAGGAAAAAACCAAGGCTAGCAATAATTAAGAACTATTGGACATTCAGCGGTTGAAATGATTAGAAGAATATGCATTTCTTCTGTTGATTGTATTGAATTAAAAGTCTATTGATGTGTTGTCCAAAATGGCCGAACTGTGGCAAGAAGAAGCTAAATGCTAAAAAAGGTCTGGTTTAATCTTACTGTAATATTGTGAGAGAAAGTGGTTCTGAATAGTGATACCTTGGAAAGCATTTTGCAGATGATGGACTTAGATGGAGATGAGTAAAGCCACTTTCGGACATGTTGATTGCATTTACTTGTTTCTTGTGGAATATAAAACCAAGAGCACGTAGCAGTCTTTAAAAATAATGATTACACAATTATTAAAATGTGCCAATATTCAGGTCAATATGATATCAACCCGATAATCCCCAAAATCACAGAAATATGACTTTTGTTAACGAGAGAGAGAGAGAGGGGGAAGGTGCCTCTTTATCACTGACTGAAAAACTGTGTCAGCCGATCCCCAGATATTTTTTTTCTTAAAACATACTACAGGAATCAAGGCTTAGTCCTGTTTTTGTTTGTGGTATTGGATAAAAAAGTCAAAATGTCCTGTAAAAAGTTTGAGAACCATTGCCACAAACTCATGTTCCCACTCTGCACACACTGTGGTATGTCTCCCCCTGGTGGACAGACACACTCTGCACACACTGTGGTATGTCTCCCCCTTGTGGACACACTCTGAACAGACCGCATGTGTCTCCCCCTTGTGGACGGACACACTGTGCACACACTGTTTCAAACACATCTTAACATTGTGAATATATTTTTTAGGAGAAAAAAAATCAATTTTTCTTTTTTTCTTTTACATTTTGAACACCTCTCTGCTTTGTTCGTCTGTTTGACATGTGTGGAACCCCAAACCCTGGAAGACTTTCGCAAGATATGGTCTGCTAACTTTTCCGTTGATTTTTTCAATTAGATTTGTTCATTGTTAATCTACGTTTGACTTATCCCGACTTCCTTGTCTTCACATACCCTGCTTTCCTGTAGCATTACTGCCATTGTTACAAAAAAGTTCCCGTAAGAAAAACATGTGCAATATCGACTTTCTGTGGCAGCATTTGGCACGGAACATACAAACAAGCAAGCCAAAAGTAACGCTCTTTTGTGAAATTGGATCCTTCAAATAATTTGATTGTAGAGGACATAAAAGGGAGAAAAGAGGAATGTTTGTTAGCGTCAGACAGCGCGGCGAGCAGGGAGGTGTTCAGAGCGCGAGCAAATGCAAACAAATGAGAACAAGATGACAGAAGAAGTGGCTCCCCTGCGAACAAGAGATTTTCATTGTTACTATTATTTAGTATCCGTCATGCAGGTTTCCACAGCTCCACGAGCCGAGAGCCAAGCTGTGGGTGCAACTGAAGATTCAAGCTTCAATGTTTTGTACAAGAGAAGGACAGAAGAGGAACGCTGCGTAGTCTGTCCCAGAGAGCCCCCACCTCTCCAGAGAGCCCCCACCTCCCCTCTGCAGCTCCGAGGCACCGAGGCACTGTCACCAGCGGCACGTAAGAAGATGATAAAACTCATCCAGATTCTCCAAGTGGCTGGGAGGGTTGGCTTTGTTTTCACTTGTTTCGCAGCTGATTTAAGTGTGAGAACAAAAGTGATGTGTCTTTTGTCGAGCCGTAACTCTTGACATCTTGTAGGTGGCTGGCGGCCCGGGGCCAGCGCTCTGGCGGGCGGGGCCAGTGCTCTGGCGGGCGGGGCCAGTGCTCTGGCGGGCGGGGCCAGTGCTCTGGCGGGCGGGGCCAGCGCTCTGGCGGCGCCTCAGTCTGGGGTCATTTGGCATCAGAGGATGAACATGTGTGTGTCCCAGCACTGTTCTCCGCTCGCTCCTCGCTCCCCTGAGGCTAGCACCAGTCCTCCTCCACTTCATTGTAGGGTTCATGCAGGCCCTTGCGGGGCCCCCGCGGGTGCCCGGCTGGAGGGGGCACCTTGTGGGGGCCCGTGTGCCCGGGGCCCGTGTGCCCGGGTCCATGGAGGTGCGCAGAGGGGGATGAGGAGCGGTAACCATTGGGCAGGCGCCTCTGAGTGGGGGGCTGCACCTGGGTGGGCACTGGTCCGGTCAGAGCTGTGGTGGGAGGGGCCCCTGGGTGAACTGTACGTGGGGAGGGGCCCCTGGGGGGGTTATGGGGCTGCATGGGTGGAGGTGGTAGTGGGTGGGGGTTACTGCCCTGTTCATAGGCTGGAGGTTCATGATGAGCCTCAAAGTCCTGACTGTAGAAGTCTCCCTCCGCAGAGCCACTGCCCTCCCCCCAGCGAGGAGGGGGGTGGTGTGGGCGGGGTCCAGGTGGTGGGGCTTGCATCTGGGCCGGCTCAGGAGAGAAGCGGTGTGGTGCTGTGGGCCGGCTCTGGGGCCCAGGTGCGGGTCCGGTGGCCCCCTTCCGCACCACAGGGGAGTAGGTGACGTGGGGCCGCGGGGTGGCGGGGGTCTGAGGCAGCTGTCGGCGGCCCCTCCTCGGGGTGCTGGTCCCAGAGGTCGACGGCACCGGACTCCCACTCACCGAACTACTGCCCTACACCCACATGAAGACACACAATAAAGGAACGCACCAGCAACAAAGCAACAAGTCACACACAGACAGTAACACACAATCACACACAGACAGTAACACACGATCACACACAGACAGTAACACACGATCACACACAGACAGTAACACAAAATCACACACAGACAGTAACACACGATCACACACAGACAGTAACACAAAATCACACACAGACAGTAACACACGATCACACACAGACAGTAACACACAATCACACACAGACAGTAACACACAATAACACACAGACAGTAACACACAATCACACACAGAGTAACACACAGACAGTTTTGCACAGAGGATACACACAGACACACAAAGTCACACGCAGAGGACACACAGTCACAGACAGACAATAAAACACAGACAGTTACACACAGAGGACAGACAGACAGTTACACACAGACACACAGAGATACACAGAGGACACACAGTCACAGACAGACAGTAACACACAGAGGACACACAGTCACAGACAGACAGTTACACACACAGTCACAGACAGACAGTAACACACAGAGGACACACAGACACACACAGACAGACAGTTACACACACAGTCACAGACAGACAGTAACACACAGAGGACACACAGACACACACAGACAGACAGTTACACACACAGTCACAGACAGACAGTAACACACAGAGCAGTGAGACGAAAGGAACATAAATAAAGCAGAGGGCACACGGCCGCACGACACAGGAGAGAAGAGGAAGAGGGAGAGGGAGAGGAAGAGGAAGAGGGAGAGGAAGAGGGAGAGGAAAAGGAAGAGGGTGAGGAAGAGGGCGGGTGACTCTGGGCTCAAACAGGGACATAACAAAGTAACATCAGAGCTCAGGGGTCTGCAGCCTCGGCCCACCCAGGTCATGTGACACTGAAATGGAAGTCAGAAACTGCTTTGGCAGCCTGCAAAAGACTGAGCAATGTAATAGAAATAATACATAAATAAAACCTTCTACATTCCCAGAGGAGTGTGAGGCTGCAGACCCCTGCAGACCTCTGCAGACCTCTGCAGGCCCCTGCAGACCCCTGCAGACCCCTGCAGACCCGTGCAGACCCCTGCAGACCCCTGCTCCAGGCTGCGGTGAGGGGTGCTTGTGCCCACCTGTCTGTGCGTGAGGCACTCGCGGCCCTCACTGGGGGAGCGGGACCACCTCTGCTCTCTGTCGCGAGAGTTCCTGGGTGGGTACTCTCCCCGCTCAGGCCTCTCTCTCTCTGGGACGTAGCGGTCCTTGTCCACAGAGCCGTGGTGGTGGTGATGGTGGTGGTGGTGTTTGCGGTCTTTGGAGCGCCCACGGTCTCGGTCTCGCTCCTTTGACAGGATCTCTGCAGACTGGGACAGCTCCACACCTGGAGACACAACAACATTTGCTTCTTTGATACAATTCAGTCAATGCAACCATTTAGCAGAACTTGTAACTTTGCAGGAGTCGAAGCTGATTCCACATTTTCAAAAGATCCAATAAAAAAAAACATTGTCTCTTTATCGTAGAAGTCTCACAAGAACAAATACTCTGAATACATGACTCCGCTCCGGGCTGAGGGTCACCTGTGTCGGCGTCAGCGTAGCGGTGCAGGGACCTCTCGGACGCCCCGTGACGCCGCTCCCTCCTCCGGTGCCCGTGCCGAGTTCTGCCCTCCTCAGGGACTCGGTCCATGTACTCGTCCTGGCCCCGGTCCCGGTGGCCCCGTCCCGAGCGGCTGTGTCCCAGAGACGAGGCCGAGCGCTTCATGGGGCTGCTGTCGTTTGTGGTCTGAGAGAAGACGCACCGAGGGACACAGAGCAGAGCCAGACGTCACCTCCAGGTCATAAGATTTGACAGGGGAGGTTTCTAGTATTTGTAGTAACTTGTTAGTTCTTGAAGTAGATGTGGCTCAGAAAAAAATCAAAGACAAAATGTACCAAATAATAAAGAATAACTTTTTTTTTTTTTTTTTATGAAGGTGGCGTGTCGGACTGGAAATCTTTCAGACCCTGCGATAGGATATGCCTCCAAAATCCAACACAATCAATGCTTTTAGATGTCAATTAATTAAAAATACTGTCTATAAAAGTCGAAATATAAAAACACGTTCATACAATTACATAATGATAACGAAACAAAACAAAAAACTTTCAAAAAATAATTTGGGAATTATTTTCAATTACAAAAAATTATAGTACAGATAAAAAAATCTCAATATTTTAAGAAACTAGTGTCACATTTTCAGGACATTTCTAGAGCCAAAGTCGTCACGGTGGTCTTCGTTAGAGCAAGTTTTAACATTCAATCTTTACAAATTTAATTTAATTTAATTTTTTTTTAGAAAGATAAGGATTATTACTAAGAATTATGACTGAATGTATTTAAAAAATCCTATCAATTGAATGAGATTAAACAGGAAGTGAGTAAGTTATCTTGGTTATTTTGATGCCTGTTCACAACTTCTAAAATATTAGTCCGCGCCTGTAGTGACATTTTTATTTTATTATTTTATTCTTAATCGAAAAAAAAAAGAAGGAAAGCGCCTGTAGTGGTTTAAAGTGTTCCCCGTTGGAGGAAACATTTTACAAAATCCACATGCGTTTGTTGAACATGCAAATAGTTTAATGCAGATTATGACAAAGTTGTTTTCTTCAGCATTAAACAAACTCACCTAAAATAAGCAATATTTAAAAATGTATTGAACCCAATTAAAAAAAGTTCAACACAATACATTTTTAGGCGTTATAATCGATAAAAATATATCTTGGAAACTCCACCTGATGACAAAAGTGACTACATGTGTTGGAAAGACTGTACTTTACTTTACTAGCATTCATTCTTAAAGTCAAAGTCAATGATTGTGCAGCAGTTTGGAGAATCTGTTACAACTCCCACTTAACGTCAGATTGTGTTTGGAGTCAGTAAAGGCATCGTTCTAACCCACTTCGTATAAATCTATCAACATTTATGATCGGTCTGGATGGTTTGATTCTCTCATCTGTGTTGGCGAATCGGCCGCTCTGTAAAGTCCTCCAAGATGACTACTGTTGTGATTTAGGGCCGACACAAAAATAAATTGAATTGAATAAAACTGAAAGAACTTAAAGGTATGTAGAAGGATTATCTTAAATTTTAGGAAAGAACCGCCCTCTCCTCTTTTTGAACAAATCTCCCTGGTCTTATTGGACGAGCACACATCACCAGAATGATTGACAATTGGGAGGACCATTAGTCTTTGGAATTGGAATGTTTTTAAGTTATCATTTTAATGTAGTAATATGTAATTCAAGTAATATGTGGCTAAAATGTATTGTTTTCACTGTTAGCTCCAGGCTGTCTCGGGGGTAACAGGGGTTGTATGCAGATGGGACCAGACTAGGACTCATTTTCTTTGATGGATGCGATTACCAAAGGTCTCATTGTGAAGCTGTGACTGTGTGGAAGTGGAGCTGTGTCTGATCTCCTGCTGTACTGTTTTGCAGCCTGACTAAGACTAAGGCAGACAGGCTGTGGAAGGAATCTGAGCTGGTTGTGCTCCTTCTCTTCAGACATGTCTCCTTGGAAAGACAACCAAGTATTAAAGAATGCCTGAACTATGTCTTTAGTCTATTTGATTTTGACAGGATTGACTGTAAATGACAGCATTAAAAGTCTCGAAGTCGAAAATCCTCATATATACCGTTAAGCTTCAGGACTTTCTGTGTGTGTCATGTGTTTTGTTAGCGTACTGTAGGGTAGTGCTTCATGTTTTTGATTGTATTGTAGTTAGGGTTAGGGTTAGTTAGGTAGTTTAGGCATTCTGCACATTTGCGTAGATGCCAGAGAAAACAAGACAAAATCAAAATCATAAACAAAAGGTAAATAAATCAAAGCAGAAACATGCATTTGGAGCTTGAAAAGTGACTCCCTTATGATGACATTTATTGCGGAGCAGCCTTCACATCGCTTCGCCAGTAGAGGGCAGCACCACCTCAACATCATGTATGTTTTGACTCAAACCGTGTCACATCTTCAAGACTTGCCTTCATCAAGAACCCATTTTTTTTTTTCATCCCAGTTTGAGAATAAATACAACCAGATTGACATAGATTCTACAACATTCCAACATTCCAGGAGAGAAAGCTCTGGTGAAGCTGGATACAACACGGAGCGAAGCAAACATTCTGGTCTCATGCTGCGGTGATGGGGCGGAGGGTCATTTTAACGGGACATGTATGGAGCATAGGGCCACAGCCTTCAGAGCAGCAGAGGAGAGGGGGGGTCTAGCCTGCAGAGGTGGGCAAGACAGACACGGTTTTGATGTGTATGACGAAAAGGTGAAGTCTCATTGATCTGTTGAATTATTATAACCAATCATGTATGAAGAGACTTACCATATTAGGTTTACTTTTACAAATATACTGTAGATGCTCTGTGCAACTTTGCAGGAGAATTCTGCCACTTGAGCGTCCAAATGAAGCTTAAGGTTGCTTTATTTTCCCTTTTGAGGAAATGTGTCTTCTGCATTTGACCCGTCTTGCCACACTGCGGTACGTGCCAGGCAAAACACTAACATGGACGCTCTTTGATAAAGCTCAACACTTTTATTGAAACAAATCCAGACTCAGATTGTGTTGGAGAGGGACTGCAGCACCCACTATTCCTGACAGAGGCCCGATTGGCATGGAGGGGTGGGTCAAATGCAGAGGAGACATCACCATATGGGACAATAAAGTGTACCAAGCATACATATTAAAGGGGCCGTATGTAGTTCGCGCTAAGTGGTCTCAGTGGCACACATGTAGCACTGATTAAAGCTCTAGAAACAGTTTTATTACTCACTTAGAGAATTAATTCTTGGTTTAGACTTTAGTCATTATGAAGAGTTAAATTATAAGACTTATCTCAAGTTAAATAGGAAACTTAAGATTTTTTCTACTCCCAAATGTGAACTGAAAATAGCATGATAGTTGTGATGGATGCAGTGTGTTCCTAATGCAGCGAACATACCCACCTCTAGCAGCTGTTTTAACATTCACTATCTTTAACACTAGAACTCCCAGAGCAGTCAATTTGACAGCTTTTTGTTTTGGAAGAATAATTACTCAGTGAATGTACTTTTGTGTCATCGTTGCAGATTACAGCAGAGAAAGAAGGAAATACGACTCAGATCGCACACATCGAACAGAGTCTATTATTTAAGATAATGTCATTGGTGTTAATCAAATATCTTTCATTCTTTAAATACGAGGAGTTCTACCTTTAACTCCCAGAGAAGTAATTTTGACGGTTGCCTAAATTTTTGTGTAAAATTAAAATGTAGCCTTTTTCGGTCTCTTGGCAACCATTGTTCTATGACACTTCAAGCCCTTTTTAATCCAAGTGTTGGTCCTGGACTGGTTTTGGACTGCTTCTGGTTCTGGTTCTGAGCAGAGTCAGTTTGTTTCTCCACCAGAGAAGAGCAAGTGCTAGTTGCCATAGAAACACAGAAGTTAGTGTTTTATATCCTTTCAACAAACTAAAAATGGCATTGATTTGAACGGGACCCGACAATATGACTGCTCTGGGAGTTCTGGTAGATTCAGGATTCTGGGGGTCCACATCACGAGCACATGCCATAAAAGCTTCCATCGTCGCTCTGGTGTTGGTTACAACATGAAGACACTGGACATCACAGTCAATGCAGACATCGCCATGAGGAGGAGGAGGAAGAGGAGGAGGAGGAGGGGGAGGAGGAAGAGGAGGAGGGGGGGGGGGGGGGTGTGCTGGGTGGAGACAGGACAGGAGGAGGTGCTGTGGTACATACACTGGGGGGAGTGGTACGCTGTTTCCCTCTCCTCCGCTGCTGTTCAACGCACAGAGAGGACACACAAGAAGCCACGACACAGCACACAGTGACCCGCGAGGGCAGACCGGGAGAGACCGGGCAGACCGGGAAAGACCGGGACAGACCGGGGAAGACCGGGACAGACCGGGGCAGACAGAGACACATGACACAGTGCTTCAGATACAAGTGCCACAGCTTTCGCCACAAGGCTCTCCGAACGGACGCCACACATTCGTCAGTTGTGCATGTGTGTGTGTGTGTGTGTCTATATCAAGAAAGTCAAACTGGTCCACAAAGGGCCAGTGTAGTTTTCAGTCCCAATCCGAGCAGGACCAGAGCAAACCCATGTCCTCAGGTGAGTCCAGTTTTAACCATAGACTGTTTATTTTAACGGACGTAGTCACACCTATCTCCGCCGTTCTAACTAATGGGCCAAAAATTGGGCTCTCATGGAGTGATTCAAAATGGCCGCGGGGGCTGGAAAATGGGAAAAAAACGCATCTGCGCATGCGTCAGCTGCACGAGCCCCATTAATCTGAACGAGAAAATTCACAGCGAGTAAACTAGAGTGGTCCAAAACACCCCCTCAGCATTGACACACATGTGGAACGGAGCTTTGGGCCAAGAGCCAACTTTTGGACCATCCTGTAAAGACGTTTTTGAGAGGTAAGAAGATGCTGTATGTTAGCATTGGCTAATTCTTATTCCGGGTCCACCCCCATCGGCCCGGGGTGGTATTGCAGCATGTCAGCGCACGTCATTTTGGCCACTTTTGAGCCGGGACCCGCCCCCACTGGTTGAAGGCCTGAAGACTTGAGGACTTGGGAGGAGTCTGGTCTGAAACCTGCCGCCACATCGACCCTTTCTGGAACCGGTTTGACACCCTTGGTCTCTATGAAGGAGATTCAATGTAATGTAATTGATAGTCTGAGCTATGATGGCGGACCTGAAGTTGGCTGGATGACACTGTGAACTTGTATTTATGATTAGCACAAGGTTAGCACAGAGCCTTACGTTTAAGGTTTAGGGTATGAATAACGTGTAAATAAGGAAAAATAACTGAACTGGAAAACAGTGTGGAACTAAGCACCAAACTTCATCAATCGGAGGATATTATGGTTTTATATTTTTCTGTAAATGTTATTCAGATTCAGAAGAATAGACATTTCATAAACAACTAAGCAACTAGCCTGAAAAAAATGGCAATTCTCTGCTTTATATGATTTGTTTCTGTATTGAATATATATCTATCAAAATTTATGGACATTGTTCACCAGCTCCTTATGGTGTTTTTATTGTTGCATTTTCAGTGTTTGAATTGATTGATTCTCTGATCTGTGTTGGCGAATCTATAGCCTTGTTAAGTCCTCCGAGATAATTACTGTTGGGATTTAGGTCCATAAAAAAATGAAACGAATTGTATGGTCTCACAGTCAATGCTTAAAGTGGTGCTCACCCCCGCTCCTCGGAGCTTACGTCACTCACATTTCCTGTTCAAATCTTCCTCTAAATGGGCGTAGCCTGGAGGACTAAAGGGGGCGTGAACGAGACTGGGCCGTTTACATTGCTCTGGGCGGGGGGCTGCTGACGTCAGGTCTTGCTTCAGACGTCAGGTCTTGCTTCAGACGTCAGGTCTTGCTGCCTCGCCAGTGTTGGCGCCAGATTCAAAATTCAAATGTAGTAATACAGGTCGCCAGCAGATGGCGCCTCACATACGGTTTTAGGCAGAAAGTTTAACTTTCAACTAATTTGCACCAAAGTGACAAAAATATGACCAGGATATGTAGACAACACTATTGGACACTCATTTATACAGTTTATCAGCAAAAAAAAGTGGATTTGAGGGTGAGTTGTCCTTTAAGTTTCTGTTTTCACATACCGCCTATATCTGAGAAATGTAGCATCATCACAAAGTTTTATATAATTCTATAAATTAAAGTCTGCCATATTTGTGATATTTCTGTATTTCAAAGTCACTATGAAGTCACTTATTCAGGTCAACGCGACCTATCATTGACTATTACTTTAAACCTCATGTTTAAAGTTTCCCTATGACTCCATCTCAGACATAGAAATGAGCACAAACAGTGAAATAACAGTTTGTTTTATAAAATTACTTTTAAAGGTCTATTAGACATCAGGATGTTTCACTACGTTGCTAAAATATGCTACAAAGGAACCCTATTACTTTGCCTTTTCTCCTCTGTGTGTGTCATTATTTTGGTTAGCAACGGTTGCTAAGGGGGGCTTTTGCCTAATAAAGTAGTCCCTTTCCTCAAACATGTTTCTTGAGAAGGAGAGTATATATTAGTTATGAGTGTGTGTGTGTCCGTGTGCGTGTGTCCGTGTGTGCGTGTGTGTGTGCGCGTGTGTGTCCCTGTGTGTGTGTGTGTGTGTATGTGTGTGTGTGTGTGTGTGCGTATGTGTGTGTGTGTGTTTTGACCATGGTATAAGCGGATTAAACTACTCCTTGTTGTTTACACCTTACTTATAGAAGACATTTGGGTTTTTCTTGGGTACGATTTAAGTTTATTACGTAACAAGCAACGACATGCTCCGACAAATTCTCTTCAACTAGTGTTTAGTGCCTTCATTGGCAAAGACTATTTTACTTTTCTATTGCTGTAATCTACTATTTGAGCTGTGTAACAAAATATGTCGCGCGGAGAGCCCTGTGAGCAAATTTAGTGAAGCAGCCACAGACACACACTTACCACAAACACCTGGGCACCATGTTTCACCAATGTTTCCCCAACACAATATCCACACACACACACACACCCACACAGACACAGACACACACTCACACAAACACAGAAGCACACACACACACACACTCACACTCACATAGAATCTACAACACAATAACTCGGCAGCACGGGAGGCAGTGGCAGGACTGGTTCTAGAGAGTGCACTCCCAGCATTGGAGGAGGGATTCAAGGTTCTAAGGTATGTCTGCAGAGTTTCTACACATGTATGATGGATATGTTGTTATTGTATGTATGGAAGTAGCCTAGCCTTAGCCATCTGTAAACTCCAGTCAATTATTATTTCCCTTAGTACGGAATTACAGTATTCTTGGGTTTCATACGACGTCAGGGCAGTGGCGCAAATAACAAACGTAGAACAGGATGTGACGTATCCTGGCGGTGCTATCTGCCGGGTTTATACACGGAGATATAGTAGAAGAAGAAGCGCTGTCAAAATGCCATGTTTTTGTGCGGTGTACGCTTGTACCAACCGCACAAATAGAGAGAAAGACAAGAGTTTGTTCATGTTCCAACTGTGGTCTCATATAAAGGAGGACACTTTGAAAACATCACTGGAATGAGGCGGGCGAGGTGGATCAAGGCTTTCCCAGATAAGCGCCCCCTGCAGGCCACCCCAATGAAACGCAGCAATTTCTTCTGTTTTTCTTTCCAAAAATGCCCGAAATCAAGACTCTTTTGAGAAATATTTTTGTCCCACCTCTGCTCATTCGCCCCCTACTGGCCAGTTTAATGAAACCCAAGAATACAATGGTGTGGTAAGACCGGGCTAGTATTGTATTGAAACTGATACTTTGAACATTTTCCGAAGCAGATTTTCAGACTGTTTTAGGTCTAGTAATCATTTCAAAGATGATAAACTATTTTTAAGTTAGAAAAGATCATAGTATAGTCACAAGTTAGAAGATTGTCAAATACCTTGACTTAACCCCAACAAGTAAAGAAACCAAAACGACTCAAATCTACACTATCAATTTGATTAGTTTCTATTTTTCTTTGTGCTACGAGGTCTTGGCTTTAAAAAACTCGCCAACAAAGGAAAGTAGTATAAATGATAGAAACAGTTAAAATAAATGTGTGTCTGACAACCAGAGTGCTCACCACGGAATGAGGATGTGAGATGGAGATAATGGAAACACGTGCATGTCTGTCGGAAAAGGACTGATAAAAAATAAATTTAAAAAACGACAAAAAAAGGTGACAAATATTCAACAATAATATCAACAGCACCAATACTGACTTTCACTGCTTCAGGTGTGTATAATGTTGAAACTAGAAACTGAATTACACTGTTGAGAAATGCACTTGTCTCTCTTTTGCGCACTTTGATTGAATAAAAAAAATTAAAGAAAACCCTAGTCCATTGTTAATTTTGTCGTAGTTTGAATCCAACTAATAGCCCCAGGGCAGCTGTGGCTATAGTAGTAGTTTGTCATCACTGTGAATGGAGAGAATTAATCATGTGTCCAGATAAAGGGCTATAATAAAGCTGATGCACAATAATAATCATTTAAACATGTATATTTATTATAATACTAATTGTTATGATTAAATATTGTAATTGATATGAGATTGAAAATAAACCTAATATTTATGTAAAACGTGACAAAAAGTGCAAGGATGTTTATAATAAATGGCAGTAGTTTGTAGCATAACTAACTATTGTAACTTTCCAATCCTGTCAGTGTGCCCCGGGGCAGCTGTGGCTACAGTAGTAGTTTGTCACCACCGTGTATGGAGTGAATGAGTGATGATGTGAAGAGACTGTGAGTGTCCAAAAAAGCGCTGAATAAAACTGATGCATTTTTATTATTATTAATATTAAAGGGCCTGTATTTAATTATAATAAATATATAAGTGGCCTCTCACTGATGACAAAACTCTTTCTGGACAAAACTAACAGAATGGAAAGTTTGTTTAAATTGGGGATGTCCCGATCCAATCACATGACCAGTTTTTTAACCATAAAACATTTGGAATATAGTCAAATGTACTGTGTTTTAGTGAAATGTGACCAAATCCAATCACAAAGCATGAAGTCAGTAAGTGGATGCAATGGCACAGATGTGATGGCAGGGGGCGCAAGGGGGGGGGGGGTGACAGAGAGGTGAGAATGCTGCTCACTTGGTTGTCGCCAGGGAGCCGCGGCATGGAAGCGGCCCTGCCATGACCTTCCATTGGTGGAAAGTGCTCTGTGTCCGAGTAAGCCTCCTGTCCCATCTCTCGCATCTCTACCGTCTGAAACAGAGCAGGAGATGCAGTGACCAGCTGCCCACACCAGGAGGCGCTGCAGCTGTCGTCTTACCAGGAGCCGGTGCCAGCGATGAGATTGGTGCTGGCTGAGTGATATATATTTTGAATTGAAGAAACAGCCTCTAGAGGAGATTCCAGTGCAAATATAAAACACTGTATGTTGGAGAACGAACTGGATCACAGGGCTCGCAATCGGACTTATTATTTTATAAACTAGACACTATTCAAATGTAATGAATCGTTACAATCGTTATGGTTATTACAGAGTTACCAAGGGCTACTGTGACCTTGTGGTAGTCTTTTATAAGATGAAAAAGAATTAAACAAGGTTAACTCAATCTCTTCTATTTTCTTACTATGAATGAATTAAGTCCAATAGATTATAACGTCTCTTTTTTCCCTCAAAGGTTTGTGATGTAACTTATTGGTTGATCAGCTGCGTGTCGTCTTGGAAATGTCCATTCAATATAAGTAAGTATTTTAATCCAGTATAAAACACTCAAAGCAAATGCATTGAACACAAAAAACTAGGTCGCTCGTTTGTGGGAAAAAAGCCTCTGTTTCCTGCGTCAATAACAAGATTTTCTATATGTGTTTGTTTTTACCTTTTTGTTCCAGTTTTCTGACTATATCGACAGGTGACAGTTCATTTATTTCTGTAGTTCAACTGATAGTGTGTTATTAACTTGGATCTATAATAATAACTGGATAGGCTATTACTAGCTTACAGCTGTTCCACCCATGGCCACAGGGGGCGCTGTGGTACTGCAGCCTAAATTCACATGGGCTACCTAGAAACATTTCTCCATAGAACTCAAAGTAAACCAAAACAGCTCGACCTCAGCTGACAGAGAACCTGACAGAGAACCTACAGAGAACCTGACAGAGAACCTGCAGCTTTCATAAAAAACTGATTTTATGTGGATTTTAGTGTTCCTTGTCATCCTGAACTTTTTTTCTTCTTAAATCCTTCAGGTTTCTTTAAATCCACACTTTACTGCAACAAACTCTGCTTGTTTTTTTCCCGCTCGAACTCCACCCCGGGAGACCAGACGATGCCCAAATGCCTATAGTAATAGTAGTAGTAATCTTTATTTATATACTGCCTTTTCACTGCAGAACAGAGTCACAAAGCGGTTTACAATTGTTATTTTCTGGGCATTTGTCTCTCACTCCACACAGAGATGGGAGCGGGGCCAGTACAGGAGGCGCATGCCAGAACTATTGTTCATGTTTTTAGTGGTAGGGGAAACCGGAGTACCCGGGGGAGAACATGCAAACTCCACTCAGAAAGGCCCTGGTCCAACCAGGATTCGAACCCAGGACCTTCTTGCTGAGAGGCACTCAGCCACCGTGCCGCCCTGTCCTGTACATACGTGTCTTTCGATCCCGTGTATGTCCCATGTGCGACTTAACCCAAGCCATTGATTGATTAATGATAATTTCTTTGTTGGTTTTCATTTCTATGGTTGATGATTATGGCGTACAATCCATAATCAAAATAATCTTACTTATTTTAGCATTATTTGGAGTTTTTACAAGCTGCGAAAGCTTTGATGTCCTAATGAGGGCTTGAAATATCTCACTTTGCTGCACTGAGTCATGCATTAGTTTCTCAGTGTAAGTTGATTTACAGAAGAAAACATACGTCTTCATAACAATATTCTCCTGTTTTTACCAGTACAATATCATTTAGGTTCGACTGATACCGGAAGAAGGTCCTGGTAATAATGATTAAACTGCACCCTGGTCCAGAACATCGGGGTGTGACCCTTTTGAGCGTCCCCTAAGCTGCTCCTCCACCCGCTCCTCCACCCGCTCCTCCACCTGCTCCTCCACCTGCTCCTCCACCTGCTCCTCCACCCGCTCCTCCACCCGCTCTTCCACCCGCTCCTCCACCCGCTCCTCCACCCGCTCCTCCACCTGCTCTTCCACCTGCTCCTCCACCTACTCCTCCACATGCTCCTCCACCCGCTCCTCCACCCGCTCCTCCACCTGCTCCTCCACCTGCTCCTCCACCCGCTCCTCCACCCGCTCTTCCACCTGCTCCTCCACCTGCTCCTCCACCTGCTCCTCCACCTGCTCTTCCACCTGCTCCTCCACCTGCTCCTCCACCCGCTCCTCCACCCGCTCCTCCACCCGCTCCTCCACCTGCTCTCCTGACTGGTTCTCATGACATGGTCTCCAGGCAGAGTGGCTTCACAGAATGGGCAGATACACAGAGACATGTGGGATGCTGGCGACAGAGAGAGGTCACATGACTGGTATGACATGGCAGCTCACAGCGATCGGCCCATGTCAGTACGACGTGATTCATCCACAAAGCTGCAGATTCAATGAGGAATGAAAGTAGCATCAAGAACGATAATCACATATGTATTTAAATGAAAAGGAAAGATACAGATACGCATTAAAGCTGGAGTACCTAACTTTAAAGCCACAAACATGCTCTTAAAATACTTAAATAGTTATCACATGTGTGTACGGCCATTTTGAATATAACAATAAAAGTCATTTAGAAAAGTTCAAGGTAGTGTATTTTTAGCCTTTGTCTCCATCTTTAGGACCAGCCCTCACTCAGCCAATCAGCTCTCAGTATGTAAAAGATTATATTTTTTTCTAATCACATTAATACAGCAATTTCTGTAATTAACCAAGGCTCTTTCTGTTGGGACAAATAAACATGTGTTAATGAGAAAAACACAAAAGTCAGGTACTCCAGCTTTAATCTCCTCCACAATATCACATGTGCCTAAAGCGAGTTAATTACTAATCTGCTGTGATTGGCCCGTGCCAGTACGACATTTAAATCCACAAATTCAATGAACAATGAAAGCAGCATCAAGAACAGAAACAGCAGAGGAATGATTGACTTTCATCAGTAAACATACCTGGAGTGGAGTTTTTTTATTTATAAATTGTAGAAAGGTTTTTATGGTAGCTATCTTTTGTAATCTGAGTCTACAGCCTCAGTCCTGGATCTACAGCCTCAGTCCTGGATCTACAGCCTCAGTCCTGGGTCTACAGCCTCAGTCCTGGATCTACAGCCTCAGTCCTGGATCTACAGCCTCAGTCCTGGATCTACAGCCTGAGTCCTGGGTCTACAGCCTCAATCCTGGGTCTACAGCCTCAGTCCTGGATCTACAGCCTGAGTCCTGGATCTACAGCCTCAGTCCTGGATCTACAGCCTCAGTCCTGGATCTAGAGCCTGAGTCATGGATCTAGAGCCTCAGTCCTGGATCTACAGCCTGAGTCCTGGATCTACAGCCTCAGTCCTGGATCTACAGCCTCAGTCCTGGATCTACGGCCTGAGTCCTGGACCTACAGCCTCAGTCCTGGACCTACAGCCTCAGTCCTGGGTCTACAGCCTCAGTCCTGGGTCTACAGCCTCAGTCCTGGATCTATATTCTGAGTCCTGGGTCTACAGCCTCAGTCCTGGATCTATAGCCTGAGTCCTGGATCTACAGCCTCAGTCCTGGGTCTACAGCCTCAGTCCTGGGTCTACAGCCTCAGTCCTGGATCTACAGCCTCAGTCCTGGATCTACAGCCTCAGTCCTGGATCTACAGCCTCAGTCCTGGATCTACAGCCTCAGTCCTGGATCTACAGCCTCAGTCCTGGGTCTACAGCCTCAGTCCCAATGTCTCAGACATGAACAGAGGTCATATGAACCAATGGCTCCTATGTGTTTGTTATCATTTCCATTTCCTGTTTTCAAACTTTGATTCTCTGATCTGTTGTTGGTAAAACGACCAACACAAGTCCTCCAAGATAACCGCTATTGTGATATACAAAAATAAAATTGCTATCAACACTTTTTGATACGAGTCTGGAAATCTTTCTCAATAATCCTGCAATGGACTGAAGTCGGATGTGACGTCAAAAGGAGGATCTTTTTATGCCTTGAGTTAATTGTCAAGAACTTTGGCTGCTTTCCGTGTTGTAAAGGTTTCTATAACTAAACATGAGAAGCCTTACTAATATAACCTTACTAATTTGAGAATGATTTAACATACTACTCCAGGTATGTATTTTGAAATCAATCTTGGGTTCTGACAGATCGTTTATACACTCTGGAATATTTACAGAAATGTTCATTCATATGCACTGTCCCTGTAATAAACACATAATTAAATAAATATAGTTGTTGGACTGCTTTTGAAGGGCACCGCTGATCTTTGTACCTGTGAGTTGCTCATTCCTCCCAGGCCATCAGGGGCTCTGTCAGGGCTCCAGTTGCCCACCTTCTGGGTCATCTCCTGGGCACGTGCGGTCACCCACGACTGGCTCTCCGGGATACCTCCTCCCTCATGCCTGGAACACAAACAAATGGCTGTAACTCACTGAAAGGAGCGCTGGGAATCTAGACGTTATTTCTTCTTCTCACTACTTTTAAGAACTACTTTTTAATAAATGAACACTCAGAGTAACCATCGGTCTCATAACAGTGTGAATAGTTTGTGTGAAAAACATGTATTTATAGAAAATCACAGGGTTTTTCATATTTAGTTTTGGTTTCCGCCCTTGACTTGTGTTTTTGTGTCTATTTATGTTTTGTTTTATGCTTCTAAACAACTGGGGAAATGTTCACCTCTGGCTAACTGAAGTGTAATATTTCTTTCTAATCCAATGGCTGATAGCACTAGCCTGGTCGTACCACACCATAGTACTAATTACATTTCATACTAAGGTCTGGATTTGCTCCATTGACTCCGTTTACAGGTGGGAGGGGTTAACTCCTTTTGCAGATTGAAACGATTGGATCTGAGTTTACCGTCACGTATGTAGCGCGTCAGAGTGAGTTGTTAGCGATTAGCCTAGCATTAGCCATCTCCTTTGCCGCTAACGGAGCCCGTGGGGAGTAGCGCCACAATTTACTCCAGCGATTACATTTGCTAAACATTCCTCTTGCTCCGGCTTCACATTCTTGATAGAACCAGACAGGATTACTTTACTATCACATTCTTCGCCAAACTACAACCTGGCCGTTCGACGCTAACTCTTGACGTCACCCACAACTAACTACAACACCCGCCTCCCGCGCTCTCTGATTGGTCGGATCGGATTCAACCGATAGTAAGTAAGTAAGTTTTTATTTATATACCGCCTTTTCACTGCAGATCTGAGTCTCAAAGCGGTTTACAATTGTTAATTTTGGGCATTTGTCTCTCACTCCACACAGAGATGGGAGCGGGGTCGCCAGTACAGGAGGCGCATGCCAGAACTATTGGACATGTTTTTAGTGGTAGGGGAAACCGGAGTACCCGGAGGAAACCTACGCAGACACGGGGAGAACATGCAAACTCCACTCAGAAAGGCCCTGGTCCGACCGGGATTCGAACCCAGGACCTTCTTGCTGAGAGGCGAGAGTGCTATCCACTCAGCCACCGTGCCGCAAACACAGGGACCAGACCCAGACGTTACATGCAGTGAAATGATGATTGAGCAGAGTTTACGGATGGATAAGACCAGGCTATGAAAGCATTGAATTAGAAAGAAATATTTACCACTGCATTGTAACTGATGTAGCTTTTTTCTTTTGATATTCAAGAAGTATTTTGTATTTACCCAAATCCTGCAGTAGTAGAATGTCTAGACGAGCCTACAGCGACCTGGCTTCACACAAACGTTTCCCTAATTCCCTAACGTGTCTGTTTCACAATTCCTAAAAAACTAAAACACGGCACATTCCAATTCATAAATGCACATATTAAAATCACGTCATCTGCCACGGACATGTGTGGAGTCTGCATGCAGCAGTCAGCCAATAACAGGGGCCACTTGGATTGTGTTTATTCCTGACCATGAGCCCCTGTTCTATTTTGCACTCTATGTATTTTCCAACATTAATATATAACACAGTGAGATTTGTTGAGAGAAAACAGTTACATTAATGAGGATGGACTTCACAGATTTCATTTAAAGTTGACCAATCATGAGGAGGCAAAGGCGAGCATGGCTAGGTCTAACCAGTGCTGGTCTTCAAAACGTTTTTTAACTCTTCACTATTTTAAAAGTAACATTCAGTTGTAGCTATAACTAAAATATTTGGCGATTGAAGGAAAAAGGTATTTCTTACACCCATCTCTGTGTGTGCGTCTCAGAGTCATGTTAAATTACAACTAAATACATCAAACAAACTCAGACCAGACCTTGCCTTTATCTGGATGATCCAACATCTGACTCAGCGCTCCACAAATCTTCAATATCTAATCTGTTCTAGTGTGACTGCAGGTTTTCAGTCCAACCAAGCAGGAGCACACCAGACTCCACCCATTTCCCAAAGTGTGCTGGGGGGAATCGCGTGCTCCTGCTTGGTTGGGATTAAAACCCGCAGTCACATTCGACCAGAGTCACATTGTCCTTAAAATGTCAGAACAAGGCACCGGACTGCAGTTCAGCATCCAGCCACTAGTGCAGGAGCGCAAGTGTCGGACAATATTTACAACACATAAAACTATTGAAGGATAAACAGAAAAAACAGATAAGTGCCATGGAAACATATCGGAAAAGCTTACAATTCTCTCTTTACCAAGTAGTTTTGTGAAAAGCCAGATTTGTTTTAGCGGCATACAAATAAACTTTCACCCCTTCTTGAGCGATTGATTGACTAAGACACTTGATTTTCTCATGTGTCTTATGCCTAGCGTACATCGACAGAGAAACTGGGGACAACTAGTTGCAAGGCGGCTTTTGGCAACTGAGAGGAGATGGTGGGAGATGATCAGTTGCCGAAATCGGTCGATGTGCGCGCTCTTACAACTGGAGATGATCAGTCGGTCTCCAGTTCCAGTCAGTTGCCCGTGTTCTACTTTTCGGCAACTAGTTGTCCTCAGTTGCTCCGATGTGCGCGCTCCATGCGCCGCTCCGACAACGTGTGTGTATTGCGTGTATTGCGAGCCCGCAACAGTTTGTTGTCAGAAAACACACTGTGGTTGAGGCCAGTTGCTGTCGATGTACGCGCTGTTATTCAAGAGACTGGCCTGCGACTCAGAGTTGCCCGTTTTCGCCAGATTGTCGATGTGTGCGGGGCAGCAACTCAGAGGCGACGGATATAATCAGTTGCCAGTCCGATGTACGCTAGGCTTAAGTGTCTTTAGTCTTCCCAAGTTCTGCGGCCGCGGCGTGGCCCTGGACCTCGTTCTCCTCGTTCACTTTTTTCCCACTGGGTTATTTTTAGAGTTGTTCCTTGCTGATGCAGGAGGGTCTGTTGGACTGTTTATGGTCTAACAAAAAGGACTGTGGTGATGATCCAGGACACTTTAACATTCTACAACAAGTATAGACATTTGATAAACAAACATTTATCAACATTCATGGACATTGGTCTCTCCCGATGGACCAATTCATATGTGTTTTCTGTGTTTTAACTGTTGTTTCTCTGATGTGTGTTGGTTATTTCTATGGTTTTGTTAAGTCCTCTGAGATGATACTGTTGTGATTTAGGGCTATACAAGAGTATTGTATTGTATTGTAAGTGTACTGCCATTAACAGAACGTGTTGAAGATTGTAACTAGACGAACACAATCTCAAAACGGAGATATCTGTTTTTGTCTACGAACTCTTTGGGAACAGCTGGAAAACCACTGATCCAATTCAACACCTGAACATTCTACAGTCACACACAAGGCGGCGGACTCACAAAGTGTTGCCCGGGTCGGTGGTCTCTGCTTGGGGTACTGCGTTGGGACCCACCCCTCCGTCCTGGGTGGGTGACGGGGGCTCCACACGCTGAAATAGTAATGGCGTTCGGTTCTGCGTGAGATACACATACAACACGGCCACAGGCGGCTTATCAGGCAGACTGACACGGGGGGATGCAGGAAGAGCGGCCACAGTCCAAGCACGAGGTGAAAGGAGACCAAAGAAAGCGCCATGACAACGGGGGAAAAGGGGGAGGAGACTACTGGTAACCATGAGAAATATTAGGAGAAAAAAAAATCGTTAAGTTAAGTAAGCGTTGATTATTACACAAGAAATGAAAGTTTACGAACGGGTACAGGCCCTGGTTGTGGGTCACCATAGTAACACTGCAGCACTGCTGTGAGGAGGAGTCTAAATAACATATAATTACAATCTATTCAAATGAACTACAGTTGGATAATACTGATTTAAAGCTGGAGTGCGTAACTTTCAAGCGACTAAAAAATGTACTATGTTATAAAATCCATGTCACTAGTTTCTCACTTTCAAAATGTCGGTTTTCACATGCATGTATTTTATTTTTTCACCTCTGTCACATCTATAGAAAAGCTCATATGTAATTTATTTAACCGTTTTTTAATAAGATAAAATGACAGTATGCATTGGTCTGACCTGTTTTTCTTTCCTTAAAAAATACACTCTGTCGGGGTCACACTACATATATTCATGAAACAAAAAGTTACGTACTCCAGCTTTAATGACGACACTAAGTTCCATGTTCCTATCCCACTATACTGACGACATTTTAATTATAATCTGGGGATATTTTCAGTGAGCACATGCAGCCTTATAACAAGCAGATTATGCATTCATTTATAGTCATACTTGTTGCCAATTTAGCCCTAGAAATAAATATTAAGTTAAAATAAAAAACCTGTTTATTGCGTAGTAGTGCAAAGGCAAACAATTCAAGCAAACCTTGTCCAGCAGATGGCAGCAGTGCTATTCATAAAGAGTGGGTCATAAAAAATGAATTGGAAATCATGACTTGAACAATCACAGACTGAATCCTCTGACTGGTTTTTTATCTACGTTTATAAGAGTTCAGTTGCTAAAATAGAAAAGTGAAGTTAAAAATAGTACAGTAATATTAAGTTATAGTAAGTTAGTATAAGTTAGTTAGTAAGTATAGTAAGTACTAATAATAGTAAGTTATATATAATAGAACAAAAACTTCTTGGCGTTGTTGGCCGCTCAAGCTAATTCTGTATTTTAAGATCTGGGTCGAAGGTTTAACAAAGAAAAACTTGCTCATAAGATATCTATGTTACACTTCACTGGATCCACATTTAATATGATTTAGAAACCATTCATGGCTATATTCTAATAGTTTTCATTGGTGCCCGGAGGCGTCTTGACATGTGACGACAATGTGAAACAAGGTTGGGGTCCTCTGCATTTGACCCATCCGTCAATGCCATCAGGGCGACCTGTCAGGAGCAGGTTGCTACGTTATAACACCAGGTCTGGATCTACGCTGGAGGATTTTACCAATTGCAAATTAGCCTTGGGCATAAATGTTGTAGTGTTTCACATGTTGATTGTGTACACTTGTCCCTATCGAAAAAATCAACAATACATACAATTGGAAACCGGAGCAGCTGGAGGAAAGCTTCATAGACACGTGATAAGAACTCAGGACCTACTTGCTAAGAAGTGGTAGTGCTACCCCGGTTAGAGAAACACTTTTTACAATCTGTGTAGTCCAGACAACGCTTACAACTGATAAAAATTTGGTTTGAAATGATTTGTTATTATAAAATTGACTAGTCGCACTTAGTGGACCGTCTAAAACCTTTCCAAACCTTATAAAATATCTCAATAAAATATCTTAATTTTGTCATGACTTTGCAATGTCTCCTAGAAATAATCGTTCAACTCCATCTTCTGTCGTTGCAATTGAACTGTTTCCTGCTGCAGTCAGAGTGTCACAGCCCATGCTTGTGGAGAACCGCTCCCATTGGTTGCTGAGAGGTCAGTCTGCCTTAAGGCTTCAGGCAGGATGCAGACAGCGCCCCCTACCTGCTCGTCGCGGAGGGCCTGGGAGCGCTTGATCTTGCTCTGCCGGTAGTACTCCATAATCATCATGGCAGCGTAGATTTTGCCCACTGTCAAGTCTGTGGCTGCTGAGAGAATGACAAGTTACCCTGGAAGATTAGACCCTTTGGTATGGACCCTGAGCCAGGAATGGAACACATGCACATCGGCAACGGCAAAGGTCTTTTCACAGTCAGATCAGCTTTGTACCATTTTCCATTTTTCGTCTTGTTATTTTTTGGCGCGGTGACCAAAAAATAAGCGAAACATGCAAAACTGTCATTCATACTCAACGCAAGGTGTACGCAACAGGGCACAGAAGGCATACATAAGTCGTCAAGTGCAAACGTGTGACATTCGCTGGTTTGCGGCTATAATCTGGTAAAGTCCAGGTGTGTTGTTCATTCAGTGAGTCTGCGGCTGCCAACCCTGCACTGCACAAAACATGATAGTAGAAAGCAGCATGGGTTACAATTCAGAATATCAATCTCAATTTGAGTCGTCCCGTCTTGGATTTCGTTGGTGAATAGACAGATTTTTTAACTTTTCATGACATTCGCATTTTTTTCCCCTTTGTAATAAGTTCGAAATGAAAATCAATGCACCGAAGAAGTTAAATAATTGTTGTCTATCGAGCCAGTAAATCTAATGTCGTTACTCAAATTGAGACACTGCAGGCGAAAAGGAAAACAATAATATGTTAAATAGTTTCATTGCTTTTGAAAATGGAAAAAAATGGCATTTATTTTTAAAGTGTGTAATATTCACGGCCTAATAAAGTCTAATATAGTATAATCTGACTTTTGCTGCCAGAATCTTTCTCCTGTGACACATGTGGCTCCTGAACGCTATTTACTGATACAATCCACCTGCTGGGGCTTAGATAGAAATAGTAAAAATGTGTATCTGTTTTCATTTGAACGTGTGTGGTGCTTTTTGGTGTGACTTTTGTTTTATACATGTGACCTGTTATCTCAGAACACACGGAAAATATTGATATGTCATTTCAAATTAGAATGACACATACTGTGATCCTTTAACACTAGAACTCCCAGAGCAGTCAAATTGACGGCTGTAAGATTGAAGAATAACGGCGTATTAACCGAGCGCGAGGTCTGTAGGGAGAAATAATCAGACCACGGCCTTAATGTACAGACCAAGCCTTAATGTACAGACCGAGCCTTAATGTACAGACCGAGCCTTAATGTACAGACGGAGCCTTAATGTACAGACGGAGCCTTAATGTACAGACCGAGCCTTAATGTACAGACCGAGCCTTAATGTACAGACCGAGCCTTAATGTACAGACCGAGCCTTAATGTACAGACGGAGCCTTAATGTACAGACCGAGCCTTAATGTACAGACCGAGCCTTAATGTACAGACGGAGCCTTAATGTACAGACCGAGCCTTAATGTACAGACCGAGCCTTAATGTACAGACCGAGCCTTAATGTACAGACGGAGCCTTAATGTACAGACGGAGCCTTAATGTACAGACGGAGCCTTAATGTACAGACCGAGCCTTAATGTACAGACCGAGCCTTAATGTACAGACGGAGCCTTAATGTACAGACGGAGCCTTAATGTACAGACCGAGCCTTAATGTACAGACCAAGCCTTAATGTACAGACCGAGCCTTAATGTACAGACGGAGCCTTAATGTACAGACGGAGCCTTAATGTACAGACGGAGCCTTAATGTACAGACCAAGCCTTAATGTACAGACCGAGCCTTAATGTACAGACCGAGCCTTAATGTACAGACCGAGCCTTAATGTACAGACGGAGCCTTAATGTACAGACCGAGCCTTAATGTACAGACCGAGCCTTAATGTACAGACCGAGCCTTAATGTACAGACGGAGCCTTAATGTACAGACCGAGCCTTAATGTACAGACCGAGCCTTAATGTACAGACCGAGCCTTAATGTACAGACCGAGCCTTAATGTACAGACCGAGCCTTAATGTACAGACCGAGCCGTGGCGAGGTCTGTGCAAAAAGGTCTGATATTTCTCTGCACAGACCGAGCAAGCAAGGTTAATAAATGTTTTATTATATGACTCTCGTCTGTGTCTTAACCAATGCTTTTGAGATATTTGTGAAGTATGTTCATGTCCGACTTGGTTTTGTGTGATACGCGCTGCGGACAGATTGTCATGGTAACGGTCCGAGGAAAGATATCAAATGTTATACGCACTGTTCGGACCAATTGTCATGGTAACGGTCCGAGATGGGAAAATATCAGACCGGTAATCAGCCAATCAGAGCGCGCGTACGGTCCAAGTCAAATAATAAGTGTAATTACTCAGTGTATGTACCTGTCTTTTTTCGGTATCTCTAGTAGTTCATAGTAGATTGTTTCTGTCATTAACTTTAAGAAATTATCTCATTATTAGTTATATCCTTAGAATTAAGCCTTACAACAATCTGTTTTAACATTTTGCAAAAGTGAGTAAAGGTATATATATATTTAAAAAACCTATTAATTACTTACTTTTAATAAATCTGGTGAAAAACACATTTTTGGGGGGATTTCTCAGCATTCCATTGTTTTTTTGATTGGGAGCTGTCAAAATGATGGCTCTAGGAGTTCAAGTAGTTTCCTAATCGTGGGAGTCCTGGTGTTAGATAAAACAATTCACTACTTATTAGTTTGTATTTTATGAACACTTACGATCATTCATAACTATGGTATGTTTGTTTTACTATTTAGCATTTATGTAAACTAGTTTTTACTGAAAAGCCTTCAATGGAGTGAAAACATTTTTAAACCCAGGCTCAGTGTGTTCACATCGAGCAGGTTTAGAATCAGCTCGCTCACAGGCTTCTCATTTCTCCTATATGCTCTCATCCCACGGAGCCATCTAGTTTTATTTGCGATCTGATACATATGCTAATATTAGCATGAGCGCAACTTCTTGTAAGCTGTACAACAATCACTGATGAAATGGTACAAAAGCAACGCACTGCTAACAAAATATATAACTGAAAGATTACCGCTAGTTTCGCGTCCAAATGTAGTACGAGCGTAGAGAGTCCGGGCGTAGATAGTCCGAGCGTAGATAGTCCGAGCGTAGATAGTCCGAGCGTAGATAGCGTAGATAGTCCGAGCGCAGATAGTCCGAGCGTAGATAGTCCGAGCGTAGATAGTCCGAGCGTAGATAGCGTAGATAGTCCGAGCGCAGATAGTCCGAGCGCAGATAGTCCGAGCGTAGATAGCGTAGATAGTCCGAGCGTAGATAGTTCAAGCGTAGATAGTCTGAGCGTAGATAGTCCGAGCGTAGATAGTCCGAGCGCAGATAGTCCAAGCGCAGATAGTCCGAGCGCAGATAGTCCGAGCGCAGATAGTCCGAGCGCAGATAGTCCGAGCGTAGATAGTCCGAGCGTAGATAGTCCGAGCGTAGATAGCGTAGATAGTTCAAGCACAGATAGTCCGAGCGTAGATAGTCCAAGCGTAGATAGTCCGAGCGTAGATAGTCCGAGCGCAGATAGTCCGAACGCAGATAGTCCGAGCGCAGATAGTCCGAGCGCAGATAGTCCGAGCGCAGATAGTCCGAGCGTAGATAGTCCGAGCGCAGATAGTCCGAGCGCAGATAGTCCGAGCGCAGATAGTCCGAGCGTAGATAGTCCGAGCGTAGATAGTCCGAGCGTAGATAGTCCGAGCGTAGATAGTCCGAGCGCAGATAGTCCGAGCGCATATAGTCCGAGCGTAGATAGTCTGAGCGTAGATAGCGTAGCTAGTCCGAACGGAGATAGCGTAGATAGTCCGAGCGCAGATAGTCCGAGCGCAGATAGTCCGAGCGTAGATAGTCCGAGCGTAGATAGTCCGAGCGTAGATAGTCCGAGCGTAGATAGCGTAGATAGTCCGAACGGAGATAGCGTAGATAGTCTGAGCGTAGATAGTCCGAGCGCAGATAGTCCGAGCGCAGATAGTCCGAGCGTAGATAGTCCGAGCGTAGATAGTCCGAGCGTAGATAGTCCGAGCGCAGATAGTCCGAGCGTAGATAGTCCGAGCGTAGATAGCGCAGATAGTCCGAGCGTAGATAGTCTGAGCGTAGATAGTCCGAGCATAGATAGTCCGAGCGCAGATAGTCCGAGCGTAGATAGTCCGAGCGTAGATAGTCCGAGCGCAGATAGTCCGAGCGCAGATAGTCCGAGCGCAGATAGTTCGAGCGTAGATAGTCCGAGCGTAGATAGCGTAGATAGTCCGAGCGTAGATAGTCCGAGCGTAGATAGCGTAGATAGTCCGAGTGCAGATAGTCCGAGCGTAGATAGTCTGAGCGTAGATAGTCCGAGCGTAGATATTCCGAGCGCAGATAGTCCGAGCGTAGATAGTCCGAGCGTAGATAGTCTGAACGTAGATAGTCCGAGCGTAGATAGTCTGAGCGTAGATAGTCCGAGCGTAGATAGTCTGAAAGTAGATAGTCCGAGCGTAGATAGTCTGAGCGTAGATAGTCCGAGCGTAGATAGTCCGAACGTAGATAGCCCGAGCATAGATAGTCCGAGCGTAGATAGTCCGAGCGTAGATAGTCCGAGGCGGTCCCGCAGGTCTCTCCCATAGACCAGTCTCTCCAGAGGATACGATGTAAGCTAGCTATGTTCAGGGCGTGGTTTCTTCTTTGATCATGTTGTGGCTTTAGTTCCTCTTCTCTTCCTCACTGTTGTGTGGTTTGGGCTGTTTTGCTGTGTCTGCAGTTACAGCCAGAGGAGCTATAGCCACTTATGCTAACATGCTACTGTGTTTAGCAGCGCTGTAGAGGCTAGAGGACGCAGCCTCGTTCTGTGATTGGAGGAGAGCGGGCGTCACGCTAAGTCTCTACTCAGCACTTTTCACGGCCTGAGTTCATACACAGCTGAATCAATGAGCTCAAGTTTTCAATTAAATTACGGATTATTATACAACTTGTATGTTGTAATAAGCATTTTTATGAACTCATTAATAAATCGTGTATAAAATTGTGTATAGCTTCTTTAATGGATGAGGGGTATTTGAAGTTGGAAGCACTGTTTTATTCTGTAAAACGCTGTTGCCCAATCCTGAAACACACAATATTTTATTAAGTGACTAAAAAGTATTTTGAAGCGATGCCATATGGATTTATAAAAGCTGACAAAAGGAGAGACAAACTGACAAATAAAGAGTTTTGCCTGCAGTGTTGATTCATATTCTGAATTCAGCTCAATTCCAAAAAAAAAAATCTCATTCATCAAGTTTGCAGTGTGCCCTGATGTTTGTAGTGTTTGCAAACCGACCTGTCCTGTAGAGAAAAAAGTCATGTAGAGAAACAACTACTCAATCGTTAAAGTATCCCACTGTTATACCTCTATCTGTAGTGAAAAGACATCTATAGAGAGTTGGTCTATAGTGGGGCACCCTCTGATCCCAGGCACTGGTTTTGGGAACGGCAGTGTGTCAGTGTTGTGGTGCTGTGGTGTCATGCAGGTGTTGTGTGTGCGTTGTGCGTGCGCAGAGGTGGGAAATACAGTGAGACCCATGAGGGAGACAGAAACTATTTATCTCATCAAGACCTACGTAGAAAGTGAGGATACCTACTTTCTGATACTTACCCGTTTCAAGTGTCCCTGACAGAGACCAGTACGTATTGGTTTTTCTATGGGCTAAAAAGTGATCTAGAGGGTTACCAGGTCTGATAAATGATATTGATTACATAGATATAATTGTATGGACATTGGTCATCTGCCCCTTATGTGTTTGAATAAGTTTGATTCCCTGATCTGTGTTGACAACTTTGGTTTCGTAAAGTCCTCTGAGATAACTACGGCTGCGATTTATGGCTATACAAAAATAAACGTAATTGAATTGAATTAAGTAAGGGATATTTCAGTTTGTTCAAGGGCATAGAAAAATAATAACTAGGCCATTTATTGACATTGTTATGATGTGTAATTACCATAGACCGTCACCCATACTGTTCGCCGAATGCGGAAGAAGCCAATTTCGTGGCTAACTTCACGCTTGTTTTCTAGAATAATGTCACTTTTAGACATCTTTATGAGAAAACAATTGGATTATACTTGATTCAAAGAAGACGTGGAACTTTGAGTCTGTTTTGCTCCATATGGATTAGCCCTGGAATTCCACAGATATGAGCTCAAAAGTTTGTCTAGACGTGACTTTTTACTTGTAACCAGAAAGTTTTCAGGTCACACAACTATTACAAATACTAAAACAACTGCTTCTCAGAGTATCCAAAATATAAAACCAGATATTAATTTCTGTCGGTATCCCCCACCCCACATGTGTTGCCACGGAGCCTACAGTATGTGCAATGTACTGCCTGCATCAGAGGGTGCAGCGGGGGAACCAAAGTGAAGTTCTGGCTGGTGGAAGCGTCCTCTGGTGGCGTGGGGAGAGAGACTCATGGTTTTCGGGACTTTTACCGCCTTCCGGAACTCACCCTTGTGGGGCGTAACCAGCAGATCCAGGGTCTTCTGGGAGAGATTGGGCCAAATGGCGATCATCTCCTTCCGCAGCTCGGCATCCATCTGGTGCTTGTCTATGCCACCTGCAAAGACCAGCCATGCAGACCACACGGCAAGCACGTACCACAACGCATGCCACAGTCATTGGAACAAAGAGATACGCACACATGAAAAGAGAAAAAAAGGCAGACTGTGTTAGTAGCTTGTAAAAAACCTTCATTTTACATGTAATAAATGGTCTATGTCAGAATGAATAATGACAAAGTTGTTAGCGCTTAAAGGTCCGATATTATGCCGTCGTTTACTGGGTTTTTGTAAACTTTCTCATTTCATTACTAATTACATAATGAAAAACCCTCTTTGAGTGACTGCGGGGCTGCCCATCTTTGGAGAAGACTGGTGCTCGCTACTGACGAACAGAAGCAACAATCTTTGCAACAGATGCTAGCAGACAGTAATGGGCTTTACACACAGTGAGCGACCAGCCGGACTCAGCGTACTCAAAACCCAACGGCAGCGGTCTCCCCAAGTATGTGCCTTAGTACCCCCCTTAATATGTCCCTTACCATATTACATGTAAAGAGACATATTGTATTTGTAAATCTTAATTCTTTTTTTTTTTCCAGGCTCACTTTAACATCTGCCTACGGGACTTGCGATGAAAATTAGCTTAATTTAGCTAACTCAGGGACATTTACATTGTGTAAAGTGGATAAATGTGCACTGTCCCGTTTCAAATAAATACAAATAAAAAAAATGGCACAAGGCTTTGGGATACAAACACCTGTTGACTGTACATAATAACTTTTTTCACTGTCTATAATTGTTTTCATGTGTTTTTCTGTCTTTAGTTTTTGTAATGTCTATAGTTGGTGCACACTGGGGTCGTCTTGGACAGTTTTTCCAACATGGTTTTACTGCAAATGGCAAATATAATCTTGAATCTTGAATCATGTCTATTGTGTGAGGGTTTTTGCACAGAAATTCCAGTGCATCGATGATTTTATTTGTCATTTAAAGAAAGGAAAATATATAGAAGAAGAGAAAAAAACTAAAAAGAAAAAATTATATCATAAAGAATTAATAACAATATGATACAAAAAATATTAGGAGTAAAGTAAGTAGTAGCAGGAAAGTAAGGAGTAAAGTAAATTAGGGACTAAATATTTTGTGTTTTTTCACTACAAACAGCGAATAAACAGAATCTAAACACAATGGACAAGTTTTGGGCTTTTCTTGGGAGGATTTAATGACTACAATGTAAATGAACACTACTTTTATTTGTCGCTACAGAAACGAATCGATCATATTGTCACACGTTTCATCGAAAAACCAGAGAGTTCCAGTGTCGCCGCTCGCTGTGCGTCAAGCCCAGTGCGCTTCGTAATGAATTCAGTGAAAGATCAATGGACTTACAAAAAGTTATGTTTGATGACAACACTACGACACGATCGAAAAAAAAAGCTCAAAAAAGCCAGTTTTGCATAATGCTGGACCTTTAAACAACATCAGCGAGATCAGAACACACACGATGTACCACCGTTAAAGCTACACCACACGGCAATGACCCAGAAGTGCCCAAGAGGGTTGAGGGTTCGCAGCACAATAATATCAGTATTGGCTGCTCTATAAGGAAATAAGCAGAAGACAGCATGTGAAAAGCAAGAGGTGGAAAAAAGGCAAAGGGGGATTCCAAACCTTCCGTACCCTTGGCGATCTTGATGTCCAGGGCCGTGCGGATCAGGGCCATCAGCGTGGAGTTGAAGTGGACCGAGTTGTCGTCAGCCACGGGAAGATCCATACGGAGCAGCCGCTGTGTGACAAGTGGCAACCAAGAGAAGGCAGTGAGGCGCTGCGTTTGGCCTCGGTGCCGGGCAGGATCTCCAGGTCACAAAGGGGAGCAGGGACGTGTGGACGGGGCGGACAGGGAGGCCGACTTTAGACCACTTTGGAAGAGTTTTGTGCGTGCGATAGAGGTTATCCACGAACATCGGTTTCATTCCATAGTTCGAAAGGCAAATTGGGGTGGTATTTTTACATATGTATACATTTTTTAATACAATATACCGTTTTAGAGAGTAATATAATTCTTAAATCAGATTTCGCTTTGTAAAACATATAAATGAATATACTTTTTGTTTTGATTTTTTTACTCTAATAGCAATTAGTCTTCAATAAATTATATTGAGCTGTATCTTTGTCAAATGGTTTGTTTTTCCCGGAATCACGTTGTATTGTTTAGAAGAATTTCTCGTCTCTAGACACGTATAGTATCGTCTCATGTGAATCGTGATCACCAGCCTCAGTGGACGACACAGGTGGTAGAATTGATGTATAATTTTATAGCATTTAAAACATATATTATCCCTGGAAAGCTTTTGTCATTTTTATTGTATGTTTTATATAAGCAAGATGCTATGACATTGAAGGATTTCTTTTTCTTGTAAACACATCAGATGACATTGACACTAATTGACCATTTGGGCTGAGAGCTGATTGGCTGAGCAAGAGCGGTCCTCTCTTTTTCACTTTTCTGTCTGGAAAGGCTGATCTAAAGAAAACTGTTGAGAGCGCTTGACCTAATTTCCATTTTTCTCAGGCTTGGTTTTTACACATAAATATATATAATTATCATACATTCTATACATTATAATGAATGACATATAGTTTATCGTGACAGAGAGTGGAGCACGGCTGCAGCCTCTGAGCTCTGCCTGTAGCTCAGAAGGATTTTATAATCTTTGTACAATATCGATATAAATGAAGGAGGGCTCAGGGGCCGGATAGAAACTGTCAAAGGGCCGCATCTGGCCCACGGGCCGGGGTTTGCCCACCACTAAGATGGATGTAGTTCCATTTTGTGCGGCTTGAAGATTAGGTAATTTAACATTTATAAATCTTCTTTCTTTAGTTGCAGTCAATGTGGTTTTGAACAATTGTACAGATGATTACGTAAGAGTACAGTGCAGTTTTATATAAATTACAAAATAAAATATTGATATTAAATGTGTCAGTAATGTCATGTTTGTATCACTGTTAAAAAACCTGAATGGAGCGATGTCATTTTGATAACCTCTATTCGCAATTCTCACGGGAAAAACTAGGACACATTTATCTCCCCTTTGACGTTTGGAGAGTCCTGAAATTCTACAACACACATCAATAAATAAAAAGCATTTTATTTATCGATTTGATTGTTTGTTTGTTTTTTCAGAGTAGGATTGAAAGAGAAAAAAAAAGTCACTCTCTCTACTGTGACGTTTCTTTCCGATACAGCACAGGCATGCAGCAAACTTCGTCATGCTCCCAGTGCGGTGCCGGTAATCCAAGCATAAACAACACGACCCCCATTCCTTCTTGCTTCCGCAGCCCCATGCAGCATGCACCACACAGTATGCTCGCACAGGACAAGCAGCTATAGCAGCCACACAATGTTTGCACTCTTACGGTACGGTCTTAAGGGAAGGAAAATCATTATGTCATGGAGCTACACTGATCTGAAGTAGTGTCTGAAGCTACAGTGTGAAAATGGGCAGAGACTGTTAATCCGGTGTTAAAGGTGAGAGAGAGCAGCATTCTGTGAGATACACAAATACGGGGGAAATTAAAAGAGAAAAAAGCCACAGGAAATCGGTGGGAGAGTGATGGCGTTTGTGGATGGGAGTAGGTAAAGCCACCAGACGTGTGTTGGGGGAATTTATATCTGAGGAGGAGCATAAAAAAGGGGGGTAAAAAGCTGCAGAGAGTGTGGAGCTACAGAGAACCCTGAGATATGGGTTTGTTTCATTGTTCTGTGGACCAATAGGAACACACCGATACTGTGGGATGGGAGCAAACAATGACATCATAAGGAATGTCCTCGCTTCGGTCGTGAGAGAAAAGTGAAGAATTTTAAGTTATGTCAAGCTATTGTTGACATGTCACAATAAAATGAATGATAAATTGATTCTAATTCTGGGTGATCATAGCAATTTTTAGTCAAAGGTAAAGCCAGGGAGATCAATTTACACGAGCTTATTAAAGTAGGTTAGTTGGTTAGCTAAAACATATTGTCATTAAAGGGGATGTCAGATACTTTAGTCGCAATTCATTTGTAAAGAATGTATATTTCTAACGATCGGCCACTGCACTGCTATGTACGGTAATCATTTCAAATTGTTAAAATAGTCCTTTCCCTTAGCATAACTACGACCCGAAAGATTTGCTGGAGGAGAACGGTTGAACCAATGACGAGGGGCCTCGCGGATTTGAATTTATTTCGGCCAATCAGGAAGCTGCAAGAGTGAGGTCTAATCAGCTTCACTCTCTCTCCACAATTTGAGCTGACATCCCCTTTAACTCTGCATTATCTATTGCCTTTGTTTTGTTCTATGAGCTGTTGGTTCAATTCAATACATTTTTGTAAAGCCCTAAATCACAAAAGTATACAGTAGTTATCTCGGAGGACTGCACATTTACAAGTTGTTGATTCACTAAGAACAGATCAGAGGTCCATAGGGTCCATAGGGAGCCGTTGGTCCATAGGGAGCGGGATGATCAATGTCCAGAGTTAATGTTAATAATAAATGTCTAGAAATGTTAAGGGTTAAAATCTGCAGCTTATCATGAAGTGAATCTTATATGTCAACAATATTTACTTTATTTTCAAATTTAGCTGCTGTGGTTTATATATTGTGTTCTAAATATGCAAAAAGTCCTGTAACATGCCATTTTAACTGGTCTTTTAGTTTGTTATTCAGGTTTACATTTAGCATATGTTCTGGTATCGGTGTGACCCATTTCATTTAGGGCTGTTGACTTCTGTTAAACCAGGATAGTCCCACGGAGGTTTGAGTATATCTTTTTATCATGCGAGTCCTAGCAGATTCATGCAGAACCTCTGACTAAAATCAAACATCTATTTGATCCCAGTGAAAGTAATTAGATGTTTGTAAAAGAAAAGAAAAAAATCTCAAGAAATCCTTTTCCCTTTGACTACAATTTGGTGTTTTTATGAATGATATTGTATCTACAGAACCTAAAGTGAAACTAAAGTCAAATATTTCAGCTTAATCTACTATATGTAGCAATGGCTCCTATGTCTTTGTGTTATTATTGTGTTTCCTGTGTTCTAATTGCTTCATCTGTCGGCGAATCGACAATATTGTAAAGTCCTCTGCTGTAGTGAATTATGGCTATACAAAAATAAATGGAATTGAATAAAAACTAAAGTACTTTACCGTAATAATTGCGTTTCAAAACATGTTACTGTGACAGGACTATGGACTAGGCAGCACTTTTAACCGCAGTAATCGTCCATGTTGCGTAGCCTTACTGTTATTTACACAGAGAAAGTGTGTCAACAGCTTCAGGAAAACAAAGCCAGGCGAATTCCTTTGAGAGTCCATCCCTGGGGAGCTCCGGCCGCTAACATGCACTGGGTCTGGGATGAGCTAAGCCATGGGTGAGCGGGGGCGCCATGCAGGTGAGGGGGTGCAGGTGATGTGCAGAGATGGGAGGAGAGAGAGGGGGTGGGGGGGGGGGGGGGGCTGGAAACAGAATAGAACTGCATTGACGAGAGAACCGAAGGACTGCTGGGGGGGAGGGGCTAGGAGCTGCTATGGAAGGCGTATGGGCAAACCAAGGGCTCTCTTAAGAAAAGCACAGCACTGACACAGGCCTCTCTGCTCTCTCTACCATGTGACCCTGATGGGTGGAGGTGAGTGCGGGTGTGGTTGGACCATCCACAGAACGGGACCGAGCAGAGGACGCAAGTCTAGTGGACCTTCTGAGCCCTGCAGCGCGCATGTAACTCTGCAGGGGTCTGTGGGAGCTGCCCTAGATGCTGTTTGGAAGTTTTATAGAGATGTGAACCGAGAAGCAGGGCTGAAGGATTTGGGCTGAACATACAGAGCTGTTATGTCTGTCTGCTCCTGTCAGTTCAGTGAGGTCAGAAAACTAGCTTTTGTGCCCAGATCTGGTCTCATAAGCTGAGGAGACCGGGCTTTTGCTGCTGCTCCCAAACTGTGGAATAGTGCCTGTTGTAAATCAAGTCTACAGACACATTTGTGTTTTGGCTTTTAACACCAACTGAGTTTTTACCATTTTTACTGTTTTACATTTGCGTTTGTTTTATGCTTTTCCTTTTTTAATTTGTGCATGGTAAGCACTTTGGGAAGCTGGTGTCATTGTAAAAGTTGACATTGACATTGAATATCTACAATACATACACCTCTTAAAGCTATTAAAGGCATATATGGGATGATATCTATGCAATTAGCATGATATGACCCTGTGCTATCATGTACATTTTAGTATATATAAGTATTTTTTTCGAATCAATAATATTTCAAATAGGTCCTGGCAAAACCAGTGATATATTTGCTGGAGGAGAATAGTTTGACCAATGGCGAGGATTTGAATTGAAGTTGTCCAATCAGGAAGCTGTGAGGGTGAGCATGGAGGGGTCTAACATGGACAGGTCTCTCTACAAATTGCATTTCATTTGAAAAAGAATGCATATCTCTGACCATTTGACCTTCTAGTATTGTAAAGTAAGTATTTTCCAACAACAATATATCTCATACGGTCCCTCTCCTTGACATAACCAGCACCAGTAAGATTTGCTGGAGGAGAATAGAGCGCCTCGTCTGTGTATCAAGGTTTTAAAAGAATTCCGTCCAATCAGGAAGCAGTGGGAGGTGTCAATGAGCGGGTCCAACTGGTGCTTACCTTGGGGAAAAAAAAGTCTCTCCACAATTCAAATTAGTGATGGAGAACATTTAGGCTTCATACATTTGCTACAGAGAACTTTAAGATTGTAACAAAAAGCATCATTCACCTTTTGTCTTTTGGCCCATTTCATTTGCAAACTTATTCAAATCTTTCAGCCCTACAAGCACAAAGAAATACGTGGCCTGAGCTGTACATGTCATAGATGGTGTGTGTTGTCGCGCACACTGGCTGAGAAGGTCCCTCTCCCCGTCCCCTCCTGTGGATTCCCGGCTGAACCCCCCGTCTTTCTAACAACTCACTGCCCAACCGGTCTCACACCATGACAACAAAGGCCACAACATCAACCAGCCGGTCCCTACTTTCAAAAGAATACAGGAAAAAGAAAAAAACGAGAAAAGAGACTGCCACATTAAAGAAGGTTACACCACGTTTAGCGCTTAAGTCCCTGGCCCCTGACTCGGAGGTGGTGTCGGGGGTCCCGTTCTGACCTTGTAGGCTACCCGGGCAGGACACCTCTTCCCCAGGCCTAGCGGAGGACACATGTGCCTGAGCATGTCATACATATCCCTGCAACTGATCCTGCCACTGCCATGAGCGGCCAGTGCCACAAGCCCCACGCCAAATACAGGGAAGGGGGGGAGAGAAAGGGAGAAGTGGTTGATTAGGAGCCAGTTCAAACACCAAGGACCACCAAGACCCCCCAGAAGGCAGAGCGGGCGAGAGGGAGATGGTCAAAGGCACCTTCTGTTCTGTGTTTGTGGGCTTGGTTGGAGATGGCTAACTGGACGTACAGTATTTGAATATGACCGAACTCAGATTTAAACATGTGCCAATAATAAAATATGTTCAGTTGTGCTTGAAAGTTTACACGCCCGAAGCAAAAAAGCAGATTTTTTTTTTTTGGACGTATTTTGGAGGATATGAACGATAGCATCAAAACTTGTGTGAAGCCATATGTAATCAAATGAACATGACTAAGTATATTTTCTTTCTTGAGCAGAAGTCTCCATCCCCCAGGTCTCAGTATCCATGACAGCTCTCTGATGGTAAAGCTGTCCATTCTTCTAGGGGAAAAAAAGCCTCTTGTACATTCCTGGGCTGCCTTGCTTGAAAGGCAGCACAGTTGAGATCTCCACAAATCTGCAGAGGCTCAAAGATGCAGTGGATTTACGATGGAGCTCATTCTTCACTCATTGAGTCAAGCAGAGATTAAACCAACAGTGTTTTCATAAGAACAAAATAGCTGCAGTTTCCAGATTGAGTTATTCACAAAACAGCCATTGTTATGTTTAAAACGAGGAAAAATGTGACCAGAAAATATTCATAATTTGTCTGTGATTGAAAGAGAGGCGATAACAGAACTTCTATCTACTTTTTTATTTCATCCTCAAACTAAAAAGGAAATGTGTCTTTCCGTTCGTGGGGTGGATTCATGGAACACATTAGACAGGGGTTGAAAAAGCAGTAAAAAAAAATGTAAATGTAAATGTGCACTTTATTGTCCCCGTAGGGAAATTTGTCCTCTGCATTTGACCCATCCTGATGCCACTAAGGCTTACGTCAGGAGCAGTGGTCGCTGCAGTACAGCGCCCGGGGACCCATCTCCAGGTGTTAATGCCCGGCTTGGTCAGGACTACCGGAGCTGGAGGATTTTACCTAGTGTGCATGTTTTTAGTGGTAGGGGAAACCAGAGTACCTGGAGGAAACCTACGCAGACACGGGGAGAACATGCAAACTCCACTCAGAAAGGCCCTGGTCTAAACGGGATTCGAACCCAGGTGCTTCTTGCTGAGAGGCGAGAGTGCTATCCACTCAGCCATCGTGCCGCCCGTGAAAATCTAAATCTCGAAAATAAGCATAATGTTTTCTGCTTCTTCTAGATTAGACCAACAGGTATTTTAGTTGAATTTGTACATGTATTTGTATTGTATTATAAACAAGTAGGTTTTATATAACTCATACTTCTATCTACTCCGTTTCAAATAAATATAATATCCAACATTTAATTTTAGTTTGTCTCTATATAAATGTCTGTATATATATTCAAAATAAAGTTTAGAGTATGTGTTACTTATCTCCAAAGTGTGGCCAAAAGGATGAAATCATAGTCTGGCCTTATCCTTCCGTACACTCCGCTCAATCATTTCACTGCATGTAACGTCTGGGTCTGGTCCCTGTGTTAGCGAATACAATCAGTTGAATTTCGACCGACCAATCAGCGAGCGCGGGAGGCGGGTGTTGTAGTGAGTGGGTGACGTCAAGAGTTAGCGTCAAATGGGAAAGTCTTAGTTTGGTAATGCCGAAAAATGTGATAGTAAAGTAATCCTGTCTGGTTCTATCAAGAATGTGAAGCAGGAGCAAGAGGAATGTTTAGCAAATGTAATCGCTGGAAAAAATTGAGGCGCTACTCCCCACGGGCTCCGTTAGCGGCAAAGGAGATGCTAGGCTAAATGCTAACAACAGACTCGGGCGCATAACATACGTCACGGTAAACTCAGATCCAATCGTTTCAATCTGCAAAAGGAGTTAACCCCTCCCACCTGTTCACGGAGCTCTATGGAGCAAATCCAGACCTTAGTGCAAAATGTAATTTGTACTATGGTGTGGTACGACCAGGCTATGAAATCAGTGGCTGGGGGTGCAAACTTTCAAGCACAAATCTGTTCTAAGTTCCAATGCGTATAAATAAAAGGTTGTACCCATGTAATTGAAACTTTTCTGCATAGAGTTATATATGTTAGCATTGGGGCATGATGTATTTTCGCAGGTGCAGGTGTTTCCATGCAGACGTGGGCGGAGCCGTGGTTGTAAAAGTGCATATGGAGGCCGGGTGAGAGGGGAGGAAGAGGTAGGGGGGGTGTCAATGCAGTTTCTTTCCCCCAACCCCCAAAAACCAAGAACAATGCAACACTACAGTGGGCAACCGTAGCTTGCTCTATCATAGCCATGGCTCCACACCAAGCAAAAGTAAAACGGCTACAAAAAAAAGAAAGTTTCATTTTGTTTTAAAGGCAAAACATCTGCAGATAATCCATTTCTCAATTCAATCCTTTCCCCCGCATGCGTCTCTTGGTGTCTGCATTGTCCCGCACATTCTCGAAGCAGTTCAGAATGCAAGTCAATAAGAATATAATGGTGGAAAAAAAACGTAGTGAAATATAAATGATACAAAAATAATAAGCAGCATTCACTCCATTCCTGGATGCTGTGGCTAGCAGGTGTGCTTGGAAAGTTTTGGTAGAATAGAAGCCAAACCTTGCAGGCCACCCTATGGGGACATTTCTTGCCTAAGCCGAGAGGCGGGTCGATAACTCGCAATAAACTGTACATGTCCTTATAATGAATGCGCCCGCTGCAAGAAGAGTACAGGGGAGGTAAGAGACACAGAAACACACGGACGCACAACCAGAGAGAGAGAGAGAGAGCAGCACACAAGTGGAGGAAGAACACAAGAGTACAAGATCACAGTATCTGGGAGAGCGCACTGTCGGACCCACATCGAGACAAGGCAGACATTGTTTTCAGTCACTTAAGTTATTAGATTGTGTAAACTTTTTTCTATTGGTATAATATTCTGCTCATACATCTATTTCTATTTCAAGGACAAACTTAAAGGTGATATCTGAAACTTTAGTTCTATTCAATGATTACAGGAATACATCATTTTGACTATGTAACCCTGTGGAATCATTAGAAATTAAGTATTTTCATTATAAAATAGTCTCTACCCTTGCAAGAACTACCTACAGTAAGATTTGTTGGAGGACAATAGTTCAACCAATGGTGTGAGGGCTAACATTTGGATTTGAATTCATTGCGTCCAATCGGGAAGCCGAGGGGGCGGGTCAAACTGGCGCTTGCATTTGATAAAAATTTCTCTCCATCTTTACAGTGTGATAAGTTACTGATTTTGGTATTGTTTTGAAATGTGTAACTGTTTCCCATCTAGCTCTAAGATGCAGTAAAAACATGTATTGACTAATTTTAAATATTCATAAATCACTATTATTATGCCTATATATAATCAGATGCATGTTTTGACACCTAAAAGCCGCTGATTTCCTCGTTCTTTTCCGCTGATGTTGGATTCTAACTCGATGGTTACACAGTGTCATTAATTACAGTGAACCGCTAAGAGCTTAATAGCAGCTTGTGGCAAGAAAACCCATCCCCTTTGTTTTCGCAGCTGTGAGGCCGTCTCTCTTCTCTTCGGTCCAGACCTCCAGAGCGGGAAATGGAAAATCGGAATTGAAAACATTTTACATGTAATTCGGTAGTTGATTCTCATTCGGCTCCTGGGTATTCTGAACAGTTGATAGCTCAGCCAATGAAATCACTCGCTGCTTTGTGTGTGATTGACAGCCATTGAAAGAGATTGGACCAATAACATAAGATATACTTGTATCGTTTTTGACTTAAAGGGGCTCTGTACATAGGACATTAGTAAAAGCTTTGCACACCTTACCAGGCTTAGCCACACATAACTAATAGTGTGATCGTTAAAGGGGACATAACATGCTTCTGTCGCCTCTGTCTGATCTCTGACACCCTGGATACGCAGAATGCTTCTACAGACTGGCCCTAAACACATGTAGAACGTCAGGAAAACGTGGCCACATCAACTCCCTCGTGACATTGCAGACCATGTTATGATGCAAGATAGGAATAGGACTCCGGCTTTATTTCTGGTGCACACTGGGGAAGTCTTGCATAGTTATTCAAATGTGGTTTTACTGCAAATGGCAAATAAGCTGAATCTTGAATCTTAAATCACTCGAAGCAGCTTTGAATGTGTAAACGACAAGAGAAAGCAACTACCATGGTCAAAAACTGAGAGAAAGGGTTAGGGCAGGGGTGTCCAAACTTTTTAGTAAGAGGGCCAAATACTGCCTTGACTGGCATCGGACTGTTCTGAACTTTAGGATGACCTATAACGGAGCTGAAGTTGGCTGAATGACACATGTCAGCAGCTACATTAGCACTATCAACGGCAGTTTGTGACACGATCAAAACCTTCCAGATGCTCCAGGGCTTCAGAACGAGTCACAACATGTCTATATTGGCTGCGCTGAAGTTGGATAGATGACACAGTGAATTCGTGTTTATGATCTCAAAGACTACTGTGGGTTAGCGAGGCAAAGGGCCACATATAATGATACTGAGGGCCGCAATTGGCCCCCGGGCTTGAGTTTGGACAGGCCTGGGTTAGGGTCAATATGTAGGCAATTTTGCATGTTATGTCCCCTTTAGGTGTTTTTCTCATTTAGTGACCCTCAGAGAGAACTCGACATCATTAAGTCTTGGCACAGAGAGTTTTACCGTCTGCATGAAGCACACAGAGCGGCAATAGTCCTTCAGATACCAGATCTGTGTGGGGGGGCGGGCACAAACTGACAAAAAGGGGGTGTAAAGTCGGACAGTGTGGACTTTACTGCTGATCCTGGGGTAAGGGGCATCAGGGGCACCAGGACACAGGGGCAGGTTACTGGAGGAATCATGTTGTACAGTGGAACCGTGATAACCACATCACAGGGTATCCCCCAAACTGTACAGCTTCAGGGGAACAACCAACACTCTCCAGGTGCCGGGGGGGGACACACTGTAAAAACCTTATTATAAAAGTATTTCTGGTTGAACATTTTGGAAACAGAATTGGCTTGTCCATATGTTTTATATTTGAGAAAGGCATTAAAGGTATATAGGAGGATTATCTACTTCCGGGTGGATCATCAAGACTATTGGTCCTCCCAATTGTCAATCAAATACGACCAGAGAGTTTTGCTCAAAAAGTGGAAAGGGCGGTTCTTTCCAAAAATTTGTGAAAATCCTCCTTTAGACCTTTAAGTCATGACTGAACATAGGGAATGAAAAAAAGACAAGTATTTGCTCTTTTTAGCCTTGGTTAAACTGGATTCAATTATTTTTGTTGCCATGGAAACCGTACATCCACTCCAACACGATTGGCTTCAACTGTTAATTGTTTTGACGACTTTCTTTATTTGCATAATATTCTAAACCCATATTGATAGATTATAGTACTTATTTAAAAACAAATTTAATCAATTATAGGCAATTTGATAGATAAAAGTAGACATTAATACTTTATTGTCCCGGGGCAAATTTGTCCTCTGCATTTGACCCTCAATACCACTCGGGCCTCAGGTCAGGACTGCCGTAGCTGGAGGATCTTCCCTATTCTACATGTTTTTAGTGGTAGGGTCATTAGACACGGGTAGAACATGCAAACTCCACTCAGAAAGGCCCTGTTCTGACCGGGACTCAAACCCAGGACCTTCTTGCTGAGAATCAGGAGTGCTCTTTAATGTTTAATTGAGTGCTTATTTATCCGTATTGTACTTACATCAATGGATTAAAGTAATTTCAATTCTATCTTTTATTATTGCAATCTTGAAACGCAGGAAATTGTCCTTTCATATTTGTTATCGTGACCGGTAAGTTTACTCAAGTCACAACTAATGCACCTGAAGCTTGTAAAACGTATTGACAAGTTTTCGGCAAACACAGCGGGATTAGTGTAGTATATTAGGAGTTTATTTTGGAGTATATTAGGAGTTTATTAGAAGTATATTAGGAGTATACAAGTTCTATAGATGTGGTTGTGGAACTCACCAGGCGGCAGGGTCATACTCGGCCCATATCCTGACATACTCATCCAAGTGGTGCGGACCCAGAATGGACGAGTCTCTGGTCAAGTATTCAAAGTTGTCCATGATGACGGCCACAAACAGGTTCAGCATCTGCGTCCGCACAGAGAAAAGGTGTTATTGGACGTCACATTCACTTAATGAGACTGGTAAAAAGGGTCTTTCTCTCTGCTGCTATTTACTGTCCTGACAATGTGTAAAACAGCTTACTAGATTTCTTATAATCAACAACTCATTTGATATGTTTCAGTCCGGCTTTAGACCCCACCACAGCACTGAGACTGCTCTCGTCAAGGTTACAAACGATATCCGGCTGAACACTGACGCAGGCAAAGTCTCAATCTTAATCTTGTTAGATCTAAGTGCTGCCTTTGACACCGTCGACCATGAGATCCTCTTACAGAGACTAGAGGACTGGGTTGGTGTCGCTGGCACCGCCCTAAGTTGGTTTAGGTCTTACCTTGAAGACAGGAAGTACTTTGTGGAGATTGGAAACTGTGTCTCAGATCATATGGCCCTGGCCTGTGGAGTACCACAAGGGTCGATCCTGGGACCTCTTCTGTTCAATCTCTACATGCTGTCGTTAGGTCAGTTAATACGCAGAAACAAAGTGTCCTATCACAACTATGCAGACGACACTCAGATCTATGTCTCACTGACTGCAGGAGAACATGGACCAGTGGACTCACTCCTTCACTGTATCCAACAGATCAGTGAGTGGATGCAAAACAACTTCCTTCAGCTAAACGCAGACAAAACTGAAATGATTGTCTTTGGTCCCCAGAAACAAAGAGAGAGCGTCATCTGTCATCTACAGTCTCTCTCCCTAAAACCTTCAAACAAGGTCAGAAATCTAGGGGTAATACTGGACTCAGACTTAAATTTTAATAGCCACATCAAATCAGTAACATCAGCAGCTTTTTACCATCTAAAAAACATTGCCAGGATCAAAAACATAGTGTCTAAAGCAGACTTGGAGATTCTTATCCATGCATTTGTCTCCAGTAGGTTAGACTACTGCAATGGCCTGCTCACAGGTCTGTCCAAACAGGCTGTAAAACAGCTGCAGTACATTCAAAAAGAGGTTGCTTTTCAGATTCATGCTGCTAAAATCTGGAACAGTCTTCCTGAAGATGTGAGACAGGCCTCCTCTCTGACAATGTTTAAAACCAGGTTAAAGACAGTTCTGTTTAGCTGTGCATACAACTGAGGGATTTTATATTTTTAGCTTTCTTTTTAATGTTCTGTGATTATTTATGATTTTAATGCTTTCTTGTTTTGTTCAGCACTTTGAATTGCCTTGTGTATGAATTGTGCTATACAAATAAACTTGCCTTGCCTTGCCTAAAATGTTCAAACGACCAAAATAAACTTGATTCATTCACACTGCGTTCACCTAGAATGGATTGAAAATATTGAATTTGCTTTGAAAGAGACTTGGATTTTTGTTTTCTTTGAGTAATTGTTGATGAGAACTTAAATTGGTAGCAATACATGGTTTATACCAGTGGTTCCCAAAATGGGGGGCATGGGACGAATTAATGAACACAAATACAGTAAATAACTTCTTTTTTTTTTATGTCGAGGGGTTCAAAAAATAAATGACACTGCTCGCATAAGATGGTTTTTTTTTTATTTGACACGTTACAATCTGCAGTTACTGAGATTTATATTAATTACAATGGGTGAAATGAACTGCAATGGACTCTGAAAACAAAATGTGTCTATAAGAAAAAAAAACTGGGAGGGAGGTGTGCAAAAAAATCGTTTGTAGTAAAAGGGTGTCGCGCAGAAAAAGTTTGGGAATCACCGGCTTGTACAAATAATAAGAATTGCTAAACTTTTGCCAAAACAAAAGTAAATTTCTGTGATCCTGGCCTGAAATGTGTGTCCCACCCCGGGTCTAAAACAGCGATTTGTGACGCTTTAAATGCATTTTAAATACACTGTGACTTATTAGAGTAATTTTCCATATATTTACAAATTGTGTTGCAAGACTATTGGGCAAAACATTCAATCTCTACAAGTGTAAATCTTGAAATCGTATCTCAAATGACTCCTGTTGTGTGAATACCAACACAAGTCCAACTTTTTTAATTAAAAAAAGAAGAAATACAACAATCGTGTCTCATGTAGAAAAAATACAATCTTTATATTTTTTTGTGTTATTTAACCATTTCTATACATAAAAATGCCCCTGTTCTTCCAGAAAAAAAAAATTGTCAGTTCAAGCTGGGCTACCTAACTTATTTTTCTTTAACAAACAAACAAACAAATGTACAATACCTTTAAAAACTTGAAAAAACACTATTTGATATGAACGTATTACGTGCACTGTGACAAGCTCTGTGTGTTATTATGTTGTTGATTATGGCTTAAATTTTCAACATATTTACATTTTCTGAGATGTTTTATTTTTACTCGCTGTGAGACACAACATAAAAACAAATAAAGGCTTTCTATATCACACTTTGCCTGTAATGAGTTAATCATTTATGAGGTTCACATTTGAAGATTAGAGCAGTGAACGGACATTTGTACGACATTCTAGTTTCATGAGTTCCACCTGCACTAAACCCTCAGTACGATCATAAGTAGTGGGTAATCCTCTTTTTTTATATAGCGCATTACAATGTTTTTGGAGTTCAGATTTGTTTCCATCCGTGCATCAAAGCCCCCGACCAACTCCATCCATTCCCTCACTCATTACATACAGACCTATTGTACATGTTATTAGGGTTCCACACATTAAGACCCGGAGGTGAACCCAGGACCTAATTGCCGCGAAACACAAGCCCGCGCCGCCCACTATCAATACTAAAATGTGCCAAAATGTGCTCAATGGACCTTTTCGAAACAGTCATAAAATCATGAGTCATAAAGTGCTCACCAGAAAGGAGCAGAAGAAGATGAAGGAGACGAAGTAGAGGTATGCCACCTGGCTGCCACACTCGGGCTCGGTGTTGCCGGACAGAGGGTCGCACTGGTTGTTTCCCAGACAGGCTAACATGATCTCGTGCCACGCCTCTCCAGTGGCACTCCTGCAAACACGGCATCATTGCATCATACATGTGCTTCTGCCGAGACCAGAACGATGGCTACAAACCTGAAGAGGAGCATGAGAGCCTGGATGAAGGTCCTGAAGTTGTTGTGCTGGTTGATGGCACTCTCTCCTTCTTCCTCGATGGCGATATTTCCAAACAGCTGCCACGACAACCAGAGACACTTTGAGTACATTACATTATTTGTTTTTGTTTACCCAGAGCCGTCGGTCCATAAGGGGCGGTGACCAATGGCCATAAATGTCGTTGACTGTCAAGTGCCCGTGGACCAGGTGTCTCCAACCTTTTTCACCCAGAGAGCTACTTTCCTGGGACGATAAAGGCAGAGAGCTACTCCTGCGGCTCTGGGAATAATGTGGTGATATATTTGTGTGAACGAGCCTGATATTGGGTATATTCATTATTTATCAATGCTTATTACACGGCTCCTCACAGCAGCAGGAGAACGCTCTATTGATTTGAATGTAATTTCAAAACGTTCTACTGGTCATTGTTTCTTCATAACAGACCTCTCAAAAAAATAGTAACCGCTGCCCTTTGGCAACGCACTCTCCGCTTGTAAGTCAGATGTGTAGATTACTCCGCAAGGGCGGCAGTAGCTCAGTTGGTAGAGTGTTGGCCTTTGAGCCAGAAGGTCGTGGGTTCAAGCCCCGCTCAAGACTTTCACCATCGACTCCCACTGACTACTGTCGTTGTGTCCTTGGGCAAGATACTTAACCTCTGGGAACACCAGCCACAGTGGGGCGGCTGCGGCTGTAAAGTGCCAAACTGCCGTTGTGTCCTTAGGCAAGACACTTCACCCCCATTAAATGAATGAGTCTGGTGTGTGTATGAATGGTTGGTGGTGGTTGGAGGGGCCGATGGCACAGACTGGTTGCCTCGCTTCTGTCAGTGTGCCCCAGGGCAGCTGTGGCTACAGTAGTAGTTTATCACCACCGTGTATGGAGTGAATGAATAATGACACATGTGAAGCGTCTTTGAGTGTCCAAAAACGCGCTATATAAAACCGATGCATTATTATTATTAGTTCCGGCCACTCCGGAGCTAGCCCGAGCTAGCTACGCTCAATAAACGCTAATACCAATCAATCAACACATTTAAATGTTAATTGGAGAATACATTATGCATATACATTCTTAACAAAAATACTGTTTTAATGCGAGAAAAAGCGATCGCGAAAAACCCGGAAGTAGATTCCGGGACATTTTAGGAACATTTGCAGAGAATCGAATTATGGATTTAGGTTAAGTTTATGTTTGGGTCACTCACTGCTGATGTTCACAATTCTTTGTTCAGTTTTCATGCAGTTCCAGAGAGTTCTAGTTTGGAGGTTACTAGCCTAACTGTTACTAGCCTAACTGTTGCTAGCCTAACTGTTATTAGCCTAACTGTTACTAGCCTAACTGTTATTAGCCTAACTGTTACTAGCCTAACTGTTACTAGCCTAACTGTTACTAGCCTAACTGTTATTAGCCTAGCTGTTACAAGCCTAACTGTTATTAGCCTAACTGTTATTAGCCTAGCTGTTACTAGCCTAACTGTTCCTGCCTATCTGTTATTAGCCTAACTGTTATTAGCCTAACTGTTACTAGCCTAACTGTCACTAGCCTAACTGTTACTAGCCTAACTGTCACTAGCCTAACTGTTCCTGCCTATCTGTTATTAGCATAACTGTTACTAGCCTAACTGTTACTAGCCTAACTGTCACTAGCCTAACTGTTCCTGCCTATCTGTTATTAGCATAACTGTTACTAGCCTAACTGTTCCTGCCTATCTGTTATTAGCCTAACTGTTACTAGCCTAACTGTCACTAGCCTAACTGTTCCTGCCTATCTGTTATTAGCATAACTGTCACTAGCCTAACTGTTCCTGCCTATCTGTTATTAGCATAACTGTTACTAGCCTAACTGTCACTAGCCTAACTGTTCCTGCCTATCTGTTATTAGCATAACTGTTACTAGCCTAACTGTTCCTGCCTATCTGTTATTAGCCTAACTGTTACTAGCCTAACTGTTGCTAGCCTAACTGTTGCTAGCCTAACTGTTGCTAGCGCGTCGGGCTCCGCTTCGACCCTTTATCCCTTTCATATTCGTTACTAGTAACAAAGTAAGTGCATTTACAACAAAAAATAATGATAATGAATAATGGGGGCTACAGTAGCTCAGTTGGTAGAGCACTGGTATTTGTACCTAATGATCATGGGTTCGATCCCACCACGACCCATGTCATCTGCTCCCACTGAAGTCTGCTGCCGTTATGTCCCTGGGCAAGACACTTAACCCCACTTTGCCTGAAGCCCCCGCTGAAAGACCAGGGCCACGTTTTCATTGAAGGAGCAGCCATCTTCCTGCAGGAGGATCAGCGAGGGACTGGTGCATTGTGAATGGGGTGGTAGCTCTGATTGCCACCCCCTGACCCAGAAATGGACAGGAAATACATAGAGCCATTGGTCCATAAGGGGCAGAGACCAATGTCCATAAATGTTGATAAAACCATAAATGTTGGTGAATGTCAAGTGTCCATGGACCAAGTGTCTCCAACCTTTTTCACGATAAAGGCAAAGAACGATACTTCTTTAAGCAGCTCTGGGAAAGATGTGGTGATATATTGGTCGTAACAAGCCTGATATTGGGTTCAGTCATTATTTACCATCACATATTTGCATTTACAATAATAAATAATGATAATGAATAATACAATCTGAAATATTAAGTATTTCATTTGATTTGGTCATTTTTAAATCCTTTGGCGAGCTACCTGGAAGGAGGTGGCGGGCTACTGGTGGCTCCCGAGCTACAGATTGGAGACCCCTGCCTTAGACCCTCCTGCTTTAGCAAAGAACAACTCTAAAAACCCAGTGGGAGAAAATGAGAAACCCCAGGGAGGCCCACATTGAGGCAGATGCCGAATGTGACGTCAAGATCTGAGCTGGTTCTGATGAGCTCCATGGGTGGGACTTTAGAATTCTCTGGTAGCAGCCAAGACCTTGAGGCTGATTGGTTCCTGCTCGCTCTATTCACAAGCCGAGTTTGTGGATTGAATGCTGGTCAGTTATTATCGGTCACATTCACAAAGACATTGTCAAAGAGCAGGATTTTGAATAACAGACAACCTTTCAAATTGCGGCCCATGAGCACTTCACAATTAGACTTAAAGGTGATATCAGCAACTCTAGATGTAATTCATTTTTGACATAATGTATATTTCTGACTATGGGACACTGTTACTATTATGTTACAAGTATTTTTCAACAATATATATGTAAAATAGTCTCATCCATTGGCATAATTATGATAAGTAAGTAAGAATATTTTAGCGAATTATGTGGGGCCTCAAGGATTTGAATTCATTTCGACCAATCAGGAGGCTGCAGGGGAAAGCATAGGCAGTCTAACCAGGTCGGGTCTTAGAAAAGCTTCAATCTCTTCACAATATGAGAAGTAATTGACACTTTATCTAGCTATAAGTTAGTTCTGTCCACCCCTCCATCTGTGCAGTCTATGATTTCTCAATAGTTTAAATTTCGCAGTTTTGCAAAAGACCAAAATTGGTGATGTAACCAACAGAAACAGTAAGAAAATCCCACAAAATCGCAGTAAACGGGAAACTACCACAGGAAGCAGAAAAATACAGATGGCACCAGGTCGTGTGGTGGATTCATCTTGCTGGGTCTCTCACCTGCATGCCGATGATGGCGTAGATGAAGAACAGCATGGCAATCAAGAGGCAGACGTACGGCAAGGCCTGAGGAGGAGAGAAGATGTTACAAAACCTTGAATAAGATCAATACCAAGGATTTATGGCAAGGCAAGTTTATTTATATGGCACAATTTATACACAAGGCAACCCAAAGTGCTGAGCAAAATCAGAAAGCATTAAAATCATAAATAATCACAGAACATTAAAAAGAAAGATAAAAATATAAAATCCCTCAGTTGTATGCACAGCTAAACAGAACTGTCTTTAACCTGGTTTTAAACATTGTCAGAGAGGAGGCCTGTCTCACATCTTCAGGAAGATTGTTCCAGATTTTAGCAGCATGAATCTGAAAAGCAGCCTCCCCATGTTTAGTTCTGACTCTGGACACTAACAGGAGTCCAGTCCCTGTGCTCCTCAGAGTCCCAGCAGGAGTCCAGTCCCTGTGCTCCTCAGAGTCCCAGCAGGAGTCCAGTCCCTGTGCTCCTCAGAGTCCCAGCAGGAGTCCAGTCCCTGTGCTCCTCAGAGTCCCAGCAGGAGTCCAGTCCCTGTGCTCCTCAGAGTCCCAGCAGGAGTCCAGTCCCTGTGCTCCTCAGAGTCCGGGCCGGTTCATATGGGACAAACATGTCACTAATATGAGGGCTTTAGTTGCTTTTGCCATTCTCATAAACGCTTTTCGGGTGAATTAAGACAGCTGCCTTACAATGGACCATCTTCTACCACCCTTGGATAGTTTTCAGGACTGAAGGGAAACCAGTTCTGACGCTAGATACAAAGTCTTGATGTAATAACAATTAACATGACAAAATATGACGTCTTTTTAATAGAATAAAAATATAAAAAATAGAATCATTTTGTTAAAGCTGTTTAAATGTGGTTTAAGCTATTCCAATGTGGTTTTACTGCAAATGACAAAATAAATGAACCTGAACCTGAAAGCTTTATTGTTATTTGAAAAGAACTTCTGGATGAAAGTTGAAACGTCTCCATGTGAATTTTTCTTTCCAGATTTCGTTTCTTTTTTCTTCTCAAGTCGATTTATTAGTGTTGAATTTCATGTTTGAAATGTTTGCATTGTCACACCGCTTTACGAAGAAATATTATGCATTACATCTGAAAATATTCGTATTTGCCCAATTTCTATGCTCTCACAATTTTTTATCTTGAGAAGTTACCTAAACTAATTTATGGTCTGTTCTTTTGTTTTAAAAGGCAGAAAAATACTTTGCGTGTAATATCAAAGTGCTACAACGATATAATACCATTATGGGACAAAGAAAGGAGATTTGAGACACAGGTGTTAAAAGTTTGTGCCAGAACTTGCTGTCAATAGCGACCAGGTCTGTTTATGGTGAGGGAACAATGGTTTTTAGTGGTTAAAAGGTTCGAAGGGTCTATATTCCGGCCTTAAAGACGTCTCCTTTAAGGCCTTTCCATTGTGCAGTGTTTGTATAAAAGAGTGCAAACCTTGAAGGACTGTACGAAGGTCCACAGCAGGATGCGGATGGTCTCTCCCTGTCTCAGCAGCTTGATGAGGCGAGCTGCCCTGAACAGCCTCAGGAAGCTCAGATTGATGAAGTTATTCTACAGCACACGACCAGAGGAGAAGGGGGAAGGTACAAGACAGACACAGAGTGAGAGCAATCGAGAAAGAGGTCACGTTTGTCCAAAAGATGTGTTCCAAACCCCCGCCCCCATTTCCAAAACTAATGAGGTAAGTCCAGATGGAGACAAACATGAAGTTGAACAAGCCTCATCCAGGGTCTTAAAGTCAAACGAGACAAGGAGAAGGCAGTCATCGGGTTGGTCGGGTTAATCCAGACATGTTATGTGGTGAGACTAGAACGGGAGCGCTGCGGGTCGCTACAGTGCAGGGACTTTTCTCAGAGTGACAACCAAATGCACTAGGTTTGTCAGGCACGCACACAACTGCAGAGAAGTCAAGGCCGCGGCATGCACACGTGGATCATGGGAGCACCAAAACAAGGGCGAGTCTAGATGGAGTGAAGCCGATGCAACGTGGTCAATGTCGTTTGGATTTCAGAAGTAAGATCGTCAACCAACAGACCGTAAAGGACCAAAGCCGTCTGCTCATAGAGGAGCCAGTGCCAGCGCTTCTGTTTGTCAGAGGAGGAGCTCTAGCAGACACATGCAACATGCACCTTTTACTCTAATCCTAAAAGTGTTTCAAAAATCATTACTGTATTTCCGACATGTATTTACATTCAGCAACCGTAGAAAATATGAAATCTGGAAAGTATTTGTATCGTCAGTGTTGGAGGCCAAGCAGAGCATGCACAGGTCACAGCCATAACAATGGCTGGGATGCAGGACAAATGCAGGAAAATAAGATCTCCAAAAAATTACAAACCATCTACATGTGGATGTTGCAGATTTATGGTTTATAGCAGCACATTTTTGGATTTTTGATTCGAAGAACAACCAGATAGGTTGACCAAGCCGGTTGTCATGGACACAGAGTCATAGTGCATTTTGATTGGAATAGGAGTAGGCCAAAGGGGAAAAGATCATAGTGGATCATCAATAAGTTTGAGGACGATTTAAAGAAAGCATGTAAAAAGATAAAAACAAGAAGATAGAAATCAACAGTCAATACACAGAGTTCAGTGGACAGGAGCCAAATAAGGCAGGGACCAAGACTTGAGACTGATACAACTTGAGACTGAACCATAAAGATTAATCAATTTACTCAAAATATTAGCAAGAAAAGATAATTTAGTCGTTTTCATCAAAAGTTAAGTAAACAATAACAAACAATAGAGCTTTTCATATTGTTGAATTGTCTTGTATGTAGCACAGAGCTAAAGCCTCAGTGACGGCCTGGTGTTGTGGGCTGTCCCGTACAGCTGCATGTGGGACACTTATGTAAAACTTACAGCTCTCATGCATGAACGAACCAGGCCAAACTTATGGGCCTGGCTTAATGTCTCACCTACTACACTACGAATGAGGCTAAAGTAGAAGCACATCTGAACTCTTGTGTCACTTACCCCAAGCTCCGTGACCAGAATGTCGGTGATGCTGCCCAAGACCGTGACACAGTCAAAAATGTTCCAGGCATCTTTGAAATAATTCTGCAACACAGTGTTGGGGTCATTTCATTTCTATACATGAGAGACGTGGGGTGCATTGCATAAAGCGGCTTATTCCGCCTAGTTACACCTATACTAGCCTTAATTACTGAACAAATCCCCCTTCAATATGTCTTAATGTCAATCACACACCAACTCTGGAGCTATTTCTGTCCATACAGCAGCTAAAGAGTCTCCTCGCTGCAAAGTCACCTTTTTTGGCTGAGTACTATTGTATTTCATTTCTGTATATGCTTCCCCCACTCTGCTATAGCATGTGTTACTCTATAGACACACACACACATGCACACACACACATGAATTAGAAGTATACATTTGCACCTACATAACATATGGAGTTGTTTTATGTACACATAAAGGGGTCAAGTGGCCATGATGTGTGTGTGCAGATTTAAGTCCCCACAAAGTGATACATTCAAGTTCATACATAAACACACACACATGCACACACACACACACACACATGCATTAGAAGTACATTTGAACCTACATAACATATGGAGTTGTTTTATGTACACATAAAGGGGTCAAGTGGCCATGATGTGTGTGCAGATTTAAGTCCCCACAAAGTGATACATTCAAGTTCATACATAAACACACACACACACACACACACACAAACACACACAAAATAAACAGGATGCACAATCGTTTAGAAAAATATTGTATTGAATAGTATCGAATTGTAAGTCAGGTTGTGAAAGATACCCAGCACTAGGTATAGGGTCAGAGAGTGTTTGTGTGCGTGTATATGTGTGTGTACGTGTGTGTGTGTGTGTGTGCGTGTGCATCTTGTTCTGTCCTGTCCCATATTGTTGTTTGGTGAATGAATGAATTAGGGAAGTTTAGAATTATACACACTTTTGCTTCATCCGACTCCCTTTTTGAACCATGTGCTTGTTATTTGTTTTTTATATCGGAGTATGTGAACATGTGTCACGGGTACAAAACTAACAAATGTCTAATTACCATGACAACGTCTTCAACAGAACGACAGACTCACCAGAACTCCAAAGGCGATGATCTTGAGCACACACTCCATGGAGAAGAGCGACGTGAACACGATGTTGAGATTTGCTAAAACGGCTTCATAGGTGTCGGACGCACCGTCATACTGCAACGAAGCAGCACAGAGACACAGGTGAGACACAGAGAGACGCAGAGAGAGACGCAGAGAGACACAGAGAGACGCAGAGAGAACGGCAGAGAGACGCAGAGAGACACAGAGAGACACAGAGAGAACGGCAGAGAGACACAGAGAGACACAGAGAGACGCAGAGACACTCAGAGCGACGCAGAGAGACACAGAGAGAGGCGGAGAGACACAGAGAGAGGCGGAGAGACGCAGAGAGAGGCAGAGTGAGACAGAGAGAGACAGAGAGAGACACAGGTGAGACACAGAGAGAGACGCAGAGAGAGGCAGAGAGAGACAGAGAGAGAGACAGAGAGAGACACAGGTGAGACACAGAGAGAGACGCAGAGAGAGGCAGAGAGAGACAGAGAGAGACACAGGTGAGACACAGAGAGAGACACAGAGAGAGGCAGAGAGAGACAGAGAGAGAGACAGAGAGAGACACAGGTGAGACACAGAGAGAGACGAAGAGTGAGACAGAGAGAGACAGAGAGAGACACAGGTGAGACACAGAGAGAGACGCAGAGAGAGGCAGAGAGACACAGAGAGAGACAGAGAGAGACAGAGAGAGGCAGAGAGACTCAGAGAGACTCAGAGAGAGACGCAGAGAGAGACAAAGAGACACAGAGAGAGACAGAGAGAGACGCAGAGAGAGACAAAGAGACACAGAGAGAGACAGAGAGAGACAGAGAGACTCAGAGAGAGACAGAGAAAGACAGTGAGACACAGAGAGAGACAGAGAGAGACACAGAGAGAGACAGAGGGACACAGGTGAAACACAGAGAGAGACAGAGAGACACAGAGAGAGACACAGAGAGACACAGAGAGACACAGAGAGAGACACAGAGAGAGACACAGAGAGACACAGAGAGAGACACAGAGAGACACAGAGAGAGACACAGAGAGACACAGAGAGACACAGAGAGACACAGAGAGAGACACAGAGAGAGACACAGAGAGACACAGAGAGAGACACAGAGAGACAGAGAGACACAGAGAGACACAGAGAGACACAGAGAGACACAGAGAGAGACACAGAGAGAGACACAGAGAGACACAGAGAGAGACACAGAGAGACACAGAGAGACACAGAGAGACACAGATTTTTACCTTTAATACTGAAATAAGATTCACACAGATAAGGAATAAATGAAAATAGGGAGGGGAGGGAGGATTCTAATCTGGTTTAATGCATTTTGGGGTGTGTATGTGTGTGTGCGCGTGTGTGTATATGTTGGGTGTGTGTGTGTGTGTGTGTGTGTGTGTGTGTGTGTATGTTGGGTGTGTGTGTTGGCTGGGTGTGTGCACATCACTGATAGTGCTGGATATTGCCACAAAAGTTAGGAAATGTCGTTATTGACGATTGTAAGAGTGTGCGGGCTTTGTTTTGCGATTAGGTCTGTGTGATTGTGTGATGGTGTGTAGTTGGGATGTATTAAAAGGTGTGTAATGCTTTGACTGAAACGTTGACTGTTTGTGTATTTGCTATAAACTAAAATGAGCATTCTATCGCAGTAGTACCAGGGTTTGGGGAGCTGTCGTTTACCTTCATCATGAGGACGATTGTGTTGAGCGCGATCATGGCCATTATTGTGTATTCGAACGGAGGCGACACCACAAACTCCCACATCTTGTACTGGAAGCTGAGTTTGTTCTGAGGCATGTGGCGCGTCAAAGGCCGGGCGTTTATGGCAAAGTCTATGCAAGCTCGCTGCGGAGAGAGAGAATTATTGACCGTTGTTTTTAACATATTTTAGTTGAGGGTCAGTTGCAATAGAATATCTTTGAGCAACATGTTTTCAGAAATTAGATCCACATTTGATCTGGACTGCTTTCAGAGGCAGTTCATTTCAGCACAGATTGATTGCACCATCTCTGGTTTGGATGAGATTTGATACAGTGCCATGTCTTGAAGGGTTATGTACCTAATTTCGTTCCTCTCGCAGTTGTCCCAAGGCAGAAGCTAAAACATGTATTAGATGTTTATCAGGGCTATGGATAAAATGTGCACTATATTTTAAATGTTTTCCTCCAAAGGTTCATTTTTTTAAATCTGAAATGGATTTTAAAGAGTCATATAAAATCAACTTCCTGCCTATGAAAATACATATTTGTAGATTTCATGAACTACCTTTTCTGGTTGATTCTTTCACCAAAAAATGTTTTGTCCATAGTTAGCACTTGTTACAACTGTATATTTCAAATGTATTTGTATGTAAACATTTCCACGTGGGAAGTCACAGATACGTATATAAATACATTATTAGGAAAGAGATGGACTAGAGATTAGAGATTAGAGAAATAACACATGAGAGTTGGTTTATACATTTTGGAAAAAGTTCCCTCAACAATGTTGAACTGTAATGTGATCAAATCTATGACAAGATCGACTGATCAACACCTGAACGATTTCATCAGAGTGAGTTTGAGTAGCTTTACTCCACAATACTCTTGTTGATGCCATGCAGTGGCAGCCGTCCCACTGAGAGTATGCATATTGTATCTTGTGCATTTCTGTGTGCATTCTTTCTTAACCATAATTGAAAAAACAAATGTTTCCAAGCAGGAGTAGCTCACACATGATTTGTTTTGTATTAAAGCAGCTCACAAAGCAACGAAGTTTGGAGACACCGGATTTAGTCAAATTGATTCACTCACCGCTTGACGCAAAGATAAAAACTCACCTCATTTTTTTCTAAGCTATACTCTTCCATCATCTTATCCCCTTGTTCTTGGAAAGTGATGATGATCAGAGCCACAAAGATGTTGACAAAGAAGAAGGGGAAGACCACGAAGTACACCACGTAAAAGATGGACATTTCCATCCTGTATCCGGGGCTGGGGCCCTGGTTCTCGTAGGTCGCATCGACTGAATGTTTCAGTACCCTGGACAGAGACACGTGCGTTAGCAAGAACCGCTGTATTTCTGCCTTTTTGACAAACTTCCACTGTAGTAAACAGAGAACTCACTGCGGCCACCCCTCTCCAGTGGAAACAGTGAAGAGGGTGAGAAGGGCCCAAGCCACATTGTCGTAGTGGAAATCGTACTTCTTCCATTCCCGCTTCTGTGCCCTCACCTCGTTATCTCGCTCATAGACCAAGTATTCGCCCCTGGAAAAGAAAGTGACAGTTAAAGCTCATTCTAATACATGTGTGCATAGTTTCCCTTCAAACACATCCACCTCACCTCACTGTTTATAGATTTGCACTATGACTTCTAAAAACATGAAGGTAACACTTGATTGAAACAGATCTCAACACTGTACCAAAAACTGACAAGAATTGTTAAATTAAAGATGCAGTTAGCGATGTTGTTAGCTTAGCCGTAGCGCCCACTGGAAACCACTTCCCCTCCCCTCCCCTCTCCACCAAACCAAACATCCAGCATTTTCGTGTCTTTGTCACAACAGGGAGAGTGGGCGGCACACGTGAAATTGGTATTTTCTGTTCAGCCCTTTAAGGTTTTAGAAAATAATCCGATAAAACAGGTGCGCACAGTCGTGAGAAACAGGAAGAGGGTGAAGAGGGTAAACGCATCCCATTGGTTCGTTGGCGATGAACGAATCCCATTGGTTTATTTTTATCGGCCCGCTCCAAAATATTTGTTATTAATTTTTGGAGACTAAAGGCATCTGATCAATTCCAATACTGAAAAATGCGTCTGGAAAAAAATCACTGACTGCATCTTTAATAACATTATAGGCCCGTTGGTTATCGTTCCTCTTGTTAATATTGAGAACGATGGATTTCAAACATTTGGGCCGAAAATGTCCTCTGTAATTTTGCTTTTGATGCGTTTGGACTGTTTGTGGTGAGATGTACTTCAGTATCTACTTGAAAGGGACAGTGCACAGTAGCTTTAAACTCAAAGACACATGTTCTGCACCAGATTTTAGCTACACAGTTATTTTCCGTCTGCAGTCCCTGGATACATGCACACAAAAAAATACAATACGGCAACCATACAATAACATAAACTTATATCTCACAGACACATCATATGAAATCACCAATCATCAAATCCATCCATTTCAGACTACAGTCCACAGAAACCTATATTTCCTGACCTGCAATCGCGCTCAAACTCCTTGGACTCGTCGGTGCAGTAGAAGAACCGTCCCTTGAACAGCTGCACGGCCACAACGGCGAAGATGAACATGAAGAGCAGGTAGACAATCAGGATGTTCAGGACGTTCTTCAGGGAGTTCACCACACAGTCGAACACCGCCTGGACACACACCAACACCTGAGCTCTGGAAGACCTGCCACTTACAAGTCAGGGGGGTCAAACTCCTTCTGGTCAGGGGCAAAAGTAAAAATAAGGAAGTGGAAGAAGGGATTTTCTTTCGTATCATTGATTTTTACTTTATGGAGGTATTTTGACATGAGTTTCACAATAACCCCCCCTCCCTCTTTTTGCTCCTTTTCACTCTTTACGCTGTTTTATCGTCTTATTTTGTCAATATTTTTGTAGATATAGCTGCGTGAGGCTACGGCACAGTAGAGGAAAGAGCCTTTTTCAACTTTCTCTGTGTTTTGAGACCTGGATTAGACACTACTTTGTACATTGTGTGCTCCCTGTGTGCTCTTACTGTCCTGTATGTGCGCTGCAACACTGAAATATCCCCACTGTGGGACAAATAAAGCATCTCTTATCTTTTTATAAAAACAAAATGTTTTTTTTGTTTATACTGAAGTAACCCATATTGTTTTATATTTAATTTAACTATAAATTAAACAGGTGTGAGCTTCTCATTTTGAGAAAATAGATTTTGTATGACATGCCATAGCCCATTACCATCAATGCTGCAAGTTCATAATAATAATAATAATAATAATAATAATAATTGAAAATCATTAAAGGGGCCTCTAAAAATGGTGTCTGGCCAGATTCGGCCCACCAGCCTGAGTTTGACATATCTGCTCCAAAAATGGATTTTCAAGTCACAATACAAGACCAAAAGTCCAAAGTTTGAAGTTGGTTGCGATTAAGGTCCAACCAATTCTGATTTTTTGAAACCGATTTCCAAATTATTTGTCGATTATATATTCTAATTCTAATAGTTTCTCCTGTCTGTCCGGTCATGAGTAAAGCCAGGTTTTGTATGCACATAGTCCCATATCAAATAAAACATCTATAAAAAGTCTATGGTCCAAGTCTGAAGTTTAAAAAGTGTTTCTCTGGTCCAGACGCACCTTGAGTTTGGGAAGGCGCTTGATGGTCTTCAGAGGCCGCAGCACTCTCAGAACCCTCAGAGACTTGATGGTGCTGATGTCCTTCCCTTTACTGCTCCCTCTGTGTACGGACAACACAACACACACTCTCAGTCACACACAGCAGGACACACACACACACAAAAGCACCGTCGCACAGAGTCCATGTGCTCGGAAATGATGTTCTACTGATTCCAAAATGGCAGCGAGCAGCCATTCTTTGATGGAATTAGAGGCCGAGTTATCTCAGAGCGAGTAACTGCGAGTGCGTTGGAAATATAGCAACACATGCGGTATTGCTATTGTCGTCGCCTTAGCGTTAGCTCGTTATGACACGTTAGCCGCTGTCGCTACATGCTAATACAAGTTAAGTACATGCCTTAGAAGCGGTTGATATCATTCCTATCTGAATGCTATCTATTCGTACGGTGGCTTCAAACTGCAGTGTACTGGGTTTTTGCAAAGTATTTCAATGCTCTGTCGGCTAAAGACGTGGGTGCACATGCCCGGTTGAGGGTTGGATTCCATAGACATGCTGCATTGAAACCTTGCTTTTCATGCTTTTTGTCTGGTAGCAAGTTACATAGAGCTACATTACTGATAGGGAGAGAGAGAGTTCATTGCTGAAAACCATGATGTATACTGTATATACTGTACCTGTGTTGCTCATGGGTTTTAATAGAAAATAATCTTTGATAAGTATTGCACTTATGACGATCCTCAAAATACCCACATGATAATCCCAAGTGCAAACCCAAAAATCACATATATACTTTGGATGAACAGCAAAACTCTCTCTTGACAAGTCAGGTCCCGGTGAATAAACGATTCACTATCTAAAGCGGACATTTCTACTTTCTACTTTGTCTTCTTCTTTTGAGAAGACAAAGATATTCTCTCGTGCATTTCAAAGGGGAAATGCCAAACCTCTTTCTTATTAGTACTTTGACGTGCCAATGACAGCCCTTTTGCAAGAGACTGTATTGTTTGTTGGAATAATATGTTGGTCATGGTCAAATCTGCCCTATTTTATATTTATATATCATGTTCAGACGCAACAGAATATTTCATTTGGAAAGTCATTGAAAGTATCCCCAAGGGTTAAGGCAGATGTTCAGACAGACGGCAGAGGACTGACACTGGGACAACTGTATATAAATATATATTTAAGTATACATGTGTGTGTGTGTGTGTGTTATTCCCTGTAGTGGACAAAGAATTCTAATGTGATTCCTACAGTAAACGGAAAAACCAACGCAATAAAAACAATTTCATAGTAAACTCCCTTTCAAAAGTACATGTGGCTTTCCCTCCATTACATTGAAAAAAACTGCAAAAAGTTTAACAAACCAATTTTGCGATCCATCATTAAAGGAACTGTATGTAAGTTAAGTGGAGTTAAACATTATTGTGGGAATGTGCCTTCTGCATTTGACCCATCCTGTACCGTCACAGGAGGCTCTGTCAGGTCCTCAGACTGTATCGTCCAGGACCCATTTCCAGGTGTTGTCGCTCGATTTGGTCAGGACTACCAGAGCTGGAGGATTTTATCTATGGTGCATGTTTTTAGTGGTAGAGAAAACCGGAGCACCCAGAGAAAACCTGCGCAGACAACATACAAAGTCCACTCAGAAAGGCTCTGTTCCGTTCTGGATTGGAGGTGCTCATGCTGAACTCACATGTATTTTATTATTATGTGCTATCGCTGTGATGGGTAATCTATTCTTAATCAACTCTGAATGTGTATGTGTTAGTTTGCGTTGCCAGATACAATGGTTCCCACGTGGATAGTAATGACATTTTCTCTACACTTTATGCAGTTGAAGACAATAGTGGGTTTTGTATTTGTTGCACTGTTTTTAAAATGGCGGCACGGTGGCTGAGTGGATAGCACTCTCGCCTCTCAGCAAGAAGGTCCTGGGTTCGAATCCCGGTCGGACCAGGTCCTTTCTGAGTGGAGTTTGCATGTTCTCCCCGTGTCTGCGTAGGTTTCCTCCGGGTACTCCGGTTTCCCCTACCACTAAAAATATGTCCAATAGGTCTGGCATGCGCCTCCTGTACTGGCCCCTCCCATCTCTGTGTGGAGTGAGAGACAAATGCCCATAATTAACAATTGTAAACCGCTTTGAGACTCAGATCTGCAGTGAAAAGGCGGTATATAAATAAAAGATTACTTACTTACTTACTTAAAACAGCAACAGGGCGGACTACATACTGTTCCTTTAAAGTGTTGTTACTACTTTTAAACTACAGCACAAACAAAAGTCATTTTATATCACCCCCTAAAGCGATTGTGCGAAATATTTAGGGTTACGTGCAGTTAAAACATCCCATGCCAGCGATCCCTTCTGCCTCCCAAATAAACTGTTTGTGGCCGTGTGAATGTGGATATTTCTGTGCATGAGACAGAGGTAAATATGGTGCAAAAGATTGAAGACCTCCACGAAAACAAGGCCTATCCTGATTCAAACCCATTTCCACCGGTTCTCAGAGATGTGTTGTGTTGTAACCTGTGTTGTTAATTGTCAAAGCATTAAAGAGCATAAAAAAGAGGACAGACACAGACTGAGACAGCGGCTGTGAGTGGAGGATGGGGCACTAGTATCATGGCAGGATGGAAACAGGCGGGCAGCTCCGGGGGACAGTGTGAGTGGACTTTACCCGCCGCCGCCGCTGTAGAAGGTCCCAGAGAGGAGGGATGAGGGGGCGGAGACACGGGACAACAGGTGGAGAGAGGGGGAGGAGGCGTGGGGAGCACCCAGGGAAGACATTCATATGAGACACACACATCTGGAATAGTGCTGCTAAAGTGTTGCTAATACAGCTGGACAACTGTTAAAGAGGACATGGTGGTTAGCGGTATTATAACATGTTTAATATACAATTTTGAATAATAAATTGGTCTATTGATCTCATAGCTATCAAGGATTCTGAAGTTTTAATAAAAAAAATGCCTGTTAAATGAATGGTCGACAATTGACAGTAAGACATCTTGGGAGTATTCCATATTTATCTAGAGTTTTCAGTAATTTTTGTTATTACCGCAGCAGTTTAGTTATATAAAACACACAAAACCTCAAAAATTGGAAATGGAACCGATTTTAAAATTGAGGCCCAGTAGCTGAGACCAACTCAATTTAGCAAGTTAAAGTAACTCAAGAAATGATTATTTTTACGACTATTTCTACGACGAAATTATGCGGTTTTTGGAGGTGATCCGGATCTCAGGAATAGAATTGAGCCTTTTGGTGGAGGTCTGCGCTCAACGAGTGCTTTTTGTTTAGTCACAACATATGTTCATATCGTTCTGCAAAGTTGATAATTGTTCAAAAATGCACAGTAATTAAAACAATATCTCTAAAATGAGTGTCATTCATCTTGTACTTTTTCTCGAACTTACTATTAGCTCATTGACTGCCAGCCGTTTTTGATGATTTCACTGTTTTTCAAGACCCACAGAATATTAAGTGCTATGACTATGTGAAATATGAAACCAGATTCTGAAAGACTGGATTGTCTACTTTCATCAGCAAAAATAAGTTTGTTTCTAGCTATTTTTGTTCTCCTGTAATCCCCGGTCGAAAAGAGGGAATCTTGACAGAAATCACCAGTCTCAGACAAACACGCCAATGGCCGTCAATGGCAGTCCATGCGTCACAATCAAATACGTCCAAACCAATCCCGCTTAGAACCAGCTGTATTTCCAGATTAACAATTGCTCAGCTGTATTTTGTGATTTGCAATAACAGCAGAAAGAGAGTAGTCTGAGCAGGAGGACTTGAGGCCGCCCTCGCTGCTCACTGATCGGATTAAAGGTCAGATACACATCTCCAGCAGCCTCTTCTCCACACGCTTTGATTTCAATTGAATTAAGTCATTTCTCTGGAAGCGTTCAGCAGCGTCCGACCGCTCCATGTCACTTCATTTGTGTCCACTGTGGTTTCATTCCAGAGAAAGACTAATGGACTTTGAATTTTGACTCAAATCCTCATCTATGGAGAATTAACTTGATTTTGTGTTTCCTTAAAAAAACAAATTACTCCTGCGATTCCTAAATATCTAAATAACATAGATTATCAAACATAGTCATGAGTAGCCTGACAGGACAGAGAGAGAGTTTGGAGACAGTCAACAGTGTCACACACATGGATGCGGATCACAATGGGAACGAGTAAATAAAACACTTTCAGAAAAAAATATGAACCAAAAACATTGAAGGTACAGTTCTACTGTATGCGTTTATAAATGTAGAAGTGAAACGGCTTCCGGGGCAACACTCAGATTTGCATATTTCCTCGCCGTGCCCCAGGTCTCAAGAGAACCAACATTTGCCTTACTAAAAAATACATATTTGAGAAAGTGAATAATTAATGCGGACGACTCTGAGCCAAAGTTAACCCTGTTTTGGGCAATCAGCAAAGAGTCAATACCTTGCCAGCTATTAGTAGAATGGTAAAATATCGTTTTCAAAATGTAATTGAAATGTGCAAATAATATAATGTTTGTATTTCAAATGTGTTACGTTGCAAAAAAAAAAAAAAAATATTATTATTATTATTATATATATAATTTTTTTTTAAATACTTTTATTATTATTATTATTATTTAATTTTTTTTTTCTCCAGGGGTTTTTATGTTTGTTTGTCTATGTGTTTGTTTGTTAATAATTGAAAAATCATAAATAAATGATTGAAAAAAAAAAAGCGTTACTTTGCACCTACGGGATTATTCTAGCACCACTTTACATGAACGCCGTTTACACGATTAATATTATTGAGAAAACCCACTTATGCTGTAAATAAGCAGCTTTACTCTCAGCAGTAGTGTAGAGTAATAATATTCATGACACAATTAATCTCATATTGTTGCCCCAGGTTCATTAAAGGAGACGTAACATGCTTCTGATGGTCCATGACGTCTGTGGCTCATTAATACATACTTCATACATTTGAAATCTTGATCCAAAAATGATCCAAAATAATTCTGTGTTTCTGTGTTCAGTCCTGCTGTATCGCCCTGCTCTCTGCCTCTTTATGCGGCGTCGGCTGAAACGTGGTCACATAGAATCAAGTTAGCGATCAGCTGATTTGTTTCTCTTTGAAAAAAAATTGCCTGTGTGAGCGCAATGTTAGCAATTCATCTGTAAATCATATAGAGTTTGTTTACAAAGCGTAAGAATACAAGATTGCATTGCTTCAAACCGGTCTGAACGCCTGAGAAGCTGGAATTTGGTAAAGATTTCAAAGGCATCTGATGATTTGTAAACATATTTTGATTCACGCTATGAAAGTAGGTCATGAAACGGGCCGAGGCAGCAATGGGAGAATTTAAATGACTCAAACAAACAGAGGATCACCTTTAAGTGTGTACATGACCAATGGAAAAATGTCAAATTAGCATGTTACATCCCCTTTAACGCTAGGGTTCCCAGAATTCTGAAACCACTAGAACTCCCAGAGCAGTCATTTTGACGGGTCCCATTCAAATGAGCAGAATTCTGAAAAAAAAACTCAAAACAGCTTTTCACTGCTTTTATTAAAATTAAGTTTTTGCTTTTTTTTTTTATCTTTAATGTTAAAACGTATTGATATAAATTGAATCCAACAAAACTAAATGCTAACTAAGGCAAGTAAACAGTGTGTTGCTATGGTAACTAGCACTTGGTCCAAGCTGAGATGGCTCTGAACCAGTCAAGGACCAGTCTAGAACCAGTCAAGGACCAGGCTAGGACCAGTCTGGGACCAGTCTAGGAGCAGTCAAGGACCAGTCTAGGACCAGTCTAGAACCAGTCAAGGAGCAGTCAAGGACCAGTCTAGGACCAGTCTAGAACCAGTCAAGGACCAGTCAAGGACCAGTCAAGGACCAGTCTAGGACCAGTCAAGGACCAGTCTAGGACCAGTCAAGGAGCAGTCAAGGACCAGTCTAGGACCAGTCTACAACCAGTCAAGGAGCAGTCAAGGAGCAGTCAAGGACCAGTCTGGGACCAGTCAAGGACCAGTCTAGAACCAGTCTAGGACCAGTCAAGGACCAGTCTAGGACCAGTCTAGGACCAGTCAAGGAGCAGTCAAGGAGCAGTCAAGGACCAGTCTAGGACCAGTCTAGAACCAGTCAAGGAGCAGTCAAGGAGCAGTCAAGGACCAGTCTGGGACCAGTCAAGGACCAGTCTAGAACCAGTCTAGGACCAGTCAAGGACCAGTCTAGGACCAGGCTAGGACCAGTCTCAGACCTAGCATAGAAATGAACTAAATATAGATACATAAAAAGTCAAAACGTTATGAAGACTAAACATGTTTTAGTCTTTTTTGGACAGTCCAGTTTCTCTTTTAATGGATCCAGACTGTGGAACTCTCTGCCCACTGATTTAAAACTGCAGACTGACATGAACAGTTTTTACAGAGGTCTGAAACAATGGCTGAAGTCAAGTCAAAACTGCTCACATGGTAACACTGTATGAAATGTATACTGATGATGTGTAATTGTGTATTGTTTACCTTTTTAAATATTGTACTGTATTGTATTGTGTTTTTTGAAATGTGTAGCCTCCTATGGACAGGTGTTGCAAATTAGCAGTTTTGCTATAACACTGGAAACAATGTATCTGGTTTGTCCAATGCAGTTGATATGTCCATATCAAATAAACTAATAATAAAAATAAAATAATGTACATAAGCAGAGTAATTACACTTCCAAAATGAAAAGCCGTCAAATTGACTGCTCTGGGAGTTCTAGTCTAAAGCAGAAAGATTATATACATTATATACTGTAGTTACTGATATTAGAAAAGCCATGCTCTGTTTCCCCTCACAGCGTTGGCCTGGTTCCCTGCTCGAGCCATGCATATGAAGTAGAGACAGTACCTGCGTTGCCAGACTCACAGATGAGAACTCTCTAGAACACCTTGGGCACTAAAGGGTTACAGGTGCAAAGAGTGGTCCCCACCTCTCAGGGCGCAGGAGGGGAGGGGGCGGGGCTAACAGGGAGATGCTGGGGCGGGAATGACAGTGTATACGTTTACTGCATGTGTATGTATGCTAGCTGTCTGCGCTGACTGATGACACGGAAACGCTTTAAGGTCATTTTGAAGTGCAGATAGAAAAGCAGTGTTCCCTCTTTCAAAATGGATACCAATAAAGACCAAACTCAAATATCAAATGTAAAAATAACAACAAAATAATAAAAATCAAGTATAATTCAATCAATATATATTTTTTTTTAAGTGAATTCAAAATAAAATAATAAATAAACAAATTACCATACAAAACATTCAGAACTCAAGTTAGAAAATACGTAAAAAATAAATCAGAGGAAGAAAATCTATATACCTGGGCCATAACAATAAAGTCATTCCAGAAATTCCGGCTACATTCTGTATTTTGCTTTTATAAAAACATATAACCACTACTCTATGGCACATGTTGTGGGACGATGGAAGAAGAGAAATACAAAACAGACAGTAAAGTATAATCAAATAATGGATGAAGTAACAAAAAAACCTAACAACGTAGAAAACTACAAAGATGGCGGCCATGTAGACGTGACAGGACAGGAGAGGCAGTGGGAGGGACTTACGAGAAGGCGAAGGCCACCAGAGCACCACTAACCACTATAAAGTCAAGAATGTTCCAAAGGTCCCGGAAGTAGGAGCCGGGATGCATGACCAGGCCCAGGTCCACCATCTGAGGACAGAAGGCGCCAATCAATACACATGGAAAAGTCAAAGTAACAAGTCAAATAACATTTAAGCTACAATAGGCTGCTGCTGATTATTACTATTCTTAGCTTTTTAGAATGATACATTTTATTTTTATTTTTGCTGCTACTGGACACCTGAATTTCTCGAGCGGGGATCAATAAAGTATCTATCTATGTATCTATCCATCTATCATCTATGTATCTATTTATCTATCTACAGTATCTAATATGTATCTGACCACATCACTGCGCACGCTGCACCAATCCGCCTGTCAATCTCACGCTCCATCCTTCCCTCACTCGTGAACAAGACCCCAAGATACTTGAACTCTTCCACTTGAGGAACGACTGCAAACTAAAACTAACTACATTTTCAAAATATTCTTCCCAACACTGAATATGTGTACAGTAACTAGTATGTGTAAGTTATTAAAATTAGATTATAGAGGTGACTATTCAGGAATAGACTCCAGACAAAGCACCTCACTGGAGACGAGTGACTGATTCATCTGAAAAGTCATATTCAAATATAATAATAGTATGAAATTAGACAAGAATGAAATATTCTGACACACGTCTAACACAGAACGCACAGTCTTACCTTGGTCAGCATTTCAAAGGTAAAGACCACAGTGAATGCGTAGTCAAAATAGCGCAGCACCTGGACACAGACATGTTTTTGGTAAACAAAGGTTTCTGATGATTCTAATTATTCTGATGGTTCTGATGATTCTGATGGTTGTTGTGACTCTCACATTGTTGCGTGGAGACTCGGGCCACACTGGGTCCTCTGCAGCCAGAGCGATGCTGCTCAGAGCGATCACCAGCAGGATGCACATCTCAAAGTAGCGCCGGGTGCAGATGTAGTGACACGCACGCCGGAAACTGCAACACAACAGCGAGTCATGAGGTCACTAACCCACTACACCCCTAATATAGAATCATTGAAACAGACAAATAATGTTAAAATAATGTGAAAATAATTCATATTTTTGTATTAGGGCTGTTCAACAGTGTCAGTCACTTCACTGTCAAAGTGATTTTCTCCATTCAGATTCCGATAGGACAATAACATCCAAAAATAAGGGTTTGTTAACATGAGGTCAACTTGGTTTGTACCAGGACATTTTCTTACATTGTTTATGTGATGTGGTGCTACAGACGTTTGTCTACAATTTCTGCCACTGTCCTTATTCAATAACCCCCAAAAGGGGAAATGGTATTTCAATAATGAAATGCTTACGGGTTGGTGGTGGTCAGGATGAACATGGAGGTGAAGGGAACCATGGGTCTGGGTCCACCCTCTCCTCCCCCATCATCGTCATCATCGTCATCCTTTTTGGCCGGCAGAGGCTCAGTGTTGGCATTTTTATTGACTAGAAAAAGTATAATTAGATGTAAAATGTGACAACAGCAGCATGTGCATTTGTTCTATGTTAAATCTCAAAGTCACGCTCAGTCAACCACAAACTAAAAATCTACATGCACCATCTCTGAGCGTCTTCTGGTTACACAGATCTGTTAAGAAGTGGGAAGCGGGGACCTGTCTGATGCTGTACAAATATCAAAAACAATGATATAAATTGTTTCAGAGTATTCTCCTGAAAGTGTCTCTTTGTACCAAATACTTACAACCTTTGTATGGAACAAAATATTCATGATTGAGCCCCAATGACTTTTGCTTTGTAAAATTGCTTCTTGAAGCAGTTCACTGATCCGGCTTCATGGAGGATCCATCATTTGGGAAAGAGAGGAATTCAAATACATTTGAAATCATTAGAAAGCTCGGACTGGAGGACCTAAAAATACCTCCAGGACAGCAAAAGGACAGCGAGTCAGCACAGTGAGTCTGGACTTTGCAGCGAGAACAAAAGTTTAAAATGTATTCTATATTTTATTGCCCGGCGATGAAGAGATGATAAAACTGGAGTGGAGAAAATTACATCTATTTTTAGAGAGAGGGGGAACGGTTTTAAAAATCTTGGCAGCACAATTTCACACAAGCTCTCCTTGAATTTCAGCCATGGCAGACTGTTCTCTCTTACCCCCGGATCACTCTCCGCACCACAAAACCCCTGCGCACCGCTCCGAATGGCGCTCACCTTGCAGTATGGCGTTCTTGGAGGGGAAAATGGGCATGTCTATGGTTGTGTAGTCCGGGTGGTAGAGCCGCAGGATGCTGTTGGCGCGATGATGTCCGATGTTCGCGTAGCTGTCGATGGCCACCAGGCTTCCCCGCTGAGCGCTCCCCGTCAGCTGCAGTGCGGAGCCGTAGCTGGGGGCCCGCTCCAGGTTGGCCACCAGGTTGGCGTGGGGGTCGCTGGGGGGGCTGGAGCCGGAGATCAGCCTGGTGTTCATGAGGTTGTCCAGGTCCTCGCTGTAGGTGCTGTCCTGACGGGAAATCTTCTGGATGGGGCGTGTGGTGGAGAGGTTTGGGAGACTGCAGTCCCTGGGAATAGTGTGCACAGATTTGAGAATATTATTGCAGATATGACCGAGCAGCGGGTCTCAAATCAATGTGTGTTTGTACTGCTCAAAAGTTCAACTGCCTTGAAGGTCGAAATGCAGATAGGAAAATCAAACGACTGACTTAATGTTTATTTGGGTTGTTAGAACTGTGCTATACAGATAAAATTTCCCTTTCCTAAAAGATGCTATACCCGATTTATTTTCTAATGAGATCATAAAAATGCTTATTACAACATACAAGTTTAAGTATTATAATTTGTAATTTAATTCAAAACTTGAGCTCATTGATTCAGCTGTGTATGAATTCAGGCCGTAAAAAGTACTGAGTAGAGACTTAGCGTGACGCCCGCTCTCCTCCAATCACAGAACGAGGCTGCGTCCTCTAGCCTCTACAGCGCTGCTAAACACAGTAGCATGTTAGCATAAGTGGCTATAGCTCCTCTGGCTGTAACTGCAGACACAGCAAAACAGCCCAAACCACACAACAGTGAGGAAGAGAAGAGGGAACTAAAGCCAAAACATGATCAAAGAAGAAAATCAAGATTGGGTGACCATAGCTAGCTTACATCGTATCCTCTGGAGAGACTTGTCTATGGGAGAGACCTGCGGGACCGCCTCGGACTATCTACGCTCGGACTATCTACGCTCGGACTACCTATGCTCGGACTACATTCGGAATCGGACACAAAACTAGCAGTAATCTTTCAGTTATATATTTTGTTAGCAGTGCCATTTCATCAGTGACAGTTGTACAGCTTAAGTTGCGCTGATGCTAATGGTAGCTTATAGATCGCAAATAAAACTAGATGGCTCTGTGGAATGAGAGCGTAGGGGAAATGAAAAGCCTGTGGGCGAGTTGGGGGCGGTGCTAAACATTCAAACCTTGCAGAAACGTTTATAGCTCCTTTAACCGATTACAGTAAGCTTATGACAGCAGCAGCACCAACAGCAGGTGCAGGACATACTTCCTCCGGTGCTGGCACGTCCTCCTGCCCTCTCCGTCCTGGTGGCGGCTCCTGCGTGGCCTCCTCTCTCCCTCCTCCTGCTCCCCGTCTGCAGCTGCTCCCTCCGCCCTCCTCCGGTGCCGTGCAGGTTTACTGTTGCCCTCCTCGTCCTCCGTGTTCTTACGATGGGATCTGGACATTTACACACATTGTAATCAGTATTTTACTTAGAAGGGAGTTGGTCCAATATGTGTGAATTGAATGTTGCATGTTTGTAGTGCGTAAAAAAAAAATCTATTTTGTGAATGCTCGATGAATTTCTGTCAATAAATCATCGTGATGAGGTTAGGATATGCTCCCTCCTGATTTAGGCAAAAAGATGATGTGGTCAAACCTTGGTACTGCAGTGCCCAATATTAACTTTAATACAGATAGAGCTTGGACTTTGCCTACATTCCCCTTGCTGTCATGCTGATGAGCTGATCACACATACAGTATCCTGGTGGATCTAAAGTTTGAAATTGTTTTGTTCTTGTTTTAGACACCACTGTGCCCTTTCATTCAAAACAAAAGGCCAAAAAAATGAGTCCATAATTAATAATAATAGTAATTTTTGAGGTTTTATATAGTGCTTTTTTGGACAAATAAAGATTCACAGGTCATTATTTTTTCACTCCAAACACAGTGGTGTTAAATTACTACTATGTGGGTGAAGTGTCTTGCCACAGATACAACAATAGCAGACATCAGTGGGAGTTGGTGGAGAAAGTCTTGTGGTGGGCTTGAACCCACGACATTCAGGCTAAAGGCCAACGCTCTACCTACTGAGCCACTGTCGTTCAACCTTTTTCAAATATACATGTGGTGTATGCGGACAAGAATCTTGTGAGTTGAGAGTCCAAAGTATCCAGGAGTACCACCCACCTGGACTTGCGGTGCTCTGACTGGCCGCTGCGGGAGTGGTGGTGTCTTCGGGCGGGCCTCTCCTCGGGCCCCTGCACCACGGTGGAGTCCAGGCAGGAATGTGAACTCTGATGGCGAAGGTCGGCTTTGCGAGAGCGCCTGCACTCCGTGGGCTCTCCCTGCTCCTGTGACACTGTGGCTGGGTTAGGGGCCTCCTCTGCAGGCTGCTCTTGGAGCCTGGGGAGCTGGCTGGCCAGGGGAGGGGGAGGGGGAGGGGGAGGGGGAGGGGGAGGGGGAGGGGGCTGGCTGTAGCTGTCAGCGTTGTACGGCGTGGTCTTGTTGGTGTTGTTGTTGCGGTTCTCCCTGGGGTCCACCACCAGAGGGCGGTCCAGGTGGGTTTTCACGTCTGGCCGAGCGTTCTTGGCGAAGTTGACCTGAGGAGAGTGTAGAGGAAGATTGTGAAGAAGGTGAACATTCAGAGAAAATTACAAGTTGTGATGTGCTGTTTAGTCACTCTATGATTGTGGTTCCATACACTGGGTTGTGAAGAAACGGTATGGCAGTACAGTAATCTATAACTTTCTTAAGGCGACATGCGATGAAAATCACCTCATTTTGCTCTTTTAACCACACTACAACATCAAAAACAGACCTGATCTTGTTTTTAGATCCATCAACACCAATTATACCACAATGACATCATCCTCAGGGCAGTGTCCGTCTTCTAGAACAAAAATATTGCCCATGAATCTGTGTGGACAATTTCTCAAGTGTCTTCTCGATTGCATGGCTGTGTTTTCAGCCGGTAATTTTCCAATAGCCTTATTTACCCATGATATTTTTTTCACCATATATTTCTCTGGCTGTATACGGATTTCCCTTTGTCCACCACCACTACGGTGGGTTGGTTCACCATCACCATCTTGTCGTTTTGCGTATCGAAGTCCTCCAGGATTATTTCTCGCTAATTCTCCACCACCTTTTCTCCCATTTTGGTCTTGGGGTTTCCAGACCATACTCTGCACAGACGTCCCTGTATACACTGCCGGCCATCTGGTTATGGTGTTCCATGTAAACTTTCCCTGCCAGAATCTTGCCCCCTGCAGTGATGTGATGGATTGTCTCAGGTCCCTCTTTGCACAACGCACACCTTTGGTCTTGTAGTGTATTGGGGTGTAGTACAGTATATCTTGGTTTCTATCGTTCTCGTGCTCGGGCCTGATGAGTGCCTTTGTGATGTCCTGTAGGCCTGGCTCTCTCTGGCCATTGTTCGGACTTCTTGAAATCAGCCACTTCTGTTGTATTCTAAAAAAAAAAATCCTAATTCCTTGCACTCCCAGTATATGAAACCACAAAGCCTCTTATGGGCGAGTAACTAGTCAGCACTGCCTCTGGGTTTTGTGTACACTGGTAGCACAAGCCTGGGGCCATGGAGCTGGTGTTGCCTGGTCCTTTACATTGTTCTGCTCCTCCCTCCCTCCTCTTGCCTTCCAGCGGTCCTCCTGGTCCGCCTCGTTGTAGAGAGCCTCCCGACTGGACGCCAGGGTCTGCTTCCTCAGCTCCTTGGTGCGCTGCTCCCACACAGACTTATTCACCCCTTTGCCGAGGTGGTTCTTCTGCTGCTCTTTGCTGTCGAGACAAATATTTTTAAGAAAGAAAAAAGGGATGGACTGTTTATGAGAAGCATTTACTGTATGCGTGGAGCTTAAACAATTGAAATGATACATGTGGAGTTTTCGGAGATGACGTGGTTTCTGTTTACATTTGGTACAAAATCTGTCAATTCATGTTCAAATGTGTTGGAGGAGAATTGAACACACATTCTTTCTTTCTCTGCAGAGACATTATTGTTTTGTCTGGAATGCTCAGCAGAACAGCTAAACTCCTGCCAAGGTTGCATTCATGTGACATCACAACATTTCAGAGAGTTTATAGTTTAAAATTCTGGTGGAGCAGCTGTAACTATGAAAACTGTCAGAAGTCAGATGTCTAGTCTTAAATGTAGACGTCGAGACAAGAAGAAGTTCTGCATCTTCTTTGTCAATGCGTATTAACTATTGTTTATTGTTGGCCCGTAGAAAGGACTTCAAGACTTAAAGATAATAAAGGCGTTGTGAATCTAATCATTATCAAAAGAAAATAATTCTTTTTCAACACTTAAAAGGAGCTTATTTACACAGTATGGTGTAGTGGCATATGCCCAAAATACTGAAATAGAAGACCTGAATACTTCTTAAGAAAATGTATTGGTGAGATGTTTACACTGTATATACCTATACTTTATCTTTGTTACTTATTTTGTGTTTTATCTTTTGACAAACTAACATTTTGCTATTTTCTCCCTATATACTGTAACATGTACTTGTTTGAGCAACTGTTTCCAAATACTGTCACTTCATACATGAGATCACTGTCTAACTTTAAAAACATCTAAAAATCTATACATTTTTAGCATACCCCTAATCTTAAATTATTGTATCCCTTCAAAAAAAAAAAAAAATTCTGGCCATATGACCCTGTAGTTTCAAATTCTTTTCAAAAATATAGTGGCTCCTTGGCATAACCACCATCAGTAAGATTGGTTGGAGGAGAACAATGGTGAGGGCCTCATCTGTGTATTATGGATTAGGAAGTAGTGGGGCTGAGAATGGGCGTGTCGAAGCTGCTTGCCTTAAAGAATCTCTCTTAAAGATATATAGGAGGATTTTTCCAAATTTTAGGAAAGAAACGCCCTCTGGATGTAGAAAATCCTCACATGTACCTATAACTAAGAATATCCTGGAAGAGACATGTCAGAGCATGAAGTATAAAAGAAGCTAATATTAGAAGCAGCCTTTTGGGATCAACTGGTTGTATAAAGTCTTTGTGTTGCAAATAAAGTGAAGGGTTTGGGTTTAAAACTACCGGGGGTGAAGTGTGAGCTCCATCAGGTCGGCTCTGCTTTTATAGCAAATGCAAACAAACCACAAAACCTCAAAAAGCGCAACATAAATATCATCGCGTTTGTGGACGACAAACACTGAAAATATAGGTACAGAAAAATAGCCAGGACAGACACTTTGGGGACACACACATTTTTGGCTGTACCTACTCAACCAGGAAGTGCTGGTTGGCCACATGGCTCGCCAACGCTGAACTCGGGCCAAGTTGAGCGCTGGAAACCCATGAAGGATGGGAGCATGGAGGAGGAGTCATGTGCACCTCTCAGGGATAACAAAAGGATCCACTATGTCAAACCGCCCCGTTTCAAACCTCCCAACTTACTGCTGACATGTATTTGCATTTAAAACCATTGCATCTTGTAAACTACTGTATATGCAAAAGTCTACACTACTATAGTCTTGAGTCACAATTCACTACTGTGCGTCAGAAAAAAACTGTTGACCATTTATCACAGTTTTCGGGAGGGAGGGCGCAGTAGTTCAGCCATTAGGATTTCATCAAGACGATATGGAGATATTTTGACTGCACTAAAAGACATTTAACTGAGACTCCCAGACAGAACGTAATCTGTTTTTGAAAAATTAAAATAAAAAACAACAACAACTATGTATTCAACTGACCCGTCCTTATTTCTTTGTGATACCCCAAGTCCCAACAATAACTGCAACTGTGGGTTAGCCATGTTGGTTAATCATTCAGTAGATATTATTGCAAACTGCTAAACCACGGTTTGATATGAATTAGTTGTATTATTAATCGACTTATATTGTAGCCTGATAACTCTTGAGGCCTGTTTTTAACCCTTGATGCGTCAAAGTAGCAGAATTGTTGCACCAGCTCCTGAATCTAGGAGACTTTCTACACAGCTGTGAAGTGGGCGGGGCTTAAGCTTCCAGGATGCAAAAAGAAATTGGTGAATGAGATCCACCTAAATACTGTATATATTGTATGTTTAAATAACTTTTTCGTTCCGTAGAAATGTTTGGCCTATCTTTCAGCTGAAACTGTACTGTGGATAATAGTTAGCAGATAAACTCGTTAGCCTCGGTTGTGTTTGCAAACTCTTAATATTTAGAATATCCAAAACTCCTGTGGAGATATTGGTGAAGGTGAGGTACTTCTGGAAACATAAGCACTGACCACTTAACAGAATCATACAGCAACGTTTATTTATTATAATGTTAATTTGCCTGTTTGCATGTTACATTTATGATAAAAACTGACGCCTAAAAGGTTCAGAAAAAATGTTCAGAATATTTTAGTTTTCCATATCTCTAACACGACAAGAGCAGTAATGAACTAATGTTATTCCCGATCGGCGTGGGCCAAAACTGCAGGGTGAAAACATGGAATGACATCGAAACACATAACATAGAAGTGACTGCTTTGTGTAGCTAAAGTGTTCCTACATCCGTTTGAACCCTTTCCCTCCAAATCACTAACAATCCTCTTGTTGGCCTAACTCCTCAATAAGTCCACCACGGTAAAAAGCAACAGCCATACTGCCAAAGTGCAGCAACAGAAAATAGTTCAGTTCAAAGGAAAGAGAAAAGCAAATCACAAATCATAACAAATGCTGTAAAGAAAGCCAAGAAAATAAAAGTAAAAGGTAAAAAAATGTGTACAAGGGAAATGAAAGTGTTTTAACCAGAAGGAAAAGTAGGTCAACGAAGGGAGAGATTATACAGAAACATAATCAATAATAAATACCAGTCCAGAAAGGGGTCTGAGGCGTTGTGACATTCAGAGTGAACTTTGTTGCTGAGGAGGGAAACAGCTGGTGAGTGAGCGGACACACAACACACAAGTATGCATTCCAAAACAGCGGCCCCCAGCGGAGTGAGGACCCCATCAGAGTGTGGACCTCAGCAGAGTGAGGACCTCAACAGAGTGTGGTCCCCAGCTGAGTGAGAACCACAGCTGAGTGAGGACCCCAGCAGAGTGAGAACCCCAGCTGAGTGAGAACCCCAGCAGAGTGTGGTCCCCAGCTGAGTGAGGACCTCAACAGAGTGTTGTCCCCAGCTGAGTGAGGACCTCAACAGAGTGTTGTCCCCAGCTGAGTGAGGACCCCAGCAGAGTGTGGTCCCCAGCAGAGTGAGGACCTCAACAGAGTGTTGTCCCCAGCTGAGTGAGCACCCCAGCAGAGTGTGGTCCCCAGCAGAGTGAGAACCCCAGCAGAGTGAGGACCCCAGCAGAGTGAGGACCTCAACAGAGTGTGGTCCCCAGCTAGGTGAGAACCCCAGCAGAGTGTGGTCCCCAGCAGAGTGTGGTCCCCAGCAGAGTGTGGTCCCCAGCAAAGTGTGGTCCCCAGCAGAGTGAGGCTCCCAGCAGAGTGAGAACCCCAGCAGAGTGAGGACCCCAGCAGAGTGAGGACCCCAGCAAAGTGAGGACCCCAGCAGAGTGTGGTCCCCAGCAGAGTGAGGACCCCAGAAAAGTGAGGACCCCAGCAGAGTGTGGTCCCCAGCAAAGTGAGGACCCCAGCAGAGTGACAACCCCAGCAGAGTGTGGTACCCAGCAAAGTGAGGACCCCAGCAGAGTGATGACCCCAGCAAAGTGAGGACCTCAACAGAGTGTGGTCCCCAGCAAAGTGAGGACCTCAACAGAGTGTGGTCCCCAGCAAAGTGAGGACCCCAGCAGAGTGAGAACCCCAGCAGAGTGTGGTCCCCAGCAAAGTGAGGACCCCAGCAGAGTGAGGACCCCAGCAGAGTGAGGACCTCAACAGAGTGTGGTCCCCAGCTGAGTGAGAACCCCAGCAGAGTGTGGTCCCCAGCAGAGTGTGGTCCCCAGCAGAGTGAGGACCCCAGCAGAGTGTGGTCCCCAGCAAAGTGAGGACCCCAGCAGAGTGAGGACCCCAGCAGTGTGGTCCCCAGCAGAGTAAGGCTCCCAGCAGAATGAGAACCCCAGCAGAGTGAGGACCCCAGCAGAGTGAGGACCCCAGCAAAGTGAGGACCCCAGCAGAGTGTGGTCCCCAGCAAAGTGAGGACCCCAGCAGAGTGAGAACCCCAGCAGAGTGAGGACCCCAGCAGAGTGTGGTCCCCAGCAAAGTGAGGACCCCAGCAGAGTGAGAACCCCAGCAGAGTGAGGACCCCAGCAGAGTGAGGACCCCAGCTGAGTGAGGCCCTAAAGCTCGTCACACACGCTGGAATGGGACCCTGGCCACGGACAGACAGGGCTGGACATCGTACACTTGGACAGACGCGTTGTATACATTATGTAGACATTCTTTTTGATGGTTGAGACGAAACATATCACACACATTTTTTTAGTCATCGTTTATACTTTTGTCGCTGGGTGAAAGTAAACGACTGGACGATCAGACGCTCGGGATTTAAAGGTGAAACTCAGGATAAGAAGGATGTCATTCAAATGTCCATTACTTCTGTGTTTGTACGTGCAGCGTGAAACTAATATATGATAACATTTGATATCACACACAACGTGAAATATATCTACAGTATTTGTTAGTTCTCATGTAAGCAAAGGCTCACAGCTCGTTAAAAACCCCAAAAGAATATATATATTTTGAGTCTAGACTTACAGCCATAATCACTAAAAAGACACCAAACAAGGCTGGGCATATGTCACGAGTCTATATCATTTTTTGGTGTCACTTTTTAAGTTGAATTACAGAAATAAATTAACTAAATGAACAATATTCTCATTCACTTGTCTTCATTATTTTTGACGAATGAGACTTTTGTTTTTACTTAAAATTATTACTCATCATTTATGCTTTTGTAGCAATTTGAGTCATTAAACTCAAGATATAAAAGCAGTATGTGTGTTTGTGTGTGCGTGTGTGTATGTGTATGTGTATGTGTATATGTATGTGTGTATGTGTATGTGTATATGTATGTGTGTATTTGTGTGTTTGTATGTGTGTGTGTATGTGTGAGTGTGTATGTGTATGTGTATGTGTATATGTATGTGTGTATGTGTGTATGTGTGTGTGTATGTGTGAGTGTGTATGTGTGTGTGTGTGTGTGTGTGTGTGTCCGTATATTTTTTTAATTATCAAACACCTGGATATTTACAAAAAAAAAACGAAAATAAACTACACAAATATTGGTTACATATAAATGCATCATATTATTACAAAGACTAAAACCAGCGCTGGTCAAAGTCCAAACATTCCCTTCATAAAGTGCTAAACTCATGTGGGGTAAACTCACGCGGCGATGGAGAGGTTGGCGGCGGACAGCGGACTGACTTCGGCCACTTCCTTTGCTTTCTGCAGAGCCATCTTCTGAGTGGCCGCCTCCTCCTCCTCCTGCTCGTCCTGCGCAACCAGACCACAAACAAACTCCACAAATACTCTCATATTTACAGGAATTTTGCAGCCATCAAGAGTTACTACGTGGCAAAAAAAAGAGAGAATCCTAAATATATATAACAAGAAAGCAGCGTCTTCATTGATCTATGTTTTCATTACTACAAAGTCTAGCCTGGTCTTATCCATCCGTACACTCTGCTTAATTATCATTTCACTGCATGTAACGTCTGGGTCTGGTCCCCGTGTTTGCAGTTACATTCGGTTGAATTCCATCCGACCAATCAGCAAGTGCGGGAGGCGGGTGTTGTGGTTAGTTGTGGTTGACGTCATGAGTTTGCGTTGAACGGGCAGGTTGTAGTTTGGCAATGGCGAAAATTGCCATAGTAAAGTAATCCGGTCTGGTTCTATCAAGAAATTGAAGCCGGAGCAACGGTTATGTTTAGCAAATGTAATTGCTAAAAAAAATTGTGGCGCTACTCCCCACGGGCTCCGTTGGCAGCAGAGGAGATGCTAGGCTAGGCTAAATGCTAAATGCTAGCCACTCACTTTGGCGCGCATTACATACATGACGGTAAACTCAGATCCAATCGTTTCAATCTGCAAAAGGAGTTAACCCCTCCCACCTGTTAACGGAGCTCAATGGAGCAAATCCAGACCTTACTATGAAATGTCATTTGTACTAAGGTGTGGTACGACCAGGCTAAACAAATCCAGGAATACACCATTTTCTGTCAGTTTAAACATTCATGAAAGTCGTTGCTTCATTGTCAGTGCAAAACTATTCAACAAACAACTACACAACATCCTCATTTATGTCTGCTGCTCATGTACAAACAGGAGGTCAGCAGGAGGTGTGCAGTAGGTCAGCAGGAGGTCAGAGGGGGTCAGCAGGAGGTCAGCAGGAGGTGTGCCAGAGGTGTGCAGGAGGTCAGCAGGAGGTCAGAGGGGGTCAGCAGGAGGTCAGCAGGAGGTGTGCAGACATGTGACTTACCTTTGTCAGCTCTTGTGCGTTGGCCAAATTATCCACAGCGATGGCCAAGAATACATTCAGCAGAGTGTCTGAGTGCATTTATAGGAAACATATGAAGATAAGATCTATCAAGTGTTTTTTTGCACCTGGAACAGATACCAACCAATGACTGGGAGAACTAATATTTACCCTTTCAGACTTTGAGCTAACTACAACCAGGCAGCAAGTGTCAAGCATTAAGGTAAGATAAGATTAAACTTTGGCAAATTAATTATGGAATTAGCAGAATTATGTGATAATATAACCAATAATCTTGTAAGTAAGTCATGTTTGGTAACACTTTAGATTAACCCTGAATAATTAAGTGCTAATTAGTCTACTCTAACCCTATCCCACATGAGAACGTGTCAGTCAGTAGTTTGGTAGATGTTGAATTAGGTCATGTAGAATAAGTACTTAATAGATACCAAATAAAACATTTACCATGAACTATACACTAATTAGCACTTAAATAGCTGTTACTGGGACCTAATCAATGATTTCATTTAGCAGAGACACAAAGCGCTTTACAATTGTTGTGGCCTTAGCCATCCGTAAACTCTGCTCAATTATTATTTCCTACATGTACATCCTGGTCTGATCCTTGTGTCTGCAGTTACATCGGTTGAATCTCATCCGACCAATCAGCAAGCGGGGGAGGCGGGTGTTGTGACGTCAAGAGTTTGTGCCGAATTTGCAGGTTGTAGTTTGTAAATGGCAGCGAATGCTTTGGTTTGGTTCCAAATATCAAGAAATTGTAGCCGGAGCAAGAGGAATGTTTAGTAAATGTCATTGAGGCAAATATGTTGTGGCTCTACTCCCCAAGGGCTCCGTTAGTGGCAAAGGAGATGGCAAAAGCTAGGCTAAATGCAAAATCTAGGCTAAATGCTAAATGCTAGGGACTCACTCGGGCGTGCTACATACGCCACGGTAAACTAAGATCCAATCGTTTCAATCTGCAAAAGGAGTTAACCCCTCCCACCTGGTAACGGAGCTCAAAGGAGCAAATCCAGACATTAGTAGGAAATTAAAATAGTACAATGGTGTGGTAAGACCAGGCTTGGGTGACGTCAGAACTCAGTCCACTCCACAAATGCAGGCTCTTTGTTCTGCCTCTGAGTGTGAAGGATACAGTTTCCGAAAAGTGTGAGAACGATGAAGAAGATGGAGAAGGCCATGCCCTTGTTGACTCCGCCCTGAGACTGGATCCCGTCGTACATCACCATGTTCCAGTCCTCCCCGGTCAGGATCTAACACACACACACAAGACGTACATGCATTATGTATCTGGAGGAAATGTAACGGCTGCTGGTTTCCCAAAGACTGGGAAAAAATATGGGAAATGAATACACAATAATGCTTTTTTTTAACTCATTTTGGACCTGTACAAGGGTATGTTTTATTGTGTGTGTGTGTGTGTGTGTATGTGTAAAATGTGTATCTTTTATTTGTAAATCATATATACATTTAAAAAAGGAAAACTGCATGTTGTGGTCTGATATGATCACAGCATTTTACTTTTACTCTTTCTCTTTCTCTTAGAACAAACACTAATACTATCAGAAAAAAGTTAGGTGCCCGAGCTTTAATATATTCCGATGTGACGTGAAAAACTAAACACAAACAGATTGTGGTCAATGTTGGAGGAAGTTACAGCAGCTTTTACTTGTAGAATTAATGAGACAATAAAGCAATCGTTACCGACAGAGAAACGCATTTTTGCGGAACTACCAGAATACAAAAAGGCCGCTTCTCACACACATCGCCGTGACTGAGCAGAGAGGAGACGACCAAAAAGAAGAGAGAGTTTTATGAGTCTCTACAACACTGTAATGTCCTCAGTCAAGTCTGGAAAAGCCGGGTTAAAAGTGCGGACCTATAAAAAAAAAAAACTGACTGGTCTCACCTGGAAAACAGTCATTATGGCCGCGGGGAAGGTGTCGAAGTTTGTCGGAGGAGTCCCGCTTTCGAAATTAAATCTGCGAAGAACGAGAGACGAGAGAGATTTACAAATACAGCAAGAGAAAACGGATACAACTATAGCTCTAAAATAATCTGCTTTAAAGGTGACTCTTTATTGGAACTGGATGTGAACCGATGGAACAAGATAAATCAACTTCTCTGCAGTAAGAGAGGATTGAAACAGAATTACCACAAGATGAAAAAAACACACAATTTTGTAATGAAAAATGGCACTGTTTTCTATGTTATATCGAACTTTTAACCACGTTACAACATTGTTCTTCATCAAAAACAGACCAGGAGTTGTTTTTTGCTTCATCTTCATAATATCGCTGATATTACAAACTTCTGGCACAAACATGGAATTCTAGCCACAGTTTTCTGCCTTTTAAAAGAGAATTGGCCTTAAATATATGTCAGCAATTTTTCAGGTGAAATCAAGCTCCCTCTGGTGGTTGCATAGAGAGTTATCATTTTAAAAGCCAAAAATAATGCATAATATTGCTTCTTTAAATTGCACAAATAATTAACCGTTATTGCGTGTCTTCAGTAATATTTAATCGCCCTTGCTCCATCCCTAGAGTCTTGTGGTAAATCTGTTTGTAATTGGACTACTGACTGTCCTCCGAAGAGCTGCATTCCCAACAGGGCAAAGACCACGATGAAGAGGAAGAGCAGGAAGAGCAGACTGATGATGGACTTCATGGAGTTGAGGAGAGAGACCACCAGGTTCCTCAGAGATGCCCAGTACCTGAAACACCAAACACCTCATTCATTCTATTTAACTCAACTCAATGTTTTTTTGTATAACCCCAAATCACAATAGTATTGGAGGATCTTTGTTTACACCCGCATGCGCCCCTCGCTGTGTGGCAGAAAGACAGAGCTGCGCGTACTGAAGCACGGATCTGAGAGTACTTTTAAAAGACTCAGTGGGCGAATAGCACTGTATATAAGCACTTTAACGCAAAAAGATCAGAGGAGATATAAAGACAAGCTAAAAATAAGTGTATGAGACCGAACTGAACAAATTCAAAGCCCAGATGAGACCTGATATGACGAGTACAAACATTGGTCAGAATCACCTCTTTTGGTACCGATTTGCTGGGACTGGGACTCTGAGACATTTATTCTTACTTCATAGAAAACCCGGGACCCTTCACTCAAGAAGGGTCCGTGGTGTAAATCAATTTCTCACGTTTTTCACCGCGGTAAAGTGGTCCGGCATTTTGCCACACATTAAAAGCAGGCTGCCCCTTTTTGCTGTTACTTACGGTAAAGGTGGAACAGGAAGCCGCGGGGATGAGCAACCAAAATCCCCCCGTTTACCGTAGGTACTGTAACAGCATCAAAGGGCAACCACTTTATCGCGGCCATTTTTTGCTGTTCTTTTCCGAAAGAATTAGAAAAAAAACTTAATCTGTCCCCAGCGAGGCGTACTACCGACCACACAACAGGAACAGACTATTTCATTTAGGTAGAACCTCTCTCCAAATGTCTAAAAATAGCTAACTCCCCAACCATCCAGGTACAGTTGCTTTCTATGCTGTTTTGCCACACAGTCACGTGACCGGCGCGGAAAAACTATAAACAACGACGTCACTCCAAGATTCTCCTATTTAATTAACTCGGAGGACTTTACAAAGCAATTCGCCAACACAGATCAGAGAATCAAACAGTTCAAACTGAAATGCCATGATTAAAAACACAAAGAGCCATTTGTCCATAAGAGTCACACTCACTTGGTGACTTTGAAGATCCTCAATAACCTGAGAGCTCGCAGCACGCTGATGCCGAACGACGTGCCGGGCTGGATCATGGACCACAGCACCTCGAAGATACTGCCGGAGATCACCTGGAGGAGACACATTATATGGTTTTTATTATGACAGGGATAGTGCCTTTGTATGATGTGACTGTAACAATGCAAAATGTGTTTTTAAATGTGTTCAAAGCCCTTCTCGGGACGGACGTTGCAAGTTAGCTGTGGCTATAAATGCGTACGACTAACTATAAATGCGTACGACTGACTATAAATGCGTACGACTGACTATAAATGCGTACGACTGACTATAAATGCGTACGACTGACTATAAATGCGTACGACTTACTATAAATACGTATGACTGACTATAAATGCGTTTGACTGACTATAAATGCGTTTGACTGACTATAAATGCATACTTCTGACTATAAATGCGTACAACTGACTATAAATGCGTATGACTGACTATAAATGCGCACGACTGACTATAAATGCGTTTGACTGACTATAAATGCGTTTGACTGACTATAAATGCATACTTCTGACTATAAATGCGTACAACTGACTATAAATGCGTATGACTGACTATGAATGCGCACGACTGACTATAAATGCGTTTGACTGACTATAAATGCGTACAACTGACTATAAATGCGTACGACTGACTATAAATGCGTACGACTGACTATAAATGATGCGTACGACTAACTATAAATGCGTACGACTGACTATAAATGCATACAACTGACTATAAATGCGTACTTCTGACTGACTATTAATGCGTACGACTGACTATAAATGCGTACGACTGACTATACGACTGACTATAAATGCGTATGACTGACTATAAATGCGTACGACTGACTATAAATGCGTATGACTGACTATAAATGCGTTTGACTGACTATAAATGCGTTTGACTGACTATAAATGCATACTTCTGACTATAAATGCATACTTCTGACTATAAATGCGTACAACTGACTTTAAATGCGTATGACTGACTATAAATGCGCACGACTGACTATAAATGCGTTTGACTGACTATAAATGCGTACGACTGACTATAAATGCGTATGACTGACTATAAATGCGTTTGACTGACTATAAATGCATACTTCTGACTATAAATGCGTACAACTGACTATAAATGCGTATGACTGACTATGAATGCGCACGACTGCCTATTGACTGACTATAAATGCGTACAACTGACTATAAATGCGTATGACTGACTATAAATGCGTACGACTGACTATAAATGCGTTTGACTGACTATAAATGCGTACGACTGACTATAAATGCGTTTGACTGACTATAAATGCGTACAACTGACTATAAATGTATGTATTACCTCCTAGATTTCTTAAATCTGTTCTGAGCAGTCTTTTACCTTCACTCACGCATATAGTAAATATGTCTCTTGAATCTGGAACATTCCCAATGGCCCTGAAAACGGCAGTCATCAGACCCCTCCTAAAAAAGAGGAGTCTGGATGCCTTGGCACTTAAAAGTTATCGGCCCATTTCAAATCTGCCTTTCATGGGTAAAATTCTAGAAAAAGTTGTCTATCAACAACTTACAGAATTTTTAATAATCAATCACTCTTTTGATATGTTCCAGTCTGGTTTTAGACCCCACCACAGCACAGAGACCGCTCTAGTGAAGGTAACAAATGACATCAGACTTAACACTGACGCAGGAAAAGTCTCAGTTCTTATCCTGTTAGATTTAAGTGCTGCTTTCGACACTGTCGATCATGGTATCCTCATTCAGAGACTTGAGGACTGGGTTGGTGTTTCTGGAACAGCCCTAAGCTGGTTTATATCCTACCTACAGGACAGAAAGTATTTTGTGGAGATCGGAAACTGTATCTCAGACCATCTGGCCCTAACCTGCGGAGTGCCACAGGGCTCAATCCTGGGGCCTCTCCTGTTTAATATTTACATGCTGCCTCTGGGTAGGTTAATACACAGTAATAACGTGTCCTATCACAATTATGCTGACGATACTCAGGTCTATGTGTCCCTGACAGCAGGAGAACATGGACCAGTGGACTCGCTCCTTCACTGTATCCAACAAATCAGTGATTGGATGCAAAATAACTTTCTCCAGCTAAACACAGAAAAAACTGAAATTATTGTTTTTGGACCTCAAAAACAAAGAGAGAGCGTTATCTGCCACCTCCAGTCTCTCTCCCTAAAACCCTCAACTTAGGTCAGAAATCTAGGAGTAATAATGGACTCAGACTTAAATTTCAATAGCCACATATCATCTGTGACATCATCAGCTTACTTCCACCTAAGAAACATTGCTAAAATTAAAAACATTGTGTCTAAAGCAGACTTGGAGATTCTTATCCACGCATTTGTCTCCAGTCGATTGGACTACTGCAATGGCTTGTTCACAGGTCTCTCTAAACAAGCGGTAAAACAGCTGCAGTACATCCAAAATGCTGCAGCTCGAGTCCTGACTAGAACCAGGAAGTACGACCACATTAGTCCGGTCCTCAGGTCTCTGCACTGGCTTCCTGTGGCTCAGAGAATAGATTTTAAAGTAGCTTTACTTGTGTACAAGTCTCTCCATGGCCTCGCACCAGGGTACATCCGCGACATGTTGGTGCCATATGAACCAACTCGGGCTCTGAGGAGCACAGGGACTGGACTTCTGTTAGTGCCAAGAGTCGGAACTAGACATGGGGAGGCTGCGTTTCAGATTCATGCAGCTAGAGTCTGGAACCGTCTTTCCGAGAGTGTGAGACAGGCGTCTACTCTAGCAGTTTTTAAAACTGAACTGAAAACAGTTCTTTTTAGCTGTGCATACAAGTGAATGATTTTATATTTGTTTTTATCTTTAATCTTTTTAATGCACTATGATTATTTATGATTATTCATGATTTTAATCCCTTGTGTGATTTTAATGTTTTACGGTTTTTAACTACTTGTGTGATTTTATATATCTTGTGCTCTTAATCTGTCCTTTTATGTTTAAATTCTAATGTTTGATGATTTATGCATGATGTTATATGGGTTGTGAGGCGCTTTGCGTTGCCTTGTGTAGGAAAGGCGCTCTATAAATAAACGTTGATTGATTGATTGAAATGCGTACAACTGACTATAAATGCGTACGACTTACTATAAATACGTACGACTGACTATAAATGCGTACGACTGACTATAAATGCGTACGACTGACTATAAATACGTACGACTGACTATAAATGCGTACGACTGACTATAAATGCGTACAACTGACTATAAATGCGTTTGACTGACTATAAATGCGTTTGACTGACTATAAATGCGTACAACTGACTATAAATGCGTATGACTGACTATAAATGCGTACGACTGACTATAAATGCGTTTGACTGACTATAAATGCGTACGACTGACTATAAATGCGTTTGACTGACTATAAATGCGTACAACTGACTATAAATGCGTACGACTGACTATAAATGCGTACAACTGACTATAAATGCGCACGACTGACTATAAATGCGTACAACTGACTATAAATGCGCACGACTGACTATAAATGCGTTAGACTGACTATAAGTGCGCACGACTGATTATAAATGCGTACGACTGACTATAAATGCGCACAACTGACTATAAATGCGTTTGACTGACTATAAATGCGTACGACTGACTATAAATGCGTACGACTGACTATAAATGCGTACGACTGACTATAAAGGCGTACGACTGACTATAAATGCGTACGACTGACTATAAATGTGTACGACTGACTTTAAATGCGTACGACTGACTATAAAATGCGTACGAATGACTATAAATGTGTACGACTGACTTTAAATGCGTACGACTGACTATAAATGCGTACTTCTGACTATAAATGCGTACTTCTGACTGACTATCAATGCGTACGACTGACTATGAATGCGCACGACTGACTATAAATGCGCACGACTGACTATAAATGCGTACGACTGACTATAAATGCGTACGACTGACTATAAATGTGTACGAATGACTATAAATGCGTATGACTGACTATAAATGCGTACGACTGACTATAAATGCGCACGACTGACTATAAATGCGTACGACTGACTATAAATGTGTACGACTGACTATAAATGCGTGCGACTGACTATAAATGCGTACGACTGACTATAAATGCGTATGACTGACTATAAATGTGTACGACTGACTTTAAATGCGTATGACTGACTATAAATGCGTACGACTGACTATAAATGTGTACGAATGACTATAAATGCGTATGACTGACTATAAATGCGTACGACTGACTATAAATGCGTACGACTGACTATAAATGCATACGACTGACTATAAATGCGTACGACTGACTATAAATGCGTACGACTGACTATAAATGCGTATGACTGACTATAAATGTGTACGACTGACTTTAAATGCGTATGACTGACTATAAATGCGTACGACTGACTATAAATGCGTACGACTGACTATAAATGCATACGACTGACTATAAATGCATACGACTGACTATAAATGCGTACGACTGACTATAAATGCATACGACTGACTATAAATGCGTACGACTGACTATAAATGCGTACGACTGACTATGAATGCGAACGACTGACTATAAATGCGTACGACTGACTATAAATGCGTACGAGTGACTATGAATGCGTACAACTGACTATAAATGAGTACGACTGACTATAAATGCGTACGACTGACTATAAATGCGTACGGCTGACTATAAATGCGTACGACTGACTATAAATGTGTACGACTGACTATAAATGCTAACGACTGACTATAAATGCGTACGACTGACTATAAATGCGTACGACTGACTATAAATGATGCGTACGACTGACTATAAATGCGTACGACTGACTATAAATGCGTACAACTGACTATAAATGCGTTTGACTGACTATAAATGCGTTTGACTGACTATAAATACGTACAACTGACTATAAATGCGTATGACTGACTATAAATGCGTACGACTGACTATAAATGCGTTTGACTGACTATAAATGCGTACGACTGACTATAAATGCGTTTGACTGACTATAAATGCGTACAACTGACTATAAATGCGTATGACTGACTATAAAT